AAAAAAAAAAAAAAAAAAAAAAACGCCTGAAAAGAAGCGATACGATTTTAGTTTCTCGTACGCTTATGACCGATTTTTTCACTTTCCCAATTTTAGACATTTCAAAGGATCCGTGATCGCGTTGTTAGCGTTCTTGGTCGGGTCGTGGGCCGTCACGATATCCGTCGCGGTGCACTACAACTTTAAGGCCAGGTAAAAACGCCGCCGAACCGAGATGGTTACCGTGTTTTGAAATCCCGTAACGATATTTAACCGGTCGCTTATTGTTTTACAGGATAGAGGAACCGTTCGGATTGTTCGACCAGCTGTACGACAAACCGTGGTCGAGACTCGGGCCGTATTTAGTCGGGATGTTCGCCGGATGGTTTTTGTTCGTCACTAAATGCAAAATAAAAATGTCCTTCGTGAGTACAATGAAAATCATACTCGATAATATTAATAGGTATCCGCCGTCGTACGTAATTACGGTCGGCCGTGGGTAATACGCCGAACAAAAAATATTCTGAATACTTCTGAAAATTTTGAAAATATTTTTTTCGGGAGTATTCGAAACTGTATTCCGAATAGTTTCAAACGGTATTTCATTCGTTAAGATTTTATTCTTTAAAATACTTTTCTTGATACTTATTTCATTACTTATATTACTTCAATTGTGATTGGACTATTATATACACAGGCGCTTATTGTCACTTATTGTCTGCAATGCGATTTTACGGGAGTGCACCCGGGTAACATTAAAATTCGTTTCAGATGGCATCCAAACGACTATAGTACGCACACGAACGGCAATATTATGCTATATACGCGTACTTAATATGACGAATACGAAACGCAGACTTCCCCTCCAGTCCGCATTTCCGAAAAACCCGAGCGGCGCGCAACCGACACGGATAACAATACGAGATTGTATAGACAAAAGACTGATTCGTCGCGCGCGCAGATTTTATTATTATTATTATTATTATTATTATTTTTTTTTTTTAATTATTAAAAAAATATATCGACGATATAAAAAAAACGAAGAAGGAAAGTGGGCCGTCGACGACGGCGGGGCGGGTAGTTTCTCGTCGTTTGTACAACGTCATAATACACAATCCGACAGTATATAACGTTTGGTTGGTTATTATTGTTGTGTTCAATATAAGTAGCCCGCGTTTTATAATTGTGACAAAAAACGACCGAAGGCGTAATTCTAACCAATTCCGTTGTAATCGGCAGTCGCAATATTATTAAAAATAAAGGAACGAAAGTGAGTGCACGCCGACGACGACGTAATGACGTGTGCAGTTCGCTCTCGGTGGGTTACAAATTATGAAAAGTTTAAGTTTTAAATTTTAAAGTTTTAATTATGATTGATTAACGTGCGGATTCAAAATAATTTTAATCAGGCGAGGCCAATACCCGAGTTTTTCGATTGCCCGTCAGACACTATATGATTTGAAACAAAAAAAAAAAATATTTAAAATCACGCGATTTGGGAAATAATGAAAAAAAAAAATGAATTATCTTATTCTCAACCTTCACATAAACCAACGCCATTCGGTCGCATTTTCAATAGTGTTTAGGCTTATTTCACACCGTACAACCCATCGCTTAGCCTTTTAACCGTCCTTCGTTCTCCCCAAAACACGATCACACCACAGGCACCTATAAAGAAACCATACCGGGGGTGAGGGGGCAAGTAAAATATTAAACATTTTTAACCCCGACTGCTCTCTGTATACACGGGTGCCGTACCGCCTTAATCCATTTTCGCTGATTCCCGTCGCTAAATGCCCACGTATTCTCCCGCAGCTGACCGTCGTTCTGGGATGGTTCCTGTCGCTGTCCAGTCTGGTGTACCTGGTGTACGGCCTGCACGTGGTCCACTTGGACGTGGCCGGTTCGGCCCTGTACGCGTCCGTGGGTCACACGGCCTGGGGCGCCGCACTAGCCTGGATCGTCATCGCCTGTTGCACCGGTTACGGCGGTTGCGTCAACTCGGCCCTGTCGTGTCGACTCTTGCAGCCACTCAGCCGGCTCACGTACTGCGCCTACTTGGTCCACCCGCTCATCATGGCCATGACCAACTTCCAGATGGACGGTCCGCTGCACCTGCACAACCTGATCACGGTAAAAAATACGTTTCGTCGTGTAGTTGTCATTCTGTAATAATATTATTGTGCGCGGTGTCCCGCGGATTTTCGTATTCGAAAATTCCGCTTTAAAAAAAAAAAAATAAAAAAAAAAAAAAAAAACAGAATCGTTCGGGAAACGCAAACGTTCCGTCCGAACGGCGGACCACCGGTAAACAACCGTACAATAATACGCGCGTTGGCGGTCTCAGCGGCCTTTTCTCCCCCGCCCGACGGCCCGGCGACCGCCAACAACAACAATAACATACGCTCGTCGTCCGTGTTTTCCAGATGATCCTGTACTTCGGTAACGCCGTCGCTTCGTTCATACTGTCGTTTTTCATTTCGCTGACGTTCGAGGCGCCCGTCGTGAACCTGCTCAAAATCGCGTTGACGCCGCCGGCAGACCGAGCGAAATCGTCGACGGACAAATCCCGTCCCGGGCCGCAAGACTCGTAGCCCGGCCGACCGAGACGTCATCGCCGTGCCGAGAGCGACGCGCGCCTATCGCGACGGGCGGGCGGGGCGGCCGTCGTCGTCGCGGCACAACGACGACGCGCCGTTATCGACAACGCGTCGATCTTCCGACACACAATGTTTATATTAAATTATTTGTTTCTAATGTAGTACGATCAACGGCGTTATGCTTAACCGGTGTAAATAATTCACGTTATATTATAATTATCATAGTTATTATAGTTATTGTAGTTGTTATTAAACCTTTTTTTTTTATTTTTTCCGAGAAGATTGATTTTTTTTTATTTTTTTCAATTACGCCGGAAAATCGCGAACATTATCGTGTCCGTCGTGTTACACGTGTGTGTGTTGTGTATATTCCCGCGGTACGTTCGGACGATTTTAACGGTTCACTGGACCGAATGAGCCCGAAGCTCGGGAATCGGAGTTTACTTTTGGGCCGAATGTTTAATTTCGATACGGATTTTACCGTGCCACTGGGGAGGGGGGATTTTCAGATTTAAACGCTCAACCAAACACCTGCGCAACGTGTTTTCCAATCATAATATTTTATCGCACTAATATTACTTCGGATCTCGGGTAAATTTTTTTTTTTTTTTCATATTTGTCTTGTAATTCCGCGTAATTTTTCAATTATTTTCATTATTTTCTCAAAATTTTTTTTTTTTCAAATTTTTCTATTAAATTAACTTCAACATTTATTTTCTGGAATCAATGATATAATATGTACCCCCAAAAATTAACGAACTCTAATTTGATACAAGTTTCACAAGTTCCTATAATCTATATTTAGTGTGAAAAATAAATTGAGCTTAGTATGGTCATTTTTTCTTTCGAGCCATTGTAAATTATTTTGTGTTTACAATTTCTGGTTCTTTTTTCATTAACAATTTATTGCTGCGCACAGTTATAAATTAAATTACTATATTCTACGCCTTTTAAGTCTCCGACCTACACCAGTAGTGCATTTATGATGTGATGTTTGCCAGTCTATTTGCCAGTTAATTTTATTATTGTTAATAGCGTTTTTTTTTTTTTTTTTTTTGTTTCAATTTTTAAAACGATTTTTGGTTTTTGTTCACTTACAGATTGCACAATAATAACAAAGTATTTGGGAACACGGGAAATAAAAACTCGCTACTCGAAAAATTATGTCATGAAATATCCAAATCGGTTGTCAATGTTTTGCACGAATGTTAGGTTTGTTTAAATTTCGGACGTTGATTTCTTAAAAATATTAACTTATCTATTATATTTGTTTGCTGTCATCGAACGATACGATTTATAGAGATTAATAATAATTTTCTTCGCAGTTTTCAGTAGTATAAATGCCCACTAAAAACATTACGGTGTCACGTGGATTTCTTGTTTGTTTAAAAAATGATTTGTCATAGTCAATTATACATAAATACTATACGCAATGTATTTCGGCGGTCGAGAATCGGGCCACATTTTATTTACTCGCTTCTTAAACAATATTGATTAATATTTCATTACCCCAGTAGGTAGTTAAGTCATACACATATGGCACGAAAATATCTAATTCTAAATATATTTTATCTTTTTTTTATATACAAATATAAATGTGAAATTAGTTAATTAGACATTAATTTTGTTTCTCACACACGATGATAATTATGTAAAATAAGTCATAGACAATACATAAATCGTTTTTATCTCAAATATTTAAAACGATATAATACGCATATTTCACAAATTAAAATCTGGTGTTTTCCTCTTCCTCGTACATTTTAATTTCATTACGAATAAAATTCCTTCGAATTAAATTTGTCTCGCTTTGACTGTGCTTACACCTCTAGAATTTTAATTAAACTGGTTGAAATGTCGAATACCCTGGTGGTTCTATATTAGTTAATATCGGAGAATTTATTACCTTTTGATAAGGCGCAAGTTCACTTCTAGTAAAGTATTATAAATATTATACTCGTATGCTATTTAATTAAAATCTAAAATGTATTGAAACATAATGGCCCAATGGCCGGATTCAATAATAAAAAAATCGTTTAAAATAGTGACCCTAATCACCGGGTCTATCTGTTATAAATGTAAAATTTTTGGGGCTCAATCACGGGGACAACCCGAACGGGTACCATTTAACATTACATTATATACTTTTTATATCGAAGAAGTGATGTTATATTCAAATTGCTCAACAAATGCCGTTGCCAAATACGACAACATGGTTAGAAAATAATTATTATTAATAGTTACTAGGGCCGCACTCGCGTGATCCCATATTCTATACACAGTCAGGACTATGTGAAATAAATAGTTTGACATGAAGACACCTTCCACTCTGTAATACTGATTAAGTATAATGATATTTTTTGCCACAAATTTCGACTTTTATCCCATTTTAGAACATAAATTATTATAATTCGCTATAAATTATATTAGCGGACATTCATATTTGCTGGTATACGCGAAAATAATTATTCGCCGTTTGACAAACAGTAAACGTTGCGCATTCAAACTATTTGAACCAATATATATGATCAAATATTCACATGCGATCTATGACAAATGTAAATTAGTACAATCGGACGCGAAAAAAATAAAAAAATCGTATTCATAATATTTATTAAGTTGGAACGAACCTGGCACGTTAGACCGTTCTGGTACAGCGGAAATAGTGTTAGAAGTTAAGTACCGGGTAGCTCAGTGATAGAATAATCGCCCACTAATCGAGAGCCTATGGTTCGATTCTCGGTCCGACCGCCTAATTTTCAGGACTATTTTTCGAACGAATACGATCGTGTCAAATATTTGTTCTTTTTTTTCTGCCTGAATAATAATACTATTTAACAGGGATTTTGGTCCGACCTACAACTTTTAGGGAGATACATGGTAGAGATTTTTTACCAATTCCCTTTTACTCCACTTCCTGAAGAAATAATACCTTTTAATATTTTAAACCTTCGCATAGCATAAATTTTGATTATTTTAGACAGGGGAGGTCTGGCCCAGGTAGAAGGGTGTAGACGTCTGCCAGGGCTGATAGGCTTGACAATGATCCAGGCAGGTATGAATCAAATTTGTATTTCAAGTTTAAAAGTGAGAACGTTGTTGTACTCATACTGCAGTCCTGCCCTCTATAAAGACATAATAAGTTGCGAATTAAATATAATATTATTGAATAAGCGTGTACATAGATATAATATATGCATCGGTTTAACTATGATGTGTTTTTATTTGTATATTTTTTTTATCTGTGATTGACTTTTCTACAAGAAATTTCGCTCCAAAGTATTAAGTGTTGACAAGAAATTTTCTCTAGGTGGTGCATTGAGAGAGTTATTTTTTGATTTCCTAAGGGATTTCCAAAATAATTGAGAAAAACACTACGGAAAATTATTGATAAAACTGCAAATTTATAAAAAAAAACGCCATGGTATAAATCGTTCGTGCTTTTATAAGTATTTTTATTTGGTAGGTATCTGTTATTAAAATTATATAACTTAAGAGAAATTTTTGAAAATTTATCACAAGATGCATTATAAGTTTTGTACTATAATTGTAGTAGAGTCATTTTTGTTTTCCTGGCAATTGTAATTTATTTTGTGTTAATAAATTAATATAATTTTCAATCCAAGTATACTAAACCGTCTTCAACACAGGAGCGTCTCCAGACCTTGATTATGAGGGGGGGGAGCGAAATAGCTAAATTTAATATTAATGATTGTTAAAGAAAAGACGGACTTACTTCGCACAATAGGCGGGCCACTGTTATAAATGAGACAAATGAAACAAATTACATTTCAAAGTACTTTGATTTTTTCAAATTACATGTCCCTGAAATTGTTTCAGTGATTAAAACGATTAAAACAGAATTATATTTACTTGCGTTTGATATTTAACAACACATAATAGCATATTATATTTCAAGTTCCACGAATTTATACCATTGAGTTAATATCACGGCATTTGAATAGATGGTTCATCAAATTTCGCTCGGAATCATACTTCTTCAGTATGCGATAAATATCGCTGCGCGCAGTTATAAATTAAATAACTCTCATATGTATCCTTCTTTCCCAACTTCCCAACTAAAATAGTGGCACACCCATCAGTATTAACAGCCCGTGTTTGTATTATTCCTAATGTGTGTAGAAACCGGCCTATTTATTTTACGTTGACACGTTTTTTTTTAACAATCGATAAAAAATGTTCGTATAATAAAATTAATAGTTGGCGTGGATAAAGCCATATCCGTATACAGTAAGTTTTCTTAATACCATATTATTCATCGTTAAACGGTATCGATAGTGGTTGTTGATTTCTGTGCACAATCATTGTGTGTCCAAGGAAGAAAAACACGACTTACGCTACACAACCTCACCGGTTTACCGGGCTGCCTTCAGAATCGATTTTTTTTATTGCAACGGTTCATCGTCGGTTTCCATATAGAAACGAGATTACCTCGTATATTAAGGTGTCGGTTATTCACATAAGGGTGACTTATTTCTACGATACCAGTTACTTAAAAATAAATAACGATACCAGTTAAAAGGATAAAAGTAAAAAACTCACAAACTTTAAGATTTGTTTTTTTTTTAATACATATTATTTGGATTATAAATTACACAGATCATTTGTTTCGTATACAATATAATATAAAATAATAAATAAAATTAGGTTTTTTTTTTTTATTTTTTTATTTTAGAAAAAAAAATGACGATTGAGCAATATATATATATATAAAAAATAATAATAATAATAATAAAAATAAAACGAATAGACAATGCCATCAATTAATCATTACAATCGTCGATATTTTATAATATTATAGTTATTATGCATACAATATATTTATACACGAACCGTACCGTTTTAATACGAAAAATATTGCACTCAATAGGTAGGTAGGTAGGTAGGTGTAACATAATTATCATTAATTATTACATGGTTTTGCGTACGAATTCAACTTTATAACTATTAGGCGTGTTTTGGCGTGTTGATTTCCGGTAAAACAGTTTGCCGCGTTTTCCGCATTATTTCGCTGTCGTTTACCAAGTACCTACTCATATACTTGGACATTCGCCAAAACGACGAATGAACAATATTTTTCATAGAAAACTTTTACTGCGATGATAACCGGAGACGTGTTAATGGACGAGGAAAACGGCGGCAATTATTCCGGGGAACCAAAGCTTTTGAAAACTATGGGGCGCCCGGGTCTACATGAAATCGACACTTGACATTTTGAAACGTTTTGCTTAGGGCAATAGTGAATGTTATTATGATAATATTAGATGTGCGTAAGTACAGCTCAGTAATGTGGCGTGTACCCGGAAACAAATTTCAAAATAAGGAAAAATCTCATTTGGTTGGGGTGAAATATGTTGGAATTTTAATACGACTTTTATATATATATATATATATATATATATGTAAAATTGTGCGAAATAAAAATAAATTCACGCGGGGGATTAACTCTCCGAATCATTACCGGGTACGGACTTAAAAACGGTTAAAAAAGTAATATCCCGGAGCGCCATATATTTTGGATTGCATTATGTTTCAAACAGTTGCACAATCTTGCCAAAACAAGCCTATTATTAACTAATAAAAATTCTAATATAATTATTAATATTGTAGAACGACACCGTCCATCCGGTTCGATTACTGGAGGCGCATTATTAAAACGAATTTAATTGAACGCCGTTCTGCGGTGGAAAACGCTTTAAATATATTACCGGGGAAAAAAAAAAAAAAGAATATACATATTTATTAAAAAGATCATCGTTCCTAGCGTTCCGTTCTTGTAGATTAATACAGTGGTATCCTCGGGGGAGACGTTATAATTCGACCTTTTTTTTTTTTTTTTTTTAAAGTCGACGGCGAGTAAAATGCGACAGGAACAAAAATAAGTAAGTATTTTACAGATTTCGATAAACCTTTAATATTCGAATACAACAATAGTATTTTTTTTAAATACTCCGAATATTAAGCGTAAAGTATTAGGGATAATTTAGGAATATATTTAATTAAAAATTAAAACGATCGAAAGTATAATACGATCTGTTTAATATTTGTGTTTTCTATCACTGCAGATTACGCATCGACTTTTCGAGAGAAAACAAGGTTAATGTACGTTAATATTTTTTCTATACTATTATTGTATTATCTTTGGTTCCGGGGAACAAGAGCTAAAGTCGATTTTTGGCATATTTTTTTTTTTTTATTGTGTTTTGATAATGTAATTATACGCCCCTTCTTTCTGATCGTTTGGTAGCGTGTGTGTATGTGCGCCACACGTGTCGTATTAAAAACTAAAATATCTTAAGTCGCTGTGATGTACTTTTTGATTGACAAAAAAGCATTACACGACATACGCATGCATTTAGTTTAGGCCATTAAGTTATTTAGCCGTTTAGAGATCATAAATCATACTATTTATGTCATTTAGTTATTGAATACCTCGGAACAACAACCGGATATCTCCAAATTTGATCGAAATCCATTTTTCAAATGTATCCGGAAGAATATTGCGATTGTCGATTGATACAACAGTCAAACAAATCGGTGCATTGAAATCAATGGTATGACACAAAAACGTATAGTATGTCTGGTTTTCGGTGCAACAACAAGGCAGATGTTTGATTGTTGCGCCGAATGACGGTAGAATAGATAGAATTTAAAAAGAAAGTTTTTAAATTATTATTTTTAAGTTAAACTTTTTTGATATCAAGTACATATATATATATATATATATGTGTGTGTGTGTATTATTATTTACTGTGTAACAACAAGATAACTTAAATAAATTGTTCGACTTTGCGAGTTCAACAATTTTTTTTTAACCCGATTTCCATATTCTGTAAGAAAATATATTTTGTAAATGTTTAGAACAATAAACTTTTTTTTAAATATTTGTTGTTCTTCCCGAGCAATGCGTAGTGTACATTTGAGATACTGTAATTGTTGTTCCGAGACAGTAGCGTGGCGATTGTGTTTTTTTTAGAGGCCGCGGCCCACGGTATTCGTTGATGGTGGCGTTGTCGGTCGGTGGTTGAATAGGTCCTGACTTCCAGCCGAATGAAAAAGATAACCGTGGTATTTAATTATACGTTTCGACGTGATAATGTTAGTTTATTACTACTAGAACGTACAACGAATAAATATTCCGATTATAAACATATTGTACACCTATTATAAGTGTTGGAAACAGTGCTCTCCGGATTCGGCGACCTATTTAATTACGCGAACTCGGCGATTTATTTAAAAAAAAAAAAAAAAAAATACTGTTTTTGCGAATCCTATAACGAACCGTTTGAGTTTTGAACGGAAATGAAGTCTAACGTTTATCGGATAACGGTTACTTATATTTTATAGGTACCCGTCTAGTTCCGGCCGTTACGCGTATGGGAATTTCTCCTCGGTCGGTGGCGAAATAAGGGCGGCGGGTACCGACAGGTACAGACACGATAATTGACCCGATCGACTCGAACGGTTCACCGCGTCGCCGTTCCGAGGCATTCGAAATCAAATTCGCCCCTGCCGGAAACTGCGCGAAAACGAGACCCGTGCCTTCTTCCCGGCGACCGTCGACACGATATTCGGCCGTTGCGGTTTTTATTCGCCGTTTAAAATTGTCAAATTTCGCCGCCAAACACGGGCTGCTGAAACTGTACCACGATAACAGAGCCGATCGGTTCCCGAACGGCGAACTCGGTGGAACGCTAACGCGCGCGCGCGCGTCCGAACGACTCGGCGCTATAATAATAATAATAATAATAATAATAATAATATCATGTCCGTACAAATAAAACTAAAACTAATAATATTACAATGTACCTAAGACGTAAAATACGCTATAAAATAATAATAATAATAATAATATTATCATATCAGTTCAGTCTAATAGAGTCCCGACGGGAAATCGGTGAGCTTGCCCGTCGGCACGGACATGACGTTCACGTGCTGTAACGCTTTCAGGCCGCTATTGGGATTGGTCGCGATCGGCTTGCATTTGACCGGGGCCTGTTGCTGCGGGTTACCGGACCCCGCCGCGAAACCAGAATACAGCCCCGCGTTGTTGTGGCCCCGGGTCACGAACACCTTGGCCGGTTCCCTGTCGGCGTCCCTGCCGTACCCGCCGTATCCCGTGGGCAGGTACACGGACCGCTCGGACTTGCAGTGTTCGAACCTCATCGCCGGTATCCGGGAATCGTTCATGTCGGCCACGTTCCTGGTGCTCGCCGACCTGGTCACTTGCGACGCCGTCACCGTCACCGGCCTCTCGGCGCCGTTCCCGAACACGTCGTATATCGACTTTCTTCTGCCGTCGTCTTTCCGCGGTTTCCCGGCGCCGGCATCCTCGGGCCGTCCGTCGCCGCCGACCCGCTGTACCGCGAGCGCCGAGAACCTCTTGATCTGTTTCTGAACCGACCGGAACGTTTCGCCCGTCCGTTTGTTCTTGTTGTTCGTCTTGCTGCGGTCCTCGTCCTCGTCCTCTTCGCCGTCCTCTTCGTACGCGCACTCCGAGTCCGCGCTCTCCTCGTCGTCTTCGTCTTCGTCTTCCTCTTCGAAAAACGGATTTACTTCGAAATTCTTGTTGACGAACAGGCTCCTCGATCTTCTGGGCGGTTCCGGGACGATCCTGGTGGGCACGATGGCCACGTCGTCCGCGTACCCGTAATACCTCTTGGCGCTGCTGTTATCGCTACAGCCTCCGCCGCCGCTGCTCACCGAAGACACGTGACGGCTTCCGCTCCCGCCGCCGCCGCCACCGGACCCCGTGGTGGAAGCGTCGTTCAACACCTTGTCAAAGTCCTCGAGAACTTCCTCGACGGCCGTGTCACCTTGCGACAGGCTGTTGTTGTACATCTTATACGGCGTTTTCACCTTTTTAGACGTCGAGTCTTCTTCGCAGTCGTCTTGTTCGGACGAACTAATGCCCTCGTCTTCGGCCGAATTACCGCCGCCTTCGTTTTTGTTTTTCAGCTGTGCGCTGTCCACGAGATGATGGTCCTTTATCGAAGAAATCACACGTTTCTCTTCTTGTAGAAACTATTGGCGGACGAAAAAAAAAAAATACCCCAAATCAATTACCTTCATCGTTCTACACGCCAAATATTATTATTATTATTATTTTTATTTTTATGCTCACGTGAATTTTCTTTTCCAGCATGCTGACTTTCTCCCTGAGAGTCTTCGCCTCCCTGATGACCTCGTCATGTTGTCTTTTCAGCGATTCCACATTGATGAAATTCTTCTGCCACCTGTAAATCTCGTCCGAAACAGAGCTCAACAGTGGCGACTTGTTTGAAATATTCTGGAAGAAGAAACCGTGTAACGGTTAATAAGAAAACACTACAAACTATAACAACGTTATTCGTTTTTTGCGGACGTCAAACGCACCTTCAATATGGCCGCGGGCTTGAAACCGGCCTGTTTGAGTTCGGCTTGCACGTAAAACTTTGTCTGAAGATCCGGGCACGTTTCCGTGAACGCGTTGATGAACTTCAGACCGGCCAACAGCAGTTCCATGCCCGAACTGCCACTGCCCGACATCATGCCAACCAGAAATCTGAACCTGACGGGCTCGGCGAACCGGAGTCGCATTGTGCTCATCGCGTCCGAGACCGTATTGTGTCCGTCAGCCGTGCCCGATTCACAGCACGCTTTGGTCAACAGCTGTATATGACATCAGAAACGTTACAAATAACACCGCGTTGACGAGACGAAAACTCGAGTAATAAAGTTTACTCGCAAATAGGATCTTATTTACAAATTGTATTAAGGCATTAAGGGTGACCGTAAAAGTAAAATAAAAATAGGATATTAAAAAAATGCAAATTAAACGTGACGTATAACGAGTTAGTACAAAGTCTAAAAAATCAAATTTAATCTATATATATATGTATATATGAATGTGAAATGGAAATTATTGTTACGCGTGTTTTCCGAAACCACTACACCGGTTTTTACGCGGTTTTTCGCCAAATGATCCGTATTGTCCGGAGAAGGTTTTAAACTATTGGAATTCTCGAAATGACCAATAGAAGTGGTAAATTTAAACCGCAGTAGGTCGGGCCAGATGAAAAATGATAATTTATAAGTGTATTTTTTATTGTTTATAAGCGACCATATAACTAATTCATACAAGTTTGGAATGGAAATTAAAGAAAAGGTATTTTTAAACATTTGAGGCCTTAAAGGCCATGACAGTTAACTCCAGTAATATCGACGGGAAATTAACAAAAACGTGAAGAATTAACAGGTTAAGTCACAACGACGATTAGACCACCGCTGTACAGCTAATTAAAAAGCTAAAACTTGCTGCGATTCCTAAGCTTGGGTTCAAATTGGAAGGAAAACGACGATTATGATTTGCTATTATTTGCCTACAGTAACGTGACCTAACACAAAGTATTTATTTGCACGGGCAAAGACGGACGGGACGACTAGTTATGCACACACATATTAAATATAATCTGAATGCAAAATAAATGCGAGCTGTGCGAAGGTTTTTACGTAAAAATTCGTTTTGACCGAAAACCCGTACAAACGATTACTGCACTCGGCCAATCACTGTGCGATTCGCTACAAACAAATCGAACACGTTTGAAATGCATTGGTTAATGAAAAAAAAAAAAAAAAAACGATACTCGTCTACAAAAACCGGGCAGTCACGTAAACCGACCGTCTCGGACGATCGTCGACGCGGGAGAAATTACATTATTATTGTTTCGTGTTTTCGGACGTTCGGAATAAACGCGTACTGACCTCCAGGGTGAGTAGACGGGACTGGTTGACGGTGCTCATAATGCACGCGGCCAGCGTGTAGAGTCCGGCCGGCGATATGGCCAATTTTCTGGCCGCGTCCTGACAGCGTAGGCAATACTTCAGACACTGCAGACAGGAATTCTCGTCCAATGTGACGCGGCGTTGGTTGGCCGGCGTGCACTTGGTCTGCGTGCCGGTCTGCTGGATCGTCTTCAGCAGCTCCAACAACAACGTCACTCCGTCTATGGGGTCGCCGACGAACTCCTGTACGAAGCTGAAAGAATAACAAAACGTCAAAGCTCGTTTTTGCTGTCGGACGTGACATTCCGAGGGGCTATCGGGTTTTCTGTAAAATCGGCGTTATCGTCAGGACAGACAGTGCGAGTGCTCTTTGTTGGTCGGCCGAACAATAGCTCGTAACGAAATGCGTTTTACGACCTGACGATTTCGTGTAAAAAAAAAAAAAAAATCAATAAAAAAAAAAATCGTATTCCGCGTATTATGGCCTTTTCGGGATTTTTAAAGCGTATTTCTAGAATTTTCGTACATTTATTTTAAGACATTTTCGAAATGATTTTCATCGTATTTTTTAGTAATTGTTTTAGTGCATCTGTTACACCTTAAGGTTTATCCGCCGTTGCAGTTATCGCCTGCGATTCTCAGGCCATACCCACGCAGAAACTCCCGGGTGTTTGTTTTCTCGTTTGGATTTTCAATTAACATAATTCGATTAAAACCGACGATTTTAAAACGTCCGTGTCTAATTATAATACGGGTTCTCACACTAGATTTTAAATTATTCGCATTTTTTTTGTACCGTTCGATAACGATTGATTAGGGACGCACATAGTTTTACTCGTTTTTCTAATTGATTTTTTCTCGGTTTATTTTTTTCTAACCGTTTTAAACCGCCAGTTGACCCAGTAATATGCGTTCGTCGAGGGCACGGGACACTATTACAGTCGACCAAGGTCACGTAGAAGTATTTTTAGATGCAATCATCCGTATATATTATAAGTATCGGCATTCGATATGTTACTCGGTATTCCGAAATCTCGCGTACCTACTGGTACTATGAGAACGCGTACACTTACTTGTATTGCTGCAGATTTAAACACGTTTAACGATATTATTATTATTATTATTATTATTATTATTGTTATTACGACGATAAAAAAAAAAAAAAAAAAAATGCATTATTGTTATTGCCTTTTACGTTGGGTATCTAGATATTATACATATTTTTTTATCTCGGTCAAAATAAGTGACCGTGTTACCGGTTTTTAGTGATTAATTAAATACCGGGCAGTTGGTGTGTTTCTATGTGTACGTCTGTGTGTGTGTGTGTGTGTGTGTGCGCGCGCGCGCGTTTGTATTAAAACCGTTATTTCTATGGGATACAGGGCGATCCACTTAATATAGACCAGCAATTTTCTCGGGGGAGTCTGATTTCTTTTAAAAACAAGAAAATCTTTATACAAAATCGTTCGAGCTTCTTTTTAAAACTGTTAGCGTCACTCCTCGTATTCTTTAAGTTAGTATAAATTTTTGATTTTAAAATAGAAACTCCCCCTACCACTATAATTTTTGTATACATATTCGAATACAGAATATATTTTTTCCTAACACTGACATTGACAATAATATGTATTATCGGTGTTACCGTTTTTGAGTAGTTGTAACAGTATGCCATTTTGGCCGGATGAGTAGGGAGGTGTGATAAATTTCGTATACGTTTTGATGGATCGATAACGTTTTCTCCGGTCTAAGCCCTGGACTGTTGCAATGTTCCCGTACACGATAAATCCGATATCGGCGTATCTTCCATAAAAAAAACATTCTCTATTTGAACCGGCGTTTAAAATGAGGGTCGCCGTACGAAAATTCAAAATGTACAATCATTTCGCGTACACGGTGTAGGGGAAAAACATTGACAACAACAGTGTTGAAACAGTTTAGAACATTCAATAATTGTTGCGAAATAGAAATAATAATAAACGAAAATCGTATTCGCTCGAAACAGCTCGGCAACGGATATAAATGGAGACCGCCCTGTAGATATAACACTCGATCAGCCGGTCGGTTGGTTGGTCGGTTTGTTTTTTTTTTTTCGTTTAACGCGCGCAGCCGCCACTCGCACCACACACTAGGGCATTGGGACTCGCTCGCGCTGTTACGCGTACGTTTTTTTCTTTTTTTTTGCCCCTATCGTTTTCCCCCGCCAGTGTCCGCCAACGGTTACGGCGAAACGCGCGCCGTATAATTAAACGTTTAAAAACGTATCCGATCTATGAAAACGATCGACGCGATAACATCTTTTTATTCTAATGACCTACTGTGCAGCGGCGACCGGCGGCGAATAACAGTAACGATATAATTCGCTCGTGTTTACACCGATTATCGACCAGATCGACGGCCATTATAAGCGCGTTTTGATTCGGGTGGATTTAAGAGGCGAAAAAAAAAAAAAAAAAAACGTTTACGATTGAGTCATTAAATCCGGAACACCATTAGGTATACTGTTATTGTTGTGTTGAATAACGTATTGCGCGACAGTGATAATACCGAACTCGTGTCCCGGGGCCTGTTTTGTTGGGTAATACGCTGAGGGGGGGGGGGAAGGGGAAAGGGGCTACGGCGTCTTTAGAGACCCGTTCGTTCCGTAACCGTTTCGATTGAACGGCAATCGGGACCGACATTCCTGCGGATCTCCGTTGTCCGCATCGCGTTCGTCATGCTCTTCTCCGGCGCGTTCCCGGCTGTCCGACGTGAGCTCCGTTCGTCTTGAACTCCCGCTCGGCCCGATCCCTCGCGCCGTCTTTACCGGCCGCGACCAGTGTTGCTTCGGACGCCATTCCCGTTGCTTCCGTTGTCTCCGCGCGACGCGCCCGAAAACCGTCGCGGTCTATTTTCTCCGATTTCGTCCCGCAGTCGAAGCCCCGCCCCTATCGCTGCCACCAGTGTACTCGTCCCTTGGTCACTACGCGCGCGTAGTCTTTCGGGGTTTCGAACTGATAATATTATGTGTGCACCGCGAGCGGTTTATTATCGTCTGGACCCGGACCCCGATACGAGAACCGACCGTGTCATTAAAAGGCGCGTACCCGAATGGCCGGCGTCGAAAAAATCCCGTTGTCTCCGTCTTCCGAACGTTACCGACCATAATACTCTGCGGTTTACTCGGGGTCGGCGGTAGGGAGTGTACGTGGGCGGGGGTGGAGTAACTTCTCTTCGACATTCACAAGATTACTTAGTCGGCGATTCGAAGACAATTTATAGTTTTAAATGTGGAAACACTCACGACTACTTTTTGTTTTGTTTTTTTTTTTTTGGATTTAACGTTAAATATATTGCGCGTCGAAGGACAACGTAATGGGCGAAAACATTTTACCAGAGTCGGTAAATAGTTAATCGCAACCCTCTATCGACTGGGTACAGTGGTGTACGTATTTACAGGAGTGGGGTACTGTATAAGTTCTTCACACTCCAACAAAGACTTTTTTTTCTTTTTTTTTTTTTATTCTTTATGATAATTTAACCTTTATACTGTTGACAGATAATATATTATTTCAGGCATACATGGGTCTCTGAATGGTTTTCTTTGCCGTTTCATAATTATTGATAATATGCTTTTTTCAACCGCGATTTCCATTATAGTATTAGATTCTGAGTGGAGCGAGCGAAGTAGCTCATAGTTTTACAAAGATGTTGATTATTTGTTGGTTTTTTTTTTTTATCTGTCCGCAACTTTTCTACCAGAAGACTTCTTTAAATTTTTAAGCACTTTTCGAAAAGGAAATCGATGCGGGGAGATACTTTGAGAAGGTCATTTCTTTGATTTTTTCCAAAAGTATTTCCCAGCAAACGTGAAAAACCGGTATAAAACACGGGAAAACCGAGGGAATCTTAGGAAAACTGGGAAAACCGATACAACATTAAACACATTTTATTAAAGAAAATATATAAAGCTTATTTTATTATTTTACTATGAAATGACATATATATATATATTGTTGACAAAAAAATCACTGTCAACTGAATTCCGCTCAGGACCGTTTTTTCGTAAGCAATAGTTTATTGTTGCTCACAGATATACATTAAATTCCCGTCTATATCATACTTTCCCTACTTCCCACCTACACCAGTGGCTGTGCCCGTCCACATTATCATACCTCTTTTTATATTCTGAACTCGCAATTTGAGTTTTTCCTTTAGAAAGATAACGCGTTATATATTCGCGGTACTTTCTACAGTCGCATAACCATATTATACCTATATTCGTATACACATTTTTTTTTTTGATAATTGCGGGTTTGGTATAATTTATATTTCGTCTAAATTAAGATAATGCAACCCCCTCTCAAAAAAAAAAAAAAAAACCAGTACTAAACACGGAAATGCTATAGTATTATAATGATAACGATCAAGAACTGACAATAACACAGAAAATGTTATCTGTGATGGTCATCTTCCTAATTATCGCGGTTTTATTTACGTCGGAAATGCCGTTTCCGTTTTTGGATGATATCTAGGCCCGGGAGTTCAATGCGCTTTGCGTTATTTTTCAAAGCTTCCGGCGCGATGCTCGTTTCGTGTAGTTTTCAATTAGAATAAGAAATTGTACTGTCCAATTGTTTGGTTTTCAAACGATTTTTTAATGCGTTTCGCATTTTGGAAATGCGGTTTTTTTTTGTGACGGGAATTTTTAGGGATTTACGAGGCATCGAATCGTCGCCAGTCGTAGTATTAGCAGCCATTCTGTGGTTTTTTTTTTTTTTTTTTTACACGCGCGAGGTGTGCCGCAACTGACGGGAACACGCGTTTATAACGACGGCGTATTTGATATTATCGATCCTTTTTCGGACAATTTTTCTCTTCGGCGTGTGCAATTTTTATTGCCCGGGCGTGCGGTCGATTCTTATCGTGACCTAAACGGACGGCCAATCGGAATTCGCGAGTTTTCGAATATTGTCGCCGTCACGGGGGACGCAATTGCAAACGTGCGCGCGCCGAAACGATACGACGTGTCAACGGCCAATAACAACACGCGCGGGCGAACTCGCGGCCGTATGCGATAATATTTATTCGTCGTTATCGTTCGTCCACGCCGACCCGTCAGAGTGTCCGGCCCGTACGACGCGACGTCGCCGCGTCCGGACCACCGTTCGTCCGTCGTAAACCCCGCCGAGATATTTTCGTATTTTCGCTCTCGCGCAGACGTATCTATACGTTATTCGTGTATTATTATTATTATTTTTTTTTTTTTTTTTTCAAATTTATTTCGCGTTATTCAACGCACCGAACGTCGCCGAGACAGAACTGTACGCTTGTTCGCAGTGGTCTGTCGAGTCCGTCGCACGGTACGGTACCGATATTGGCCGCGGTTTTCGTCCGGATTTTTCCGACTAGTCTTATTTTTTTTTTTTATTATTATTATTATTATTATTATTTTTTTTGTGGTTTAAGACGTATACCGTATTGTATCGTAGCCACGTTTAAATTTCGGTTCAAAAACATCTACGACGTCGAGATCGTATAATTCGCCGAGACGGCGAACCAAATCTCGTCTCGTATTCGTTATTCGTGTCTTTTTTCACGTAAAAAAGTTTTCGCGTGCCGGGACGGGGAGATGAGCGAAATCTAAGAAAAATAATTTTTTAATTTCAAGCTCCAAAATGTGTATATAGACAAATTAAGTGACATGATGTCAAGTAACGTCAATTACAACGACGTACAATATAATTTAGGAATATTAAATAAATAAAAGCTGTCCAAGATATTGGGGACGGGTGCAGCTACGGTTATATGTAATTTAATGTACGTCAGTAAGTAACGATTAACCATTGCTAACGAAAAACCGATTCTGAGCGGAGTTCGGTTGATAGTGTTGCATCGTCAATAATATATAATATGTTAAGGTAAAATAGTTACATATGCATTAAAAATTTTCTTTTATAATGTGTGTTAAATATTGCACCTATTTTTCTGTTTTTCCTTTTTACGTTTTTTCCCTTTTTTCTTCCGTTTTTTTTTTCAGTTTTCTAATTTATTCGGCAAACTCCTGGGAAAATTAGAAAATTGTCTTCTTAAAGTACCACCCCAGCAAGATTCCCTTTCAGAAAAAGTGCTATCATTATAAATCGGAGTAAAATCGCTCGTAGAAAAGTTGTTCATGGGTAAAAAAATAAAAATAAACATTATTGTTATACCAATACATTCTTCGCTCCACTCAGAATCTAAAAGTATTTAAAAGTATTATACATAAAAGATATAAACACATATTTTATATTCCGAGTGTAGCAAATAATCAATACCTATTAGTTTTACTATAATGTGGAATTTTCGCCAGATTTCTAGATTCTCAACAATCCTACTAATATCTATTATAAATGCGAAAGTCTGTTGATGGTTAGATGTTTGGTATCTCTTTATGTCAAAACAACTGAAAGGATTGAGTGAAAAAATTGCATATACGCAGTTCTAGACCAAGACACAGGAATGACATATAGGTTGTTTTCTCCTCCACCGAATGAAACCTCTAAAGATGAGCTGAAACAGTGTTGTTTGTATTTTTGTTGCTTAAGGACAACCTTGGTAATAAGGATGAAAAAAAAAAAAATCAAACCAAACTAAACGAAAAATTAATATTATTTCTTTAGTAAAACCGTGCTCGTATTTCTGTAAAATTAAAAAAAAAAAAAAAAACTGACTACAAATTAATATCGATACATCGGTTTTATTAATGTCGATTTCTGGATTATCTCGGGGAATACGATTACTATACTACGCTCCACTCAGAATGGTTTTCTCATTGAAATTATTGATCGCGGCATTCGGCGTATAAACTGAACTACCCTATCTTTTATATCTTTTCAACCACTCGCCTACGTCCTACGTCGAAACGGTTGTGGCCTGCACACGGTACGAAATCGTACTGATTTTTAAAATGTATGTACACATTTACACGGAATAACAATCGAGTAGTGCAATGCGTTATTTACCTGAAATACGCGAGTTTTAAATCGGCTTTGAGTTTGTCCAGCAGTTCGGTTGCCGACGTGAATTCTTTTAGCGTCATTTCGGTCTGTTTCGGATGATGCGGATCGTCGTTTTGGCCGTCGGCGTTGGTCTGCAGTTGCGGTCCGCGTTTCCCGAATTTGCGCAGTGATCCGGCGTAGTCTTCGACATTGTACACCGGCGGTCTGGGCTGATCCTGGAGACAATAGTAATAACATTAGCACACAGAATCGCACGCGGATGTTGCGATAGCAAAAAAAAAAATAACAAAAAGGAAAAATAATAAAAAATGTTTTCGGTCGAATCGAGCATAACATATATCGTGACGGGTTCTTTTTTTTTTTTTTTTTTGCTTTTCCGAACGAACGCTACGTAAAACCTCACTTTTAAAAACCGCAACACCCAAGCATGAGATATACGGGACAATGACGTTTTTTCGCGGTAACAGAGACGACACGACGACCTCATGATTCCGGCGCGCGAGGCACGAGGAGACTAAACGGGCGTAACATTCGAGCCCGGTTTCAGTTAAATTCTCATATAATATGAAACGGTTTTCGTTTTGTGTAATATAATTGCTCTGTCCGCGCGAACGGCATAAACGAAAATAATAATAATAATAATAATAATTTCACTTTTCCGGTGCCGAGAGATAATGAAGAGAAACAAAACAAAAAAATTGGTTTTTTTTTAATGTTATGTTAATACGACATTGTAATTATTATTATATGTTATTACGTGATTATAGCGCATTAATGGGATCCCACGGTTATAATATATGTATACGAACGGACGTTAAAAGGATTTCGCTGTGTATATTATTACGGTCGTCGCCGCCGTGCACGAGTGTATTACGTTGTAAATGTAACTGAAAACTTCGGTTTTTTTTTTTTTTTTTATAATTATTTTAGACGTGCAACACAATAATAAAACTACGACGAAATATAACACGAAAAACGCGATGAGCAGAAAAATATAAAAAAAAAAAAAAAATAAAATAAAAATAAACTCCTGTACACGTTATGGGAACTTCCCACACGCGGCCGATTTTCTTCTCGTTCGCGTTACTCAACGACAACAACGGCGAATCGGCAGAACATCGTCGGCCTGCCCACCGCCAGATCTCGCGCGGTTGTTGCCCGTCCCCGGTAAAAATCCTGATATTGTGTTTTGCCTTAACGGGATATGCATTTTTATTATAACTGTACTTACCGCCGAGTTATTATCCGCGGTTAAATTAAATGACGGGATTATTATGTTATTATTATTATCCGGGTAAAATGCACACGCGTGTCGTAGCATATGACTCGTTGAAAACCCCGCGTTAATACAATAATACCGTGCGATTCGCGAGTCAATAGAATCATATTCTGAGCGACGAGTTAACGGACTCTGCGAACTTTCGGCTGTGATCAATTCCCGATAATTTACCTGCGTCACGCGGGTGCGTGTAGCCGGGAGTTTCCTAAAGGTAAGCTTTGATAAAAATGCACAATTATTTTTTCCACTATCACGGTACGTTAAAACTTAAAAAAAACGCACCGAATAGGATGGCAATATTCGTATCTATCTCGACGGGAAAATGATAGCCGTTGTAATCAATTATCTCAATAACCGCGATTAACGAACAACTGTAAATAACTATCGTACGATACCGATAACCGATCTCGGACGTACAATTTTTTTATTTTTATATATTACGAACATTGTTATGAAATGTCCATTTAATTACGTATATGGCCGTACTGTAAAACAGTTCTCCTTTCCGTATAACTGCAATAGATATACCGTGTGGTCAAGGGAGGATTTCGCCAAACGTACAACACACCACGCCTGCCCCTCCATCGTCCCGTCACTGAAACAGTGATATAACAGCGTGCGATTTTCGTAAAATAATCCGAGGTTTTCAACTTTATTACGAATTAGTAACGTAGTATCGTCCACATTGACGCCGTTAGAATACCTAAAATACCATGTCCGTACCGGTATAGCCACTCGGATTATAATTTAACGATTAAAAATGTACGGACTCATTGACAAAGTGTACGAGTATGACCTTTACCCATACCCGTACCGACCGTCCGCGACTGAAACGGGTTCACTTAAATAGCGTTTTAATAAAATACGAGTATACACACTGCGCGCGCCGAGTGAAAAGGAACAACTACGCGAAAGTAGTTTCGCGTCCGGTTTCGTTTTAATCGGTGTATAATATTATTATTGTTAATGATCGATATATAATATGCTGAATATTATTCAACTCAAGGACAGCCGTGTTTCGATCGCATAATTTTAGTTCGTAATAATCTGTTACGAGAGCTCGGCTGAACCAAACTAAAATCGAATTACCAGTGACTCGGCGATAAACGTTTGCTGCTTCCTCTTCGTTTTTGTCGCAGGCAAATGAAGTCGGTAATATGCTTACGTTCTCGCCATCCGCATCTCCGCGTTATAGCCCAACACCCCTGTTCCCCGTTACTCCGCATACCCGGACACGTCTCTGCTCATAATCTCTGCGGCCGTATTTTGTTAGCTTTATCCTATCCGGATGGCAAAGACGCTCGCCGGATAAAATCAAACCGTAGTCATTGTAAATTGTCGGCTACCGCATGGACAGTGTTGTTGTTCTTCTCCCCTAACTACTCCTCAAATATATTCGGGCGTCGGTAACATTCCCCTTGACTCGGTCTTCCACGTCATCTGCATGCGCTCCGGCTAACAGTCCTCTCAGCGCCCTCAACCGTATCTTACCATCACGATTACAGGTAAAACGGTTGTCTAACGAAATATATGAAGAAAACTTGTGGACATCTAAAGTTGTTTTATGCAATTAGTTGATAATAACTGTGCACTTCTGTCCCTTCTATGAAATCCATATGAATAATGTACGATTGCACATACCTAACTACTGTAAAAAATTAAAACTATTTCAAAGTGTATTATCCATTATTTTGTCATAAATATAATATAAAAGGTGTAACGGTTATGTTTTCCCCCTTTCCCACACTCATTTATTCACATAGCTGATATTACAGCTTCCGACTCGTCTCTATTTATTACACACCCGAACCATATAAATCTATTCTCTATTGTCTTAGCGGCCTATCAAAACAACGTCAATAAAATACTATTTCTCATAAATCCTCTTTAGTGACTACCTACACTTATCCATTTCAGCACTCTCATCTCTGCTACGTTAATAGTACTTTAATACATTAATTTTTCACTAACCAAGTTAAGCATGTTTGTCGAGCAATTGTCAAGCATGTTTGGTAAAATAATTGCGTGCGTACTCTACCAAATGAATACTTTGAAAAAAAAACTCGAAAATGTTAAATGACTAAAAATAGCTCGGAAAATCACATATTATTTTAGAAATTCGACTACGTCTAGAAAAGGCAAATATAACACATCTGTCAACATTTCAATATTCTTTCGATAACCAATTTTGATTGAATTTTATTATTACCATTTTATTGAGAGAAGACTGATGGTGTTTTTTTTTTTAGCTTTGTACATTCTTTAAGACCCCTCCCAAAATGAAGCCAGGGGGGGATAATATTTTGTGTATGCATAGCGTACGTACCGTGAACGTGCCTTCAGAAGGTTTCAACATTTAACCCCAGAGCTTACCGTCTGTTTGTGAGTTGCCGAAAATCTCGAGAACTACATTACGTATTTCGAAATCCGATATGATCAAAATACGATAAAAAAAAACACCATGAAATATTCTATTGGCAACAAGACAGCCGGGAGAATATTTGACTCTAGTGCTCGATTTTAATTTTTTTTTTTTTTTTAATTTTTCCTAGTTAGCTCTAAAATATGTTATGCCGACAAACACAATTCAAGTGGAAAACAACCATACAGAGAAAGCTAACAGCTATAAATATCTGGACAGTCTAATTACCGATGATGGCCAGAGTACTAAGGAAATTAAGCGCAGGCGAAAACCGCATTTATGATCCATATGAAACGGCTTTGCTCTAAGAAAATGAGTCTGATAAGTATGAATATGAGGGAACGATTTGTTAACGTTCTTGTATGGAGCGTGGCTTTATACGGTTTCAGAAATTGGGGGTGATAAACCAAGCAGAAAAGAGGTATTTCGAAAATTTCAAAATGCTTGATGCTGACGGAGGCTACTAAGAGTGTGCCGGACGGAGTCCCGTACTAATGACAATGTACTCGATAAAATTGATGGACCCGGAGGATTATTAAGGTCGACTGAAGAAAGAAAACGGAGACTAATCGGACGCGCTTTAAGACGCGAGGAAGTGCGCCGCGTGATCTGAGAAGGACGAATTGAAGCCGAAAGAGGCGAAATACGTTCAAGATCAACAATAATCAATAAAGTCATGTTAAAGATGCCGGGCTGTGAAGAGGCCGGTCAGTGGCAGTGGAGGGCGCTGAGGGACCGTGGATGAATGCTGTGGAACCAACCACGTACGGTTCGACCACTAACGAACGATTTCCCGGTTACCGGCCGTACAGCGTGTACACGACGACATTGTGCGCTTATATTTATTGTTCTCGGTGTGTTTAGACGGAAAAAAAAAAAAAACAAAAAACGCGCTCGTAACGCAGACAACGGTAATATCGTCGTACGGACTACGGGACGTCGTTCCGTGCGATACTATCACGCCGTCAACGGACGACGGGCATTCGTACGCTCGGTGCACGTTGATTTTTAAATGGAAAGTCAGTGCAGCGCAGCGACGATTCGAAGCGAATTCAATTGTTGCGTCGTCGCGCGTCCGCTCGCAACGGTTTAAACGCCGTCCGAAACGCTGCGTGCGCGCGGTCCGACCGCGCGCGCCAATAAATAAATACGGCGGCGACAAGCGGGACGAGCGTCGGTCGGGCACCCGCACGGTGTACCGGGCACACGAGAGCCGGGCGCCGGTACGCCCAAGTATTCCTACACAGCGAGTACTACCCGTACGCCTGTAGTGAATTTTTCAAAACTCCCCGGACCCGTCTCGGGCCGTAATAACGTTCCGAGCGAGGCGACGCGGCGACGGCAGACCGTCAGGTACGTCCGGGCCGTCGTACCATTACGCTCGGCCGTGAAAACGGTAATAATCTCCAAAAGTATTTCTTCTCGTTCCGCTTCTTCTTCTTATAATTCCCCCCTCCCTCTCTCTCTCTCGCTCTCTCTAAATTCGACACCTACGGCACATATTTTTTACCGCGGCGTTTATAAACCCGTATTATCGTGTTGCCGTTACCGTAGTGCATCCGCAGTCGTTTCGTGTTTACGGATTTTCGACCGCGACGGAATTATTATAACAACGATGTTATTAAAGAAGACTCGAACGGTGGATAATGCAATAACGTAAAATACATTTCCGAACGTACGCCGCGTCCGAAAATATCGCGTACGGCGATCTTGGAACGTCAACGCTTTCGAAATAATAATATACAATCGTGATCACGTTTTTACGAGGGGGGTTTTTTTGTTTTTTTTTTTTTTTCTCTCTCTCTCGATGTTATTCGGCCACCGAACGACTACCGTATGATTGGATATGATTTCGTTGACAGATATTTTCTGTCGGAACTTAGGTGTATTCGGTTGTCGGAATATATATATATATATGTGTTTTGTTTTTTTTACGTTTTTAATTTAACGAATGGTTCAATGGTGATTCTTCTGCGCGCGCCACGAACGACGGCATTTACAACACCGTTATACAGATAAAGGTTACGATAATTAGAGACGGGCTTCATTGGGAGCGTCTTTGACGTTTCGCAGAAAATCGGGGTCTGAACGCGTGTCGACACGTCTTTTTAAATATTCTCGCGAAATACGTTTTACGGAGTGCGGGAGTTGAAGTAAATAAAAAAAAAAAAAAAATGGGGAAATCGTATAAACCGTAAATTTGAGGACAACAAAACTATTCGGACACCCGATAAGACGTAACGAATACATACGTGCCACCGTAGGACGGGGAAGGTTTTAGGCAAGATACCTAAAGCATCTGTCCTCCAAAACGTTAAGCAAAAATATCGAGACCCCTAGAACCCATTCATCACTCCTCTCCACCGCTAAAACACAGCCTTGTTACACACTAAATTAAATCGGTTAAGTTGAATAATTTATATACATAATTGAATATAAATATCTCGGCAAGTAGTTTTCACCGCGATTTGATTTCACGATTACCTAATTTATTCATTTGAAAAAAAAAAAAAAAATCAATCGCCAACGCGCTATTTTTTTTATATATGCCGTATAATACCGTCTATGCATAATATTACATTTCAATCGTACAAGTATACACTTAAATGAAAACAAAATGGTTTTTAATTTGTTTTAGTTTTTTTTATTAAATGGATGGATTTCACGTCGTTGACAACATAATTATTATAGAGTTTCCCGTTATCGTCGGGCGCTGATCCAAGGGAAGGGCCTTTAGCCACCCCCCAACGCGTTTTACATAATATTATTTTCGATATCTATTAATGGAACTTTAAAAGGCGAAACGAACCAAAATGGACGTGAAATCAGTAAATATCAGTTATTGAACGACATTTAAACGAGAGAAATAAAAAGACGCACATACATAAGGTAGGATATGGATGGGAATAAAATTTATACCTGTGCGCGATGATAAACCGTTGTAGTAATGAAAAACGATTCGGAACGAAGTTTCTTGTATACGCGTATGTAAATCGTCCCGTTTTTCCCGCTTGGAAAATGACCTGGAAGAGTACCACCCGGATAAAATTTCCTTTCGGAAATGGTACTATACTTGAAAATCGGAGCAAGATATCTGGTACACATGTTGTTCACAGACGAAGAAAATCATAATAATAATAAACTTCATTGTAAAACCAAAACATTTCTCGTTACGCTCCGAATTTAAAATTTGAACGGAAATCGAAACAGGGATCTTTTGAAAAGTCGTAAAAGCGACAATAGTGTCGCTCTATTTTTCGAAATTAATTTGCGGAGAATTTTTTTTATACATATTATATTTTGCAAAGCTACATAAATTATCGACGGACACTGTAGTCATATATATATATGTAGGTACCAATGTACACACGAACCGTACCCGGTTTTTATATAATTGATTCGGTTAGCGAGACGAATGTGATCAGGAAATAAAATCACGTCGGTAAAAAGATAATGTGGGAAGATCAGAAGCCGTACAGACTGCAGGCGAACGGTCCGAAAAGCCGGTGATTCATTGAGTTGTCGTTACTATATATAATGTATAAACATTGAATACCCAATATGACTTATCGCGGTCGTTGGCTGTTTGAATAAAATACCAATCGATCAAAATTCGAATTATCGATCATCGCCGTCGTGTTATTGCAGTTCGCGTGCATGCAAAACGATATCAAAATAAAACGGTCGGCCCGAATCTGCATATTATTACGGGAAAAAACAAAAAAAAAAAAAAAACAACTCGTTTTGGCGTCGCAGAAAAACTCGCCTCGTTAATTAATAATAAACGCGCTGTACGAGACGCGTAGTTTCGTTCGATTTCCCGGCGAAAATCTCACAGGACCGCGCGTTTTCGTTCGCTTTCGCCGCAGCCGAGACGAACCGTCTAAAATTATTACACTATAAGGGGAAACGCATAGAAACCGCGGTTGTCGGAGAGTTTCGTTGACGGAATAATGAACACGACGACGATACTGTATAACACCTTTAGATATCCGACGACATCGTGCAAATACCGCCGCGGCCACGCTCTCCCGTTTCCGAAATTTTTATTCCGCGGTCAATTGTCCGGCGCAATAACGACCGTGTGCTGTTACGAACATCGGCACGGAGTACGATAATTTTCGCGGTCGAATTTGGCGTACCCGATCGGTAGCGAATTTTCTTTTTCTTTTCTTTTTGATGTTTGCGGTAGCGTGTTCAAATTTCGTTCGCCGCCTAAATGCTCCAAATGACGTCAGTCGGTTTTCCCGATTCATCCGCGAAAGACAATGATTTCCGTAAACTAAAAAAACAACATCGCCAACAGCTCAATAGATTCGCGACGCCGACGTTTTATTGCAAAATACGTGTATAAAAGTGCACGCGATTTTGATGTCTCGAAGTCGGTGAAAATTATATTTTCGAGAATTGAAAATTGTTCGTTAAAATAAAAAATACAAAAATACAAAATAGAGGAATTAACGCGAAAAAAAAAAAATTCGTTTTAAAATACTGACCGTAACAAAAACGTCAGGCGCGTTTGTCGTAACTCCGCGAGAAACGGACGGACGGAATTTCATAACGTTACGCGTGCTCGGAACGCTGACCGAGGACCGGACACGACGTTTCACCGTTGTCACCCGCTTCCGCTTAAAAACATTGTAACACTTCGATGTTCTATTGCCGCGCTTGACCATTGTCGGGACGCCGGCCCGACGCGACTATTCCACTTCGAACAGCGACCTAACCTTCGGACGCGCCATTCCCCGTTTCTCGCCCCCTTTATTTCTGTACGCGTGGCGGTTTTTCCACGAAGGTTTTACGGGTCTTCTCGCTCGGAACACACCGATTTCACCGGAGCGGCGTCGTGTTCGGACGTGGCTGGCTTTGTTTCCCGGCGACGGCGTCGTTGCGGACAGCCGCGCGCGCCGTCTCGGCTACGCGCACTATTCCGTTATCGTTTTTTTTCCGACGACCGGGTGCCTGTACGCGTCGTACCCACAATATCATACGGTTCAAAACGATCATTTACCCCTTCCCCCCCCCGGAATTACGTAAACGTTCGTATAGTGTCCGCAAAGACCGCGGACCACCGTAATAACAATACGATCGTTTTTTCTTTTTTTTTTTGTCTGGAATTTCCGTGTCTTATTATTTTTCGAGACCTGAGAGTTTGCCCCGCCGTTTAATAAAAAACAAAAAAAATAAATACAACCGGGTATACGATAGTGTATCGTTATTTTTCAATCCACTCCCGTGTGAAATCCTGTTGTTTTAACGCCCACAAACAAACCGAAAAAAACTGTAACGTATAAAATATCGCGATAATCGACTGGGGACCGGAGGAAAATCCTGTGGCGGCACTCCGCGGACAATATGGGTGCCTCCTAACACGTAATTTATGTATTTTAGCCGCGGAGAAAGTAACGCGCGCGCTCGCGCCGGTACGTTACCGAACCTGCACGCGTTAATGTTTGCACGTAATCGATATCATCGCGCGCGGTTAAATTTAATCGATTGTTCCAACCTACCGATAATTTTAATTTTTTTTTTTTGTTTTTTTCTTCCGCGGGTACGTACAACTAGCCGCGTAACACGTTATTAAAATATTATTATCATTATCGTCATTAGGTACGACAAGAGCGTAAATTAAAACAAAATACGCCCTCGGAACGGCCGATAATAATATCACGTTTAGAGATTATTATAATAATATTAATATCAGGTATGTACAGGTATCTGGACGTAACCGAACGTTTGGTAGGGTTCGGTGAAAAAAAAATAAAAAAAAAACACATCACCCGAAGGCCGAAAATATATATACGTATATTAATAATTACTCGGCATAATATTAGAGTACATAATCGGACACGACGGAAATATGATTAGGTAAAATGATAAAATGCGTAATGTGCGTTTAATTGAATTCACGAGAGACGTGAAGAGAAGAAAAAAAACACTTGATGCGCCTACGGCCGATGAAATAATACCTATCGCTTATTAAAAAAAAAAAAAAAAAAAAAATTTTTAAAAAAAAAAAAAAAAAAATGTTTAACAAAAAAAAGTCGGAAATCAAGATATAAATTAATTTAATTTATATCTATACGCGACGATAAATCATTTGTTAACGAAAAACGATTTTCAGCTTAGTAATAACATTTCGTTCGATTTCCTATTATGTTGCCGAGGAAATCCGAAAATCGACAGAAACAAAAAACGCCTGTGGTATGAACTATGAAAAATGTCGATAAACGTTTCGAATAAAGTACCACCGGGAAGAATTTCCGCGTCTTTTGGGGTACTCTGTGAAAAGATTGGAGCATTTCCGTAACCGAAAAAGTATTTAAAATTTAAAAAAAAACATAAGAAGCAAAAATTATAGACAAAGTATTAGAACAATTTTTCAAAAAAAGTACCAGCAATCATAAAACCCGCGTCTTTAAAAGTCGGACTATTTTTACAAGGCTAATTTTATTTTATTTTTTTCTATTTCACTAACTTCGGCGTCACTGATTACACGTGCCGTAACAGCTGACTTCCGAAATTCAGCGATGTTTTATCAAAATGATAATATACATTTCAAAACTCAACGGTTTTAAAACGTTTTGTTCGCTGAGTCTCGTTCCCGAATTCAACGTTATCGAATACATTTTCATCGGATCTAACGTTTATTTTACCGATTTGTCCGATTGACATTTTTAATCAGTTATTGTGTTTGTTCTTAACAGTTTTTCGGCCGTGATTTTAATACGCGCCAGGGATAAGGTGCGTCTCGCATCGTATATATTTGATAACACGAGAATAATGTTGCAACTCTATGGTCATGTTCAATTATCCAAGGCAATCTAAATGTTTTTAGCATCCACCAACGTTTCTCAACCATTCGGCCGTTCAGATGAATTTTAATTTCGGAAGGCAAGGTCACGGTTTCTGTTTAAAACGGTTTTTAATTGAATCGTTGAATTATACAATTAGTTAAACACGAAAAACAACACGTAAATTAAAATCGTTATTTCTGCAATAACATATCGTACATAGTAAGTATTATTCTCCTTAGCCAATCCGCAACACACGTTTCGGCGTTACCCAGTGTTGACATTTAAAACCATTTTACGATCTCGGGCTACCCGCAATCGGGACCGTGCCTAGGGGGCTGTGAGAGGTGCCCACGCACCGGGCGCTATGATTACTGCAGCAGCGACATTATATTTTTTTTTACAGTTCTGTAATTGAATATTTTTTCAACAAACGTACGAGTAGTAACGCCCGACAGACAGGTTTTATTTTTTTTTTTTAATTTTTCTGATACCAGGTGCCGATCTCGTCAGGCACGGCACTGTCCGCAATACGCCGACAACACTCCCGGTTATCCCATTTCGTCCATTCGATTTCGCACAGTTTATGATGATATTGCATTAATATAAGTCTATATTCGGGATTTACGATCGAATTTATACGAATATATAAACGAACGTATCTCGGAAGCGAATAATAATACATGCGGTACATTTTAAAATGAACAGAAAAAAAATGTCCGAATCGACGCGTTAGTTACGGAGTACAAATGCGAGAACCGTATGCCCTAAGTATGTTCCTTAATTCATCCGCGATCGTCTAAAACGGTTTTGTCGCTCACCTTGTGCACAAAGCCGGTCGACGAAACGTGACGGACCAGATGTGCTTGTTATCAGTGACGCCCACCGCCGATGCCGTCGCAGGTGAATATTAAAGAACATGTACGGACACATAAAACGTATACGCGACGGATTGATAATCTCATCCGATATGTAGGTATGTGTGTGTGTGTGTTTTTTTTACTTTTTTATACGAGTTTTCAGAAGAATAAAAACGCATTATTATAATTGCGTCTTTTCTCTCGTTACGTTATTTATAGGAGGCGCGAAAACGCGTACTCGGACTGTAGAAAAAAATTGAAAAAAAAAAAAGAGAACACTCCACGGCCGGTAAATAATTAAAATGTATATTACACGCGATATTATTGTTATACAGTGCGGTCGAGTCGGCGGGATAAACGCGATGTAAAAAAAAAAAAAAAAAAAAATGTCGCGCGATAATATTTATTATTTTTCCCGGAGCCATTTATCTGCAGCGGTCCGGCGGCGCGGCTGCGTACTCGCGGCGCGTCTCCGGAGATTTCCGGCTCATTGTGTCTGGACCACCTCGCGTATATACGCGCGAACCGACACTAATTAAACGGCGGTCGGTTTTTTTTCCCCACCACCCCCCCTCCTTCGTTTTTCCGCCGTCGTCGGCCGTGCGATCGGTCGAACGAGATAACATCGAAAGTATCGGTTTTACATATCACAACAGCACAACGTTATACGCATACATTATAACATTATACGCGCGTGTGAACGCCGCAATAATATTATTACGGCGACGACTCTCGGCCACCGCTTCCCACCGACGACCGAGGTACACGCCGTATTATCGTTGGTATTATTCGTGCGGTCCACGGTGTCGGGTATTGAATAATAATCAATAAATAAATAAATAAAATGCAAGTGACAAAATGAGATTACGTGACCGGGTCGGATTGGCGTTCGAAATGCGGCGTTACTGCGGACGGCAGAGCGAAACCTGTAAAATAATACGTCTGTATAGCAGGAAAACTGTAAATGCGTGTTAATCGATTGCGATTATTGGGAGGCATAGTGTCATGCCTTAAAAAGAGCACACACTGTGAATTAGAGGTTACACGTTCGTATAAGGGGTGATATATGGAATTGTGGAATGCGAGATTAAGAGTAACGGGGATAAATACTCGGGATGTAGGACAACGAGATTTTGAATAAGTTAGATAATTAGTAGTTACTTATATGAGGGGAGAAACATTTTAGATGAAGGCCGCGAATAGAACTCGTATCAAGAAACGACGAGGAAGACCGACAGCAAATAAAGAAGTACGGAAAATTGGAAAGTGTATAAATGCAAAAGATGATATAGTCGGAAAACTGACGAGAGAAAATTGATTGAGACGTTTAAATGAGGCATACGTTGAGAGAACGAGAAACGACCTGACCGGGGCATATGGCAGCCGGGGGAGTAGACGGCCAGAGAAAAAGTGACTGGAGGTTATATTGAATAGATGAAGTAATGAGGTGATGGCTACAGGGTGAAATGAAGGGCGAGAATAATAGTGTAAATATATAGAGACAGTAATGAGTATACAGGGTCACTTGTTGCTTGGAATTAAGGCAAACGAAGAAAGAGCGGCGGAGAAATAGCCGTAGACGATTGTGGGCCTATATTTATATATTTATAATATTACGAGTGTGCGCGCGACGATTACGTCGTCGTCGTACCTGCGGGACGCATTTCTTACACACAATGTAAATAAAGAGCTCACGAACCGCGTATATGGTTGAAATATCTTATCATAAAATTATCATCAATCACTCGGTTCGGGATAAAAAGGAGAATGAAGAAGAAGAAGTGTATGGAAAAAATAAAAATAATCCGCTCCAGTCGTGATCCGTATTAACGATTATTATCTCGGACGCTATATATTATTATATTACACGCGCGTCGTACTTTTACACGTAATATAAAGCCCCGATTCCGCTTGTCTTTTTATTTTTTTTTTTCGTTTATATAAATTACGGCCACTTACGCTTGTAAACGCGATAGTAAAACCTTCGGCGGGAAAAAAAATATTTCGTTGATTTACGCGCCTTATTTTTCGAGAACGGATAAACGTTAGGTGGGTGCCCCGATAAATACCTTTTGTATAATGCCGGGTCGTCGAATACGATAATAATTTTCGGTACGGCCGTCCTGTGGTCGGCGACGGCATTGGTGTGTAAGGACGCGAAACACGTAAGCAGCGTAAGACGATGTTTATTATAATGTTTTTGTGGGATATGGAAAAAAAAAAAAAACACGATAATAATAACAAACTACTCGATTTCGGGTTTGAAAGTCCACAGTCGTATCGCGCGCGTCGTGCGCAACACGTCGCCAGGCCGCTATCGGTTTTATTCCCTCGACAGTAAAAGTACGTGTACGACGTGTCAATCGAGTACAATGCCATTGTAAAACAAATGCCACTTTGGTACAAGCGATAAAAACTCGACGACATTTTATAGACGTATTTTTCCCGCGCGCACACACACACACACACACACACATACACACACGGTCGGTTACTCTGTTTTCGTCTTGTCAGACAATGGTGTCGGTAAATACGTGATGCACTTGATAATGAACGACACACGTACAACGTATACGACGATATTACAATCTCAACCCTCCGCCGGGTCTTTGCACGTATTTATACAATATTATACACCTGTGTCGAAAACAATTGTGAGTATATACATGGTGATTCTTTGACCACGAACCTAGCAATATTTTCTCGGAGGATTTTATGCGAATTTGATTTTTTTGTGTTTGTGTTTTGTGATTTTTTTTTTTGACTTTTATGAAATCATTTAAGCCTTATTTCAACACAATTTACAATTGTTTACACCCGAAATGAGTATCCACTTTGGATTTTTAGATCAGAACAACCACGCCCCCTCCTTTCAATCGCAGATTCAAATAAATAGAGGATATTTTTCTGGAAATTCGCACACACCATGACACCAATGCATAACACCAATAACGGATTTACCGTTTATGAGTTAGACAAGTTTAACGTTTTAACGGAAGATTAGAGAAGGGTATAATGAACTGCGTATCTATTTTTAAACGATAAATCGAAAATAGCGTTAAAACAAAGCGATTCCGTAACGATTAGAAAAAAAAAAAGAAACAGAAATTAAATCCACTTAAAATCCTCCCAGAAAATTGCTAGTTCGTGATAAAAGAATCACTCTGTACAAGTACTAATATCGTGCACTTATATATACAGGTTTTAAATTAAACGCACTACAACACAGTGAATCATAGCGAATTATTGCGTTTTCATGCGGAGGTTTTTTTTTTTTTTTTCAAAGTTTTAAAATCGAAAACAAGTCATAATATGCTGGCAGTATTGAATACATATCGCATACACATGGCACATTATCCGTTTACAGCAAAACAGTTATTTTCGTGAAAAGTGGAATGTGCAAGATGTTCGCGTCGAAAAACATCCGCTTCGTTAATAATTACAATTGTTTACGCGCGATGATATCGGTTCCCCAGACGATACGCGCATAAAATGCACTGCGCATTACGAATCGATTTTGTTTTTCGTAACTATAACAAATGATGCGTGTACATAAACAAAAAATCAAATTAGTTAGACACATAGATAAGATAAAAAGACAAATATTCGTATCCAGATAACGCACGAGATACCGCTCATTGTAGACAATTTTCCGCGATCGCAGTGCGAATAGTTCTTTTTTTAAACACTCTGTGGTGTAAAATGTATTTATTTTTTACAATTTATCGAAGTATAATACCTACGCTAAAACCGTGAATTATCATTAACAAACGTATTCGTTTATTAACTGGTACGTAGGAAGTTGTTTTTATTTTCCCCTCTTCAAAAAAAATAAAAAAATATACATTATTGTATAGGTACCTATATCCTAATGGCGGAGAGGATACAAATGTGATCGCGTCCAAACACCTCGCGCTTTCGGAGAAAAAAAAATGTTAAATGTATTGAATACCGCCGTCGGATTAGATTTGGCGAAATTATTGAAAAACGGCCGTTGAAAATGTGCCGGCAACATTATGATCGCGCATGTTTCGACGGTCGCGCGCGGTCGAATACGTGCGCCCCGCGGTTATAAAATAAACGCAACAGAAACGTGACACACCCTGTATCGAAAATATACGTGCCGAGTTTCGGGCGATGCGTTTGCCTACCTGTGTACCTGTGCCTAAAAGAGAGGGATCGGAACACAATACCCTATTAAGGGCCATCAATCTTCGTTAAGTGCGCCGCTTGTGCACCGCGAGCACACCTTCGAGGGCATGTATAATTTTTTAGTTTTTTTTTTTTTTTCTCCGTTATATTGTTATAAAAATAAAATATAATACTATATTATTAAACAACATCGCGCGGCGCGGCGCACGGTCTAACCGTTGGTTTTAGATTCTGAGCGCAACGATGAGGAATTGGTTTCCATTATATTCGTGATGCGTGTTCGTTTTCGGCATTTATTTTTCCTCCCTGACTTCGTGAACCCGGTTTCGACTAGAAGACGTAATAAATAATATCATAACAAAGACGCCATCTTCATAGTAATGTATCGCGAGAATAATCTCGCGGTAAATACTATTCTGGATCTGTTAGATCGGTGTTTTGGGAGGATTTTCCTTTGCCGTCTCAATAACGGCGCAAAACGGAGGGGGAAGAGGAAACCGGAAAAACGGAAGTATTGTTGAATTTTCTGGACATTATTATACCCGAAATATATTTCGCCTCTTTCGACGGCATTCGCCTATATATTAGCTGTATCCGTTTTAGAAGTTTTTCAGAAATTTTAGATTCTGATCGGAGCGAGGAATTCATTGCAGTATTGCAATAGTGTTTTGTGTTTTTTTTCCACGAACAGCTTTTCCACCAGAACCTAACCTGACACGTTCGTCCTTCTATCCTATTCTCCTATCCTAAAACAGCGGTACGCCCGCCAACAGTATCGGTCCATGTTATAGATTTAAATGCAGACAATTCGTATAAATTCGTTTTTGAAGGGTTTCCGTCCGTGTTCACAACAAAATGAAAAATACAAATAAACTAAATTACCCTATAAAATATAACATCGAACCTTTTGTTTTGTTTTGTTTTTTTTTTATTTTTCCGCAAGCACGTTTTATCCTTGCACATAATATACCGTGTCGTTCGTGTATCATAATATTTCCGTAAAATACAATACACGTATATCCGCGCGAGCCGTCCGGGAGGACCGTGTAAAACACGGTCGGACGTAAAAAGCAGGGTGTTTTTTTTTTTTTTTTTCATTCTTTCTTATATATTATTACGACGTCGACGACGACGGTCGGCAAAACGAAACATCGACTCGGAATATATGTATATATACGCCTACGTGCATATGTAATATTATCGTCCGATGTTTTATAGACGTCCGCCGCCGCCGCCGTAGTCGTCGTATCGTCCGGAATACATTTATTTTCACTTTGGAACGATATTAAATTAATTATTATTGTCTCTGCGGACGGAGACCGCGCGTGTAAACGGGAGATACAACGGGGGGAGGGGGAGGGGAAACCAGACCAAAAAACAATAAAAATACCCGTTGACGAAACGCCAAAAGCGTATTACACAAGCGCTTTTGTATATTATATACTCGTCGGCTGTAAATCTGTGCTATACACCGAGCGCTGTTTTTTCGTAAAACGAGTATGCATGCAAGTACTCGCGGGTTATAGGAAAAAAAACCGTACTCTTAATTGTTTTTCCATAAATTATTATTTTGACTTTTGATATCCGTTCGTCTTCTATAGTTTAACAACCGGAGTCGTATTCGAGTCTTTGCCCCCACCCTACACCCACCCACACACACACACACACACACACACACAATAAATATCGACTTTTGACGGAAAATCTTTTTTTTTTGTATTTTATTTTATGCATAATATTACGTTACACATATTCAACCGTTGGCGGAGTAAATATCAATACGCTTTTAGTTTTTTTTTTATTTTTATTTAAGTAATTTATTGAACTGTGTATTATATAAATGTTTTATTTATACGAAAATGACTGAATCACCTTTAATTGACTTCATTTATAATTCATATTATCTATCTAAGGCCGTGATATAATTTCAAAATCGAACATTTTTCCTTTTTCACAGTTCATTATTTCGACTATAGTTCTAGTATAATAATGAGATAACAAACAAATATAAGTGATAATTCAAATATTATCATCGATCGGAATATTGAGAGACGAGTGCACGTATTTGAATAGTGTTAGCATTGAGTACAGAAATATGTTAAAAAATGCCCTTCCGTTAAATACTCTTTACAGCACCTCCCCTCCAAATACACTTCTATGGTAACCGCTCTCCGAGAACACGCAGCTGTCGCCTCAATCACTGATACGCATTTTCGCCAGTCAACGTTTTCAATTTTCTATGGGTCTTGTTTAATTCTGTCCAACCAACGTTCAATGGATTTTCCTGTTAGACTTTGAGTAAATTTGATTTTTAAAATGTTACCTTTATAAAAGCCGTGTACCGCAAACGTGAATGTATATCGACTTGTGATTTTTTAGCAATAGCAATCGGGTTTTAAACCGCATACTTTTAAACTCCGTTTCGAAAAGAGATTATTTTTTCTAGACATTTTTCGATACGCAGAAAACTATAATATACTATATACCTTACTTAAAATAATGATATGATATCGGATGTATCCGCGAGCGATCCGCACATTTTCGCCCGTTTACGTTATGTTTTATTGGCGGTTTTTAACTACGGGCGGCGGTTTACCTCGACATCTGCACGAGGTAGGAAAAGAAACCTATTAATAAAAAATATTTAAAAAAAACCGAAAACACCCACAGGATCCCTGTGGGCGGTCGTAGGTACCTAACATATAATATAGGTACGTAAAATATTACGCGGCCGGCGATTATAGACCAAAAGAGTAGCCGCGCTCGTTTCGTATTTCCTAAATTACATTGTCCAATTTCAATGTCGACAAAAAAAAAAAAAAAAATCACGAGGCCCCCGAACGGGTTAACGCGTGCGAGTCTATTCGAGTGTGCCGCCCACGCGCCGATTCCTATCAAACGAGCTGATATTATTACTATTTATTTTATTTTTTTTTTAACCATTGTTCGCGCGTTGCAAAAGTCCCGCGGACTGTGACGTGGTCTCCGACGATAATTATTCGCATTGCGTCGTATTGTTACATTGCAATCGCGCGGCAAAAAAACATAAAACAAAACAAGTGAAGAAATCCCACAGCGCGCGCGTACGCTAAATCCCCTAGTGCGATAAAACTGTGAAATCGAATTTCCGACGTTGATAACCTGTAAAACAGCAGCGAACCGATAAAACGGACGGACTCGAGGAACACCGAATAACTGCACGAATAATCATCACGTCGCCATCTCCCCCGAACGAAAATAAACAACAAACAAAAAAAATATAAAACGTGTGTCGTTTTGCATACACCCGCGAGTGTAATGTTTTCACCGCGACGGTCAAAACGATTTTCGCTAGAGCCGGCCACACGCGTTCCCGCATACACCGTGCCGCCCCGGTGATGGTTATTTGCAGACCGGACATTGTGTGGGCATTCGGTTCAGTCCGGGTGTTCGCGTGGACCTATGCGGTTATCACTGTCATGACTGAAGGATCGATAATTCGCCCGCACAATGTGTGTGTGTGTGGGGGGGGAAGACTTTACGACGTCCGGGAAACGGCCTCCTGATGTGCAGGCCTACTACCGGGACGTTATAATATGCGATTACAATTGCACTGTCGTTTTTCGTGGTTTCGTACATTTAAGAAATCTGTCGGGCCCAATCTACCGCGTTAACGATGCACCGCGGGACGAATTTCTATAGTAAACGTTTTCAAAACTGCAAATGGAATGCAAAAGTCAAACGTTTCTTATTGACAATGACCCCCGAGGTTTCTATACAGGTGTATTCGCTTACCTGTAGACTCTGTTCCGTGGAAAACGTGCAGGAACTGTTCCAACTGGCCGAACTGTTCCGGGACGACACCTCTTGTACCACCCGCAACCGGGCCACGTGATCGTTATTGGTCTTGTTGCCGGATTTGGTCGATATCTGCGAAAAGAAAAACAATCATCAATAATACGCACGCGGCTAATAAACTTTGACGTTAAAAAATAAAAGCGACTGTATTTCTTTTATCGAATAAAATTCAATGACCAACATTAATCGCCGATCGGTATAAAAAATAATATCCAAATTGAAACCGACGACGACGGTATTCCGAGGAGCGGATCCTGTGGCTGGGATTAGAGCGAGTTCGTAGTAACAGGCAGCATATTATATGATTTAGATCGCAAGAGAATGAAATAGAATTTAAACTCAAATATACTACAAGACAATAATACCGCGACGTAATGTAGAGAGAAGAAACACACCATAAATACCGTCCAACACAATAAAAACGAAATATTTTAGTTAATCTATACGATTCCTCTTCCTTCTCAAATTTAACATCTCTTCAACAGCCTTAGCGGTCAACACACCTCCATTCCGTCTGTCGTTACCATTATTACGGTACATTTTTGCCATTCAATATTTCCCATTTTCTACGCGCGTTCTTTAATTCCGACCAACCAACGCTATCCCGGTCTCATGCTTGGCCTTTTATCCGTTGGTCTCCGTTATAAATGTAATGCTCCGATTTCGTCTATCTATCGCGTGTCCGAACCACTGTTCTTTGATAAAATTCTTTATGTTAGACAATTTCGTCACACGACTCCTTATAGTGTCTACCGCCCACGCCATAGTCACTTATCAACATAAATGACCGTAGCGCATATTGATCGCGTTATACCAATTTTGTTCACAGACAATGATTAATAATCTTGTTCTTTCAATTTTTTTTTTTTTTCTTTGGTGGTCAGTCACACCTCACGTTCATAATACTCACATAGGCGGTTAGTCAATGTATGCATGTATAATAATGTAACAATACAATTGATTAAGAAATTGCAACTACAGGTTAGGTACACCGCTCAAATCGAGCGATCTCAAAATTATTGCAATTTATTTACGACTACGCGCGTAAATGTCATTATCATTTCGATTTGCTGCACATAATAATATTACCTATGGAACAAAAAAAACAAAAAAAAAATCCCCGCGAAACTATAATTTACGTGTGTACATAAACACGACCGTAGTCGTACGCCCGAATGAGCGCGTATAATATTCTTATTACTATTATATACATTGCGTTCCATTAAACCGCGCGCGCGCGCGTGTGTGTGAGTGTGTGTGTGTGTGTATATGTAAATTTATTAGTAGTAATAATATTATGAGGGTCAACATCCTACCGAATAAAAAAAAAAAAATGAACGAAATAATGAGGTGAGCAGTAAAAAAAAAAAAAATTTGGATTAGTCTCTCCGCATATAGGTACCTAAACCGAAAACCAGTTTTGGACGGCGATAGGAAAAAAAAAAAAAAGTAGGTATTCCGACGATGACGACGACGACGACGACGACGTGATAACGCGTTCCGGATATTATTACACCGCCGAACTGTACATACATGTATAATAGGTATTATTGTTTTTTTTTTTCACGCAAACACCGTCCCGGTGCGGTGGACCAAAACATAAAACAAATAAACCATTCGACACGTATCTAATTACTACACTTATAATACACTTTTTTTTTTACACTTTCTTCGCGAGCGTTTAGTCGTCGGCCGCTGCAGTTTATCACCAAATATTTATTTTTTTTATTCCTTTCCTCCCGTTCGGGAACGGTTCGATTTTTTCTTTCGCGTAAATAACATCGGTGACTTTTGCGCGTTTTCGTAAACCCGTTATTCGACAAACACTGCTCTGCTGCAGTTTATTATAGTACTATTATATTATAGCGGTACAACATGGTAATAAACCCCAATCTCGAAAAGCATCGTCGTTACACAATTTGCGCCGAAAAAAATACCTACGCACCAAGTGTAATAATATTACGGTACGCGTTCCGCCGGAGAAAAATTAAGAAAAAAAGATTTATACTGCCGATGGGTCTGCTGGGTGTTTTTGGAAGGAAGCAAGTCAGAAGGGAGGATAGAGTACTTCGATTTATATCTGTACGCGATTACTAACTGTCGATAGCAAAAAACGATTCAGATCAGAATCCTATGATCTTTTGACGCCAAGGGTTTACGTTAAAAATTGATAAAAACCACGCAACAAATGTCAAGTTTTTCCAATTTATTAAGAAAACCACAAGGAAAATAAAAAAATAACCTTCTCAATTCACCAACTAGATCTAAATTCTATAAGAATGTTTCTATAAAGTTTTGGACAGGGGGTCGAGACTTCTGGTATATGTCTTGCAAATCTTTTTTACAAGCACAAATAGTGCACACACATCATAGAAGAATCAATACATTCCTCGCATCGTTCGGAATCTAATACACGAGGAGACGGTATAATATACTAAACGCACGAAATGGCATCCAGTAATTTTTTTTTTTTTTTTTATTTATATCATTTTATGATATGTCGACGAATAGTTTTAGATTCGGAACGAGAAATGTATATAGAATATAGTTTTACTATGATGTGTGTTTTTTTTTTTTTTTTTTGTAATGAAAGATTTCGACAAGAATTTATCGAAAAGCATCACGAGGAAGAATTCTGAAAGAATTTTTTTTTTTAAACTTTACGGTGCATTTTTTCTCGAAATTCCCGGTACTTTTTTTTTTTGATAATATTACGAGAATATTATATATAGAGGCTCGTCGGTTTCGGACCAGCTATACAACTGCGCACAGTAAATAGACGTATTGCCCGACAGCAAAAAGAAGGATTTTTTACGTTAAATTTCTATTAAGTTTATGCGAGCTCAAACTTGAGTTTTAGATTTCACGTTATGTTTTTCAATTGCTACTCGTCGAGATTTGTTACAATTGTTTTATGTTAACAAGCGCTCGTATTCAATTTACGAATTGTATTTAAACAATTATATTCATCTGCACGCCTCCTTATTATACAGTTTGTAAATTAATTGGAAAGTCAGTAGCTGTAATTCGAAATACAACGTGGATATTGTAGTATAGTTTTTTTTTTTTTAATGTAATACATGACTATAATAGCCTCCCTTTTATAATGGTCTAAAATAAAAAAAAAAAAATCAAGAACCGCTGTATAAATTCTTACGTGAATTCGCCTGCTATCGAAATTGTTTTTTTCTTCGTACTGTAAATAAATAACTAGAAAATAGGTATTTTCGAATTTAGTAATAGTTTTAGCTATTAGCCGTGTATTAAATTATATACAACGAAAACAAAACTAAACTGCAATTCATCCGCATTGTATTTCGAACCAGAGCTATAGACTAACCATCCAATTAACTTACAGTACGGTGACGGTTGCGGTTGTCCGGGTACCTAGACGACTTTCAGTGAGACGAAATAATATTTTTTTCGACGGAAAATTCGGTTTCGTTTTTCATCGCGCGTATGTGAACGCGAGTCGTACCGGAGAGCGCGCATCCGACGGAACACGGCGGCGAGAAAAAACCGATCGGTTTCGATATCGATTTCGTCGGCACTACGCGACGTCGTTATAAACACCGTCGTGGCGTTTCGCGTCGGGCGAAAAACCGCAACGCACGAAACCGCCGCCCCGGAAACCACGCAACGTGTTTCGCGGATAACATTTTTTATTTCAGTGCTCGCGGAATCCCGTCGGAAACTGGAGACGTCTGGCGGTGGAGACATCCCCGTACGTGTGACGCGGCACGTTCGGGCGGTCCCTATCGCGCATCGCTTTTGCGATATCGGTTCACGCGCCTATAATGTTACACGACGCTGTGCCGCCGCGACGAACGCTCGGGTTCTGTTGCCGCCGCCGCCGCCGCCGCACGCTGGTCGAGAAACGAAAGAAAGGCGGCCGAAAAATCGGTAATTTAAATATTTAAAAGATTTAATTTTCATTCGCGCACATCCTACGGTATTTAAAAATGTTTTTTTTCGTTTGACAAAACGCCGATTTTAAGTACGCCAAATGCCGTTTACAGCATAACTCTAATGGGGATAAAACTCCGGTTCATTCGGAATAGTCATAATATTCACTGATAGATATGGTATTGAATTGAGTCATTGTCGTCGATACTTACATAATACATAAAGATAAAGGTATGTGTGCAGTGTGGACCGTACATTTGGTTTGAACTTGTAATAAAATTACAGATACATTATAAAATGGAATAGAAGTAACAGAAAAAACGAAAGATATTGTAAAGAAAACGAGGAGTGGCTGTGTTCTACTGTAAATTCCCCGATGTCTGTATACAGATATACTAATATAAGAGATACAGATAGTTCTGAACCTCGAGGTCGTGGTCGCGGTCGTCCGACTATAACGTTTGGCGGAAGTAGTGAGCGTTCAAAACGACGAAAACGTGAACGTCTCGTATATAATAAATCAAGTTTAAATGAACTTACTGAGACAACTGCATATGCGTTAAGGAAAAAAAGGAAATAAAGATACAGCGAAATCAGTAAAAGAAGCAACAAACATTACTCCGACAAGAGGAAGCAAAATTCGTGGTGTTTGGATTAAAAATAAAAATAAATTAAAGCCGTCTGTGATGAGTCCAGAAGTCGCTCTGTCTTTAATTATTTCATGTTCGTTGTCAAAATTCCAATATAATACAAATTTATACAGTTGGTATTACACGCCACCAAGTGTTCATAAGATTTTAATACACAGCTCATCAATAGTGAAATCGTTTAGTTTGCCGATTGGAATTTTAAGTGAGGAAGCTCAAGAATAAAGATACTAAGAGGCACAGAGAGTTTTACAGCCGAAAGTCTTCAAGAATTAATATTAGTACTGATATTTTTCAAAGACTATTATTATCTTCGGATCCTCTTGTAAGCGGTCTCAGAAAAGTCGATAAATATCTAAATAAGCTGCTTCCAGAAGACGAAGATTTGTCGCTGGACACTAATTATTGCAGTGATGAAGAATCAGAATGAGTAATAATTAATAATAAAAAAAACCATTGTAATGTGTTCAATATCAATAAAAAATGTTTTTCGACGATAATTGTATATTTATAAGTATCATTGTTTCAATTATATATTTTTAGCCGCCTTTTTTTTTGGTTTTCGACCAGTGTTCGGCCGTCGCGTTATAGTTTTACGATTATCCGCGACCCGGTCTCGGCGCGGAGAATCCGTTTTAATTGCGTGCAATCCGCGTCGGGGCGGCGAATAAAATATTCGCGATTTGGCACAATTTCCGTTTGTTATTACGCACGGGCCTCGGGCAATTTATGTAACAACGTTACAGACTCCTCGTCGTGGCAATATTAATAATCTCCGGAGAACGGTACTCGGCGTAATATTTTACGCGTACCGATACACGCGCGGGTACCGTTTAAAATTATTATGCTTTTTTTTTTTTTTCTTTACCCGTTTGACCGCGAAATAATCATAATAATATTGATTAACCTAAATAGACGTCTGTATGGAACCCCGACTGGTTTTAGCGCTTAAACCCGACCGTGGGATACCCGGCGACGACACCGTATTTCGCACATGCATTTCGCCATCGACGGTGATTTTTTATTTTTATTTTTCGCCTATAGTGTTTCCGTTTTGCGTACGTGTATATTATGATTATAATATATTACATTTAAATTCTCTTCTATCACGTGTGTTCCGCCGGCTGCCGTTTCCGCGTTCGGTGTTACGGAGCGCGTAAGTATATTCTGTCACGTTAGTTCTTCGGTATAGTTTCCAGAATTTATTCGACGTCCCTAGAAAAGTTATTCGATTTTTTTTTTTAATTTTTTTTTTGCTGTACCTGGGCATGTTGTCGTACTCATTGTGTCCGTCCTATATACCGATTCGTTAATGCGATTGTCACTACAACAATAACAGTTTTGATACAATAAGAATACCAAAGTCAATTTTAAACTAAATTTTCCCCCACTTCCTTGCTCTACGCCATCTTGTCCACGTATTTTCACATCTCTCTAATACATCCGCCACCATTATTCTTCATCTACTCCTACGATACCACGTCCTCGAATCTTAACCATTACAATAATCCCTAGACACTTCTCTAGGCCTATCTATTACATGGTTTCCATCTACAGTGCGAACTTAATTCACATAACAATTACTCGGATCTTAAATATATTCTACCTCTTATTTTTCCTGCTTACTCCTATATCATACGATTTTGTATGATGACGAATACATACCTACCCAGCTTAAGTATTCTCATTTTCGCTATATTTTAATTTTAATTTTATATTTTTTATTCAATGTTAAACATTTTGCAAAACACGTCATTATCGCTGCAGATCCCACAACAGTTTTCTCAAATATTATTTTTATATCGTCTTACACATGGGCGTCACTACAGTCAAAATTCTGAGGTTGCAAAAAAAAATTACATTCAAGGAATTTTCGTTCTGTTAATTTTTCGAAAGTGAAAGAAATCATTGTCGATCGCATCGCTCGTGAACATCCAAAATTTTATACTTAAAAATGTTTATTTAAAACTACAGATAATTTTATGCCAATGCAAAAATTATTGTCAATATTTAAATTTAAATAAAATCTCGACATTTTGTGTAGAACTACGCGTAAGGGAAATTACTGGTTTAAAGTATTCTTTTATACTTATTGGCTTGTTGCATTCATAATAATAAAAAAAAAATTAATGCAAACTTTTACTATAGTAACTAAATACCGATTTTATTGTTTGTAACTTGCCCAATTTTTTCAATTCTATTTAATTAGATTTTCGTATTTTGAATTATAATAACAAACTATCAAAGAAGTTGTTTTTCTAGAAAAAAAAACCTGTACACCTTGTATCGATATAATATCGTATAATGTTATCGCACTGTTACAGAGTATATTTATTATTTATTATTAAAATTTTTCGGGTCAATAGCACTTTAAACACAGTATAGGTTAGATTAGGTGAGGTTTGGTCAGGTTAGGTATATTGTATGGCATACATCAATAATCAAAAGTTTCGTGATATTTGACTTCATATTGCAAGTCACAACTTACAACTATGAAGATGAATCATTTTCATCAAGACTTGAATGAAAAGATAAATCGAATATAATTTAATATATTTCAAAAATTTAAATATTTTTTCGGGTGCTATGAAAATGATACATTAGGCACCGCAAACCGATTTATGGGATAACAAAAGTACACGTAGATACTTCTTCGTGACGGCCACGCTCTTATACTCCTTGGGTTTTCGTCCACGTCGTCACACCTAATTCCGGATCCTCTGAAATTCTACAACTTTCTTGCACCGTATAAAACGAATAAATTACAAACTACAGTAACCTCGGGAATTCAGCCACAACTCGTGTTCGATACGACATTATTATTATTATTCAACGATAAGTCCGAATATGGAGTATACACAGTATACACGCTCAATCTTATAACTTTTGAACTTATGAGTAAATGTGATTTAGTTGAAAGTATCGCTATTACTTCCCTATGTTATTTAAATGGAAAAACTAAATATGTGATGAGCAAGTTCTAAACATTTTTTGTTTGGGCTCAAATTGTTTTGGGTACATTTGAGACCGCAAGAAAGCAATTTCCAGTCTTAATTCGAATAAAAATTAAAAAAGTTAAAAATCAAAACGTCCTAGTAAACATTGCACGAAATCGTCAATATTTTCGTGCTGCACCGTTGCTCACGGAGGCGGCCGAGTGTAGCAAAACCACAATGCAGTTGGGCGTTTGTATACACGTGTGTATTATATGATTGCCACTTACCACTGCACTCGGCCGTTAGAACGAAGCAGATAGGCACGTCATAATAGTTAGTAAATGTGTTATTGTTAAAAGCGTCGTCGGTATCGAACGAAAGTGAAAAAAAAATCTCGGGTACCAGCTGAGTGTTTGCGTGCGTGTGAGTACGTTATTTTAATACGATATGCGAGAGACACGCACGAAATATACTAGCGAGTAGATACATACATAATAATATTATATTTTTTTTTTTTTTTTTATAATACTCGAGTATATTATAATCGATCCGTCGTTATGTTTACGTCCCTCATCGTCGTTATACAACGTGCTCCGAAAACCGCATGCACGTTTTATTAACGAGGTAACGCTCAATTTACTTTCAGAATAATAAACAGAATTCGTGGGTTTTATATATATATGTATTTTTTTTATTTGAAATAATTTTTTTTTTTTTTTTGTTCGCTTTTCGTACGCGATAATGACGTTTTATCGTCGGACAAAAGACCTTAATACCTGTATAATACTATGGAATTATACAAAAAAAAAAAAAAAGCCTGTACTGATGAATGTGCCGCTGTTTTTAAAGGGAAGTTTGAAAGCAGGATTTATACGTTAGTTAAATTTATATATGTACGAAACGACAAACCGTTGTAAACTAAAAACGAGAAGAGTATTATTGGTAAAAGTTTTCCTCTTGTTGCCAAGGTAACACGAAAATCAACGGAAATTGTCGGTATTTTCCGTTCATTAAGAAAAACTACAAGGAAAACCGAAAATCTACGCCCCCATTGCATCAATTAGATGGAAAATTCTACAAGAAAGTAATTCCAATAGAGTTTTTGATTGAAATGAGATTGCCAATAGAAATAGATGTTTATAAGAGTTTACAAACACACCTTAGCGAAACCAATACATTCCTCGCTTCGATCACAATCTTAAAATCCAATAGGCGCGCTTAATGCGTATATCATGCAGAACAAAAATGCTAAAAGCGAGTCGAATTCACACGGGACTATTGTAAATGCCGGTTCTGAACGAAAACGTACAGGAATATTATAATAGGTATTCCTACGCGTCTGTATACGTTTTACGACGGTTATGCGTGTAGGTAACGCGATTCGGACAATTTGTTGAGACGCGTAAAAAACGTGCCTATACCGATAATCCGATAACAACGCGGAATATAGAGCGTAAAAAAAATAATAATAAATACGTAAATTATGATACATTATTATTCGGTCGTCCGTAACGTAATGCGAATTCCGTATTAATAATAACACCTAATACGTCGTGACCGTTTGCGCGGGAAATTTCCATTTTTCAATATCGAGAACGGCGTCAAAATAACCGTCATAATTGCCGGCGTACATTTTCGCGAAACTAATGAAAACCCGTATCGGCTATTTTCCCGACACAGCATCGTTTTCCCTAGGACCGAGGCGCTTTCCAAAAATCATGGTAAAAAACATTAACGGCTCTCCGCACCCACGAGCATCAGACCCGTAATCATTGACGTAACGATATTATTACACGGGTACTCAATAATATTTCGCGGGGAGCGCAATGCATCGTCCGAACGTCTGCCCGAACCGAAGACCGTGCGATTTATGTGTACACATCAACGTCGTGGCCACGTGGCGAACCCTCCGCCGAGCCGATTTTACACGTTTTTACGGGAGTGACGAAAAAAACACTCGGCACACTTGAAAATTCACCGTTTTAAAGTAATTTCTTACCTGCTCGGAACGATATTATCATCATTTATTTGAGACCGTTTCCGAAAAAAATGTTACTTTTTCGATACAGCAATCGATTTTACTCACGCATTTTTAACTTTCCGAAGTTTTTTAACGAGCTGAACGGTTTTAAATACGAATACGCCATAATCAAAAAAAAAAAAAAATCTGATACCTCTAATGGACGTGGCGACGTTTTGGAAGGAAAATTCGAAAAAAGGCGAGTATGTACAAAGAGTAATTTAAGTTATATCTGTACGAAACGATAAACCGTCGTTAACGAAAATCGATTTTGAGCAGTATGTTATTAGTCGTATTTCGCCTCTTGTCGCGTGCAAGATAACGTGGAAATCGACAAAAATGATGCAAACAATTTTTACTTTTTTCCATTATATTACGAAAATCAAAAATCCGCTGACTGGATCGAAAACGCTACCAGAAAGTTCCTGTAAAATGTATGTGTGGTTCGAGCCCCACGTCGGGCGCCGCGGTCACTACCTTTCGATTGCACGCCTCTAGCAGATTTTGAGAACTCAAACGACCGTAAATTAACCGGTTACGGAATCCGTCCTCGAAACGTGCGTGGGTCTACTTCACTCTTTTGGACCGTGTCGTCTACAACGGCCATAAACGAATCGGTTACATACCAGACTCGGGATAAGGCTACGCATTGTGGCCACTGAAAATAAACGATGTTTCGCAGTAGCAAACAATACTTCTTTATCAGAATCAAATACGAAACGTAGCGGAATACGGAATCCCCCGGAAACGATACACACGTACGCGCCTCGATCGAATACCCGCATTTGACCCGTCACTGCGGTGCCTCAACTCGTTCGCTTCGTCGGCCCACACAACAGTGCGGTTTGTTTTTGTTTTTGTTTTTTTATTCATTTATCTTTTTTTTTTTCTCGGCGCAATACGCGCGTCGTTGCGTCGTACTCGTTACTCGTACGCGGGCGGTTCGAACGCGCGCGCGCACGACGGATTCGGCGGCGCCGCCAATGGTCGAACGGTCGCGCGGGTCGACGGCTCACGGATACGCGCGCGCGCCGTGCGGGTGGCGCGACGCGGCGCAGCGCGCGAGCGGGTTCGGATCGGACGGCGACCGTTACCGTTTCCGTTTTCGGGCCGCGGCGGTTACGTGAACCGCGCGGCGGGCAAACGATAATTGCGCTCGTGTCATGCACGGCGATCGTAATAGGTGTGTGCGCGCGTAGAGAACCGGAGAGAGAGAGAGAGAGAGAAAAAGCCGTTTCCGAACGGGCACAATACGCGACCGTTTATAGTGTGCGCCCGGGTTATTACGCGATGTTGAATTACGCCGCCGCCGAAACGGCGCGCGTTTCGAAACGCCCGCCACCGCGATTAATTAACCGGCGCGCTTACACGCGCAGCACACGCGGACTCGCTAAATCGCGTGTGACGCAACTCAATTGAAACGCGCGCGCCGGTGGCGTTTTCGTGGTTTTATCGTCCCCCGGGGGACGGTAAAAAAAAACGTATCGCAATACGGCGGGGGAGGGCAGCGACCGGCCGATTCGATGACCTTTGCGGAGAGAACGGGAAGGTAAAAAAAAAAAAACAACAACCGTTAACGATACACTATCGTACTGTTGTTGTTATAAGGGCGAACGCGGACGAAACGTATTTCTCCCGTGGTGGAACAAGACGGCGGGTGTGCGGGAACGACGGTGGCCGTGTACGGTCAAGGCCTGATACGCGGGCCGGCGGCGAAACGTTATGGATAATTCGTCGAATTTGTCAGGTAAAACCACGTTTGAGGGATCTCCACAATGTCCATAATATCTGTGTTTTAAATTCCGCGTGTTGCGTGAAGGATCTATTATTTTTCTCGAAAAACACTTTTTCGGTTAATAAAAAACCATCTCAGCTTTTCGCGAAATACATCGAAATACACGGATTCGCGTATCCGGTGGTCGTTTTCCATAATATTTTTATCGAAAAACTGCTCAAATTGCTCTTTCTGGTTTTTTTTTTTTTTTTTTTAAATAACAGAGGCGAAATTGTTGTCTATACCTTATGTACGTAAACGCTTAAACATTTCAAACTTCCCACCTACTATCATAGTGACCTATCTGCAGTGAATTATTTTTCCACGTATTCCGTAAAATATTAGAACTACATCGTTGGGTTCTAGCTCCTTTGAATTGTGACCACCGTTAACCATATCGCGCTTTTACAAATTGGCGTACTTATTTACAGTTACATTACCTATAATAACGGTACTGAAACGGGCTCGAGAAAGCTAGAAAAAACGAAAAAAACTAAAAAGTTACCGAGAAATTTAGAAAGGGTTAAACAAGATGAGATAAATGCGATTCTGGTATTCGCTCGCAGACATGTCGGTATAAAAAGCTCGTGGAATTATTGCGATTCGGTCCGCGGACGAGCAACAATATAATAATACAACACCTCGAGGTCTAACACACCTACGCGAGTTAATTTCGGTTGATAACCGTATTTAAACGACCGTACGCGTATTATTAATTTAAATTATCGTACTACACAATATTGTTGCGTATTTTTAACGCTTTCTCGCGGTACCGAAACAGCAACGAAAGCCCGACGCACTTCCGGGCCTCGGGCCGGCCGGCCACGAGTATAAAATTGGATACAGTTAATAGTAACTGCAGTGATGTCACATAAATCCGGATTTCGAAATTCGAGTTTTTATTATTTTTTAATCTATAAAATGTATGCGATATCCCGTGTATGCTGTTCGGTATTTATAACATATTTGATTTTTTTTTTTTTTTTGTTCGTTTTGGATTTCGAAAATCCGGATTATCGAACTTGGATTTCCCGCCGCTGAACCTATCGCAGAAAAACGATAATCTGCAGCAGACGAAAACAGGAGGTGGAGGGGGGGGAGTGTACCGGACGGTTTTTTCCCGTCCGAAACGCTATAGCGTAAACACCGTAAACACCGCGGCAGACATTTACGCGCCGTCGACACGACACCGACGAAAACGGAGGCTATAGAGGCGAGTAAACTAGATCTCGGATTCGAAACGCTACCTGCCCGGCCATTATGGTCCATACGAAATAACTCGAAAAAATAACAACAACAAATTACTTTCTATACGGTATTTTTCAGTTTTTTCTTTTCTTTCTTTCTTTCTTTTCCAATCGCAATTATCGTCATTACGTTCCTAACGCGTCTTGAAAACATATACCTATATATATATGTGTGTGTACGATAACGGGGAAACTCGTTGTGACACACAGCACGTCGCGTCGGTCAAGTTTCACCTTTGCTCTCCGGTCGACGAGTCGCCCGCAGAGAAACCGTCTCGGCGTCGTCGTCGTCATCGTTAAAACGGAGGAGGGTATTACGCGCGATATTTTAATTTATAAAAATATCGTATCGGCGCGGCGGACGCGTCGTAAAAAGTTTGCACCGTTACGAGAAAAATTAAAAAAAAAAATTCTTTCGATACGCATTTCGAATTCCTGCGCGCGAACCTACAGCAAAACCGCACGAACTGCAAATAAAAATAATTCAGGATGTTGTAAAAAAAAAAAAATAATAATATTTTGTTTTATTATGCCGTTAACTGCGCATTAACATTGTCGATTAAATTATTACTACTATTGCAATCAACGTCACGACGTGCTACGCGGTTAAAAAATAAACCACAGTAACTATATATGTGAGTAATTATACAAAGCCCGGATCAAATGGAAAATTCATACTTCTGGCGGGTCATAAGAGACAATGCATTCCGAGTTCGATCCGGGTAACAGATATTGTACTTCGAAAGCGAAAATTTCACTCTGCATTTTTCGCTGTTTTTTCATATTTGCGGCGTTTTTTCAGCATTTTTCGGTCGTTCCGTTAGTTTTAAGTGATACACACTTCAAATGTACTACACAAGTGTATATATCGTACTCTCGCGTCAGACTAAAGCGAATAACATTTCCGTGGCGCTTCGTCGACATCATCACATAATATTATCGGATTGAAAATATGTTTTAGAAAAGAATGTACACTATATGAAAAACATACGGGCCCTCTTATTGGTCTATTGATACATACGTTTCCGAGGTATTTTCTTTTCCGTCCATCGGACGGTAACACGTTGAAATAAACGAAACCGAAAGTGATGCATTGCGTTACGCCGAGCGCACCGGAAAAAAAAAAAAAAAAAAACAAAAACAACGCGGTCTGTCTATTCAAAATATTCGTTCGTATAACCGCCTAATCGTACCTAGATAATAAACGTACAAAACGACTAGACGGCTGACTAAATGACTGACTCTGTGTACGCACGAGTCCGCAACCGTTCACCGATAGGGAAAACTGTATCGATCGTCCCGCGAAATATTTGTATGTGAGAGGATAAATATTATTATTCGGAAACGATTTAAATATTTCTTCGTACACAAACACATATTTCACGGCGAAAACGACATATTTTACGGGTTAATCCGATATATACATATATGTGTGTATATAATTTACCCACTCGCGGCCGTACGGCCGCCGAGCTTCAGGTTCACCCATAGAGTCGGCCATTTTTTACGTAACATAATACTGTACAGTGTACATTAACCATACCGGCCGGTTATAATAAACCTGATGGTTCTGCAATTGCGCGCGGTCGCTGTTTCACTTTTTTAGAATATTGTGCCCGAAATAATAATCACGTTTTTTCTACTGTTGACGCCTAACTATTATAATAACTCTTATCATAATTGATTGCGAATTTATAATCCGAGAGACAATAAAATACAATGGTTAGCAAATTACTTCGGTGTAAATTGCCGGTGCGCAAATAATTATTAGGTAGTTTTTATTTAATATATACGGTAGAGAAGAAAGTATTTTTTTTTCGTTTAATGTAGCTAATACTTTTTTTTTTTATATATATATATAAGAAAACCGTTTAAGATGACATTTTCCTGTTTTAAAAATATTAAAACAAAATCGTTTCCGCTGTGTCTAGAAAACTATGCAACGGTCGTTTGGCGCCTATATATCTACGGCCCAGCGTAGAGGATTATGAGTACGGTGGAATTGTTCTTACGGACTATAAACATCGTCTACAGAGGTCAGAGGCCTACAACACCGGGGAAGAAAAAGAAGCATAATATTACGGTATCTGTACACGGACTACGTATAAATTATAGTATTATACTGTACGTCATTATAATTTATTCCCGGTTTTGAATTTTGACGATCCGAACATGAAAACGCGCAACAACTCGTAGGTATCTATTGATAGACGAATAATAATAATAATATTATAATGATACACTATTTCTTGTTTGCTCTGCTCCGTTATGAGATATTATTATTATTATTATTGTTATTATTATTATTTCCTATTCAATAACCGGTGCGCGCGCGTTAAAGTCTCCAAAGTAAAAATCGAATGGGCGTGAACTCGACGAGACTATTATTATGAATTGAATCGATATTCTATAAACATGATAATAATATATTATTCAGATGTAATTGTTATCGTTCGCATTTTGCAGTGCGCGCATAGCGACTCCAGTTTGCATAATCATAATATTGTATACGCAATGTAGAATTATAATTTTATAATGAACCGTATTATAGTATTATGTTTATTTTATTATAATATATCGGATCGCGAATAAACATCGATTGTCGCGGGGTTTGTGAGGGTTTCGACACCGAGCGGGAAAAAAAAAACCGATTCACTGTTGTGACCGGCACGATGGGTGGCTCGTGTCCACGCGTCATAATATATTATTGTGCTGCTATCGCTGACGAAAATTTCAACGACGGCGTTTCTATATCCGTATCCATACATTTCTGTTGTATACAAGACGGTTGTTCCCGTTACATAGTCGCCTGTCGTGACGTCATTTTATCATAGTACACGGTAGACAAGGAAACGGAACGCGTCGAAATGTCGAATAACACGACATCGCCATGTTACATTATATCGTTTGGACGTATGGACGCGGGCAACAGCAGCCGCCACAGTTGGGCCGCGTCACAATAGACGTAAACTTTGGATAAACGTTAAAAACAAAACTAACGAGACGCAATCGGGAAAACAGCAGATGTTCTGGGTATACTGTGTTGTCCGGTTTTAATCGTTATCGTTGTTATTATATTATGTCTACGAAAAATACCATCGTCTTCGATAACTCGGAATACTGACGATTTTTCGATGCACGCCATAAATTGACATGCATGCGGTACTGTTCAGTTCTTACCGGTATCGTCCAGCTAGGCGCCGAATGCCCCGTAAAAATACTCATTTGATGACACGAAATCAACGTTGTTTGTTGTATCTACGTTTTATTCGATTTATGCGATTCTATGTTTAATGGCGAACGGTTTTCAAATTTCAAAATACCCACGGTACGGTTTTTATAGAAACTAACAATAGACATAATTGAAAATAATGCACATTAAATTACCTACTAAGGGATATCTGATTTTCTCCAGACTATTTTTATTTTTTTAAATTATTCAACGAGAAATTACACTTTTCGATCACTGTGGGTTTAATTATATACGCACATATAGGCACAGTGAACAGACAGTTAATTATTATGCTTCAGACAATATAATTGTGCGCGAAACAATTTTGAAATTATTCCTACCGAACTATCAAAATTATATTATATTTCTATTGAGAGTCGCAGCGCGCAGCGAGTTAAGTATAATAATTGCACGCCTATACCACAATAACTGCCGAAGCAGCAGTGCAATAATAACATCGCAGTTCGCACGGAGTCGAATAAATTCCCTCTCTCTCTCTCTCTCTCTCTCTCTCTCTCTCTCTCTATAAATATATATTTTATTGTGTGAATAATAAGTGTGAATTCTCCGCGCGAAACACGACGACAAGTCAAATTATTGCCATTTACTATTGCGAATATCAACCTAGTTTTCTAGAAAAAAAAAAAAAAGAAATTCTATTTATATTAAAGCCAGTGCCGCGCGAATTAACTTCGTTAGGTACGAAGGTATTTTCGTGACGCAACTGCATAAATCGATTACCCGGGCTAATGAGGCGTCCGTGTAACATTATTATCATGCGACATGGAGTTGATCGAAAGAACTTTTTGAGAGTTAGAGAAAGAGAGCGTTTAAGTACTTATAAAGACATTTTTTATTTTTTTTACTTTGGCACTAACAATAATAACATATATTATGTATTAATCTAAAAATACGGATTCCAACACGGTGTTTGACCTGAATAACAATCGGTCGAACGTACGAAAACTATAAATTATATACATACTCGTACATATATGTGTACAGGAGAGAAAAAACAAATATCAAACGGTTGTAATAGTATTGCATAGCCCGACAGTTGGCGCTGGCAGAAACGAATCACCCTGTACAAATATCAGATATATATATATATATAGGTAGCGGTAAAACGAGTGAGATAAAATTATCCAACGGGCCGTCGACTGTCGCGGTTAAGGCGTTTTTGAGTAAGGTAAACGGGCGACGGCGGTTTTTTTTTTATGTAATTTTTATTACCCGCCTCTCGCCTTTATTAGGGCAAACCGATTCGGAGAACATGAGGACGAACCGTCGTAAACGCTCGTATATATAATACACACGTCGTGTACGTATTCTACGATTCTATAATATTATACTATATACTATATATGTGTGTGTGTGTGTGTGTATACATTAAGTATACGCGCGACTACCTGCAGCGTCATTCATACCGGCAAGTAGGTGCCCCGGAGCCGATTCGCCGCGGACAACATAAAACGATAATATTTCCGACGAATAATCGCGGCCGAGTACCGCCGCGATGACCGTACGAGTTTTCGGTCTCGTATTTTTCAACGAACGACAATATTTACGGAACGGCCGCGGAACAGCCGGTGTTCGTGCCCGAGCAAAAGCGTTTGCGCGCGGGCGCGGTTAGGATTGAATTCGCGTGACGGACATTGCCGGCGCGGATCTCTGACCGTTTAGTATCGTTTACGTTTCGGTCCGTCGAAGGCAAACGCGCAGTTTTCGTACGCGCGATAAATGATCGCGTTTCGACGTTTTAATAATCGAATAATATTTAATTCCGTCTGTATGACGGGCACACAACTGTACCGATATTGTATTGTATTAAACTAATTACATTAGTAGTCATAAAACGATATCTGTTTGAAACGTTCGGGTGGTGGGGGAGGGGGGGAGCTTATTCGCACACCCGGTGCCGAATCCCCCCCCCCGAGTGTCGCCCAGTCGCGTCTCCGTTTACACGGGTTACCGCAAGAGGAGAGCGATACGGGGACAGTACACGGACGAAGCGACAGGGATGGACGACAGAGACCGGCGTTGCCGACACTTCCGCGGGATTATAAAGACCGAGGACGGCCGACGGGGATGACGACCAATTGAATGGCGTGCACTCCGAACGGTTCGACGACTGTCGTATAGGTTACCTGTTTGTAAAAATAATAATCGCAATCCGTTCCGTTAACGTCGACGTCCGCGACGGCGTCCGGCGCGTCGTCGGCCGTTGCCGTCATCTGCGCGCGGTGCTGGTGGAGTCGTCGGCCGGCCACCACGATGACGTGCGGTCTGAACGAGGTGCGGACCATCGGGTGATATCGTTGCGATTCCGTCGGTACGTTCGCGCACAAAGTCTCGGGGGGGTTGTGGGGGTGAGCAATACGGTTGGGACCCGCGGCGATCACGGCGTTAAACCGGCCGGTCCGACCGACGTCGGGGTACGAGAGCCGCGAAATCGCGATGTGCTCGAGGGAACGCCGCGAAAACCGTCGGAAACGTCGCGCGAACGACACGGCGGCGGCGGTACTGCGCGGTAAAACGGAAACCGTACGACAATGACGACGACACCGCGTGACGGAATCCTGTTCCCGTAGCCGCACATCCGCCACCGACGCCGACCCGATCGCACACTGTACAGTATCGTCGTCGACCGCCGCCGCCGCCGTCGTTATTGTTCCGCCGCCGCCGTCGTTGTTGTTACCGTCGTTATTATTGTTATTGTTATTATTATATTTAGAACGTCACCGCTACATAATAACGCCTGTAACAGCCGTCTCCCGCCCGTCCGCGACTCTTGTCGTTCCTTCGCCTCCCGAAACCCGTCCCGCCGTATACGACAAACGTAATAGCCGCCGGGCACCGGTTTTCGTTCCGTTGTTTCCGCCGTTTTCCCGGCGACTCGCCGCAGACGCCGCCGCGGGCGATTTCTCTCCGCGACCGATCGGACTCGACGATAACGATAATAATAATGACGAAAAAAAAAAAAAAATAATAATAAATAAATAAATACAAAACGCGAAACGCGAAATCCCGCGCGCCTATACGTTCGTTATACGCGCGCGCGCGCAAACGACGGCGACGAAAAATATTCGTTTCGCACGCGTCCGAGGCGATTAAACCGCGCGGGACGGCAGAGTACGGCGGACGGAGAATAACCCGATCGGCTCGCCGCGGCGGTATTTTCGCGCGAAACGGCGACGACGCATCCTCGTGTGCGGCGGCGGACCCGTACGGTATTCACGCGAGCTCCGGGAGAGCGCGGTAGAGAGGCGGAAAATATTGTTCGTTTATCTCGTCGTCCCGCGTTTTTCATTTCGGTTTTTTTATTATTGTTATTTTTTTCTGCGTATACATTCCGATCGCGGACAACAACAATAACAATATTCGTACACTATTGTCGCCGTGTCACTCGAGTGTATCTGGTCGTCGTGTACGATAAACACACGCGGAATTCAATAAGTAGACGAGTTTTTTTTTTTTTTTTTTTTGTCGACGTAGCAATGAAATCTATTAGCTTCATTAAGATGCGTGGTTTTTTTTCGTTACTAAAAAATTATCCGAACCGTTTACAACGTTAGATTTCCAACAGTTTTTCCGGAAAAATGTCAAAAAACTCACAACAAACGACGGAAAATCCGTTTTATTTTCGTCGATTCTTGTGTTACCTTTTAGCTACAATCGGGGGGTGGAGGGGGGGAGTCGGTACAGACAGATAAAATATACAACCATAATTGTAGTTGACCGAGGTCCGTTTAGGTTTGTTTTTCGATTGCGATGATTTATCGTTGCTTTTTGCAATGTATAAATTAAATTATTACTCTGTATCCAATAACGTTCTTCGGCGAACTGAAACCCAACAACGGTGATCTGCCCATGTTGATAAGTATGTCCGGATTGTTTAAAATTGTATTGTATTTTAAATTCTAAAAACGATTCGAAACACGTCTACGACTGATTCATTCGTTAGCACGACGTCTGCACTATACGAATTCATAATGCATTAAAATATACGATCGAATACATAATTTAAAACGTTTGAAAATCATATAATAATATTTTTTTATAGATTATTAACCATTGTCGGGTGTTAAATATCATAAATGATAAAGATTAAATAAAAAAAAAAAAAAAAAACGACGAAACGCTTTTAAATCTTTGCGTTTTTATTTGTTCGCTTCGATTGTGTAATGTAGAATCGTCTTTAATTCGAATTATGGACAACATACACATGACAAGCAATAAAACGATCGCAAATTAAAATTCAATATTTACGATTACCGTGGTTTTAAAACATTGTCGTTTATTATTTTTTTATAATAAAAAAATATTATTGTTTTTTTTTTCCACGGTTTATCGAACAATCCTTTAGCTTTGAAGAAACATCAACTACCGAGGTCATTTTTGTAAAAAAAGGGAGGGGGCAATTTAAATTTTAAATTTGTCTACAAACATAATTTACATTGTACACTAACTGTAAAAATTCAAATTTTAATCCATCTCATAATTTTTCTCGTTCAACAAAATATAATAACGTTGCATAAAAGAATATATAATATCGTTCCGTTTTCGACCGTCTTCTACGACGAGGTGCGTAAGCGTGTAACGAAAATATTCTTAAAAAAAAATGTCGTAATCGAAACATTGAAAATAGTGGGGTGTGAACCAACTGGCTTTTGAAGTTGGCAGAAATCAGGCTATTATTTATTTTTTTTAATTTTATTCCGTTCGAACGAGCTTATTGAGTTTTATCGGAGACGGTCTCTTGAAATCAAAACTGATGCGTACATACTCGTCTTAAAGACGAGCTTAAAGTCACGTTTTATTGTTGCGAAACACATACTCGAAAAAATATTAACCGTATGTGTATACGAAAATCGGGTCAATGTCTGTGGGTGTTTAATGCAGTTTACGCAACACCGTATGCGGTTTATCGCACGAGTATAACAATGTCAAAAATAATGTGATTTTCCGTCGTTGATGGCGGTTTTTTATTTATTTTTTTTTTTTTTTATCGAGTTTACGCCGGGTCGCGAGCAGAGAACGCATAATCATAATTGAATAATATTACGTGCTAAGCCATGAACGGACACGGTATCCCCAAAATCGATACGTATCTATCGGATACAGAGCGAAGCGAGAAATGTATTGGTTTTACTATGTGGTGTGTTTTTAATTTTTTTTTTTTGCGCACCTGTAAACAACTTTTCTACCAGAAATCTGGTTTCCGATCAGAAACTTTACAGGAACCTTCTTGTAGCGTTTTTCGTCTAGCCGGTGCATCGAGACGGTCGATTGTCGATTCGCCCCGTAGTTTTCTTAATAAATGGGTACACCTGGTAAGTCTCGGTTGAATTTTTATGGATTTCCGGGTTACTTTGACAACGAGCGAAAAAAATACTATTAATATAATACTCTGTTCAGAATAGTTTTGCGTATTGTTTCTGCAACGATCATATAATCGGCGCTGGGTAATATTTTAACGACCGCGTGAATTTGCCGCTTGGATAATTTCGCCGCAACGAGTTCGATTACAACGGTCTTGAATTGTGTGTATTCGAATTAAATCTGATGTACCAGTTTTAGGATAACAATACAAAAATCGTCCGCATATTGTTTTTCAGTTCAACTAATGGCATTTGTAACGCCACCGCGAGTATAATAAATTATAACATTTCGGATATACGAATGAAATATGATCCAAACTGTATATTGTATACATAAATAAAAAAAAGAAGAGTCGATAACAAAACCGTAAAACGAATAGACCCCTCGCTTCGCTCGGAATCTAAAAACTGAGAAAACACACGATATCCGTTGCATTGTCGACGGAATCGAATTTTTCCTCCATTCCGATTGTATTTCGACGTCAGTTTAAATAATCGTTTAATAATAACGCGTTTCGATCGTAACAATATTTTGTCACGTTCCGCAGCTCATCTACGAACGGTCGTCGTTCTCGCCCGTTGACGACGCGTCGATCAAATAAATTGCAATAAATATTATCATCTATACACGGTTGAATAAAAATAATAATTCAATTTCCTACATATTTAAGTTTGTGTCGGAATTTATATTATGAGAACGAGATGAAAAAAAACTACAAAAACGTATCACGATAGGACAGCTCGTCGACGACGTTTTTTTATTTGTTTGCAGTTTTCCATTTTACGAAACGCGAAACAGACTCTGGGATTGACAAGAACGTGAGATACCCTCTAAACGCGAATACTCATCTACATTCTGGACAATTCAATACAATACACAATAATTAATATACTCGATATTTACAATATGGTGTACGTGTTTAAATACTCGACACTGGACGTACAAAAATTAATAAATATCGATTCGATTTTTCACGAACGTGAAAGTGGTTATTTATTCGAAACATTTTTCGAATTTCCGCCCGTTTCGGTACTTTCAATTTGTTACGTGTTTTTTTTTTTTAAAAGTCGTCGGAAATTACTCGGCTCTCCCCCTTGGTGATGACTAGAAAATCGATACACTGTAAACGCATTGATTTCAGTATCGCGACACAATGCGACTGCACTCGCGGTAATTACCAGAACCGTGTATCGCCCACTACGCTGGACAATCGTATCCGAAATGCGTGTTTTTAAGATACCGCGTAACGAGACGTCGACGGAAAACAACTCTGGACCGCGAGAGTGAATTCGGTGACGGCGACGTCTCGGATACCCGCGAGGATTTCTGGGTTAACCCGGATAATATAATACCGTGCGCTACCGCTATTATTGTCGCGAACACACCTCGATATGAAAAAAAAAAAAAAACGAAAACGAAAACGGAAACCGGCGCCGGCAGCTTTATTGTTATTGCGGCGGCGGAAAACGAACGTCGCGGTCGCATAACATTTACGTACGTTAGAGATTTCGACGCGCGAACAACGAGACGTGTCGCGTTTTCCCGATCGGTTACGTCCGTTGTCCGTAATCGTATTATCGTTTTATATAACCTAACCGATCTGCGGATTGGTTATTTATTTTTTTTTTTCTTTCCGGTACGGCTTTCAAAATAACGAGTGTAAACGAAATCCGATCGAGAACCGACCCGCGCGGACTGCTGACTAACGGCCGTTGGCGAACGGACGTCGTCGAACGCTTAGAAAACACGCCCGTCCTGTACCGTCCACCGGCCGTTGGCCGCGGACCGACCGATAACGATAATGATAACAATAATACAATTACGCGGTCGCGGACAATCGGAGAACGCGTAGTATTTATTTGCTTTTATCGGACTCGCGAATCGAATGGCGGCCGTCGTCGTGTTATTATTTCGCGCTAACCGTGTTGTGTACGCGAGAGACGCATTCTGTACCGTTTCCGTGACTTTGATTTCACGCCGTCGTCGACCGCCAACACGGGCGCCCCGCAGTCGCGTTACGCCCAATTAAGCGCCGTGACGGTTGTCGCCTGCACAGTCGCGATAGTAAAAAGAGGAAGAGGAAAAAACAAAAAAAAACAAGACCGGGGACGGGCGGGGCACCGTATTGCGGCGAGTTGGCCAGGTATATATAGGGTCCACGGTGTTTGGGGTTTGTTTTTTTTTTTTTTTTCTTATATTTGTATACGCGGCGTAAAACGATTCTGAGCGAAGTTCCGTCGTACGTGTTTCGGTATACCGTTATTTGTACGGCGTTCGTCGAAATTTGATCTTTGACGAAAAAAATACACAAACTACACACTCGACTCGTGCTTTACGGGGGAGGGAGGGGGGCTATTAAGCACAACTGTTATAACGAACCTCGCGTTTGATGTTCGAGCGTTGAACACGACCGCGGTACAAAAGCTCATGTCGATTTTTCCAAATATATTTGATCGGGTTTTTCACAATTATTAACCGAAAACCGCTTGGAAAACGAAAAGAACGACTTTCGAAATGTCCGAAAATCAACAAAAACGGTCTCGGAAACCAGGCGTTTGCGGAGCGTAAAATCATAGTAAAACCAATGCGTCTCTCGCGCGCCACGGAATCTAAAATTTCGAAAAATATGTCGAGAAAAACACGATGCCGTGCCGATTTTTCGCGTTTTATTCCGGAGTCACCGTCGTCATAGACGATACCAGTGCGGGCGCGTATACGTATGTTATCCGCGAAGTATTCGCGCGCGAACGAGATCGTCGGTGCCGCACTTTGCGCACTCCGTTTGTTATTGTTTTCGCCGTATCGTCGCCGTCATCGCCGCCGCCGATGCGGCGTAAAAAAACCAAATGGAAAAAAAAAATATATAATAATAATAATAATAATAATAATAATTGTACAATGAAAAGATCTATCCCGGCCGAGAGAGAGATTACAGTCGTATACAGTTAAGCCATTAAAACCGATTAACCGGGCTGTATATTATGTACTGCGTGCGAGCGAACGCGCGCCCGACAAGGACATAACGGGAACGACCTGTTCTCGCGCTGTACTTACGGTCGCGAGCGCGAGCCGTAGCACTAGTTTTTTTTTTTTTTTACTTTTTTTTTTTTCGCGTTTTTGCCGCTCATTTTACGCACGCGATAGACGCGTATATTATTCTCCGAGTGCGGGACGCGCGATTACGTATTGCGGTCGGACACGAAAGCGCGGAACGCGTCAAAAGCTGGTGTACAGCCCATGTTATATTGCGATAACATACGGCCGACTGCCTAAAACACGCCTCGGCCAGCACCCCGCACGCTAAACGGCCGTTTCCGGGCAAATCGATTAACGCTATCAAAACCGACGCCGCGACAGACGCCCGAACTCGGGTCCTTCGAGTCGGATTTCTGACTCGTGCGGTGAATATTATAGTATCAGCGAAACGCTCCGAATCGGATACGAACTACACGGAGAACACGAGGAGACATTAGGATATGCGACAAAACGGAGAAAAGATACCATTACATTTTGATAGTGTAACCGATGCTTCCCTATACAATGTCGTAGCCCGAACTTGAAAACGGAATATCTCGTCAACGGTTGACGGAAACTGAAAATGTCAACCTGAAAACGCGTTTAAACCAATACTCCATCAATGTACGGCATGCAAGTCGCTATTCGAAAACCAAAAGTAAGTAGCGTTTCCGACCCCGTAAATAAGAGCGATGGGAAAATGTAACGGAAATGTAACGTTTTAGAGTCGACCGTTTCACGAATCGCCTGCACGTAAAATGTAATCCTCTCCGAGTTAACGAACGTGTTCGTCGGACTGAACACCCTGCACGCGGGGAATTCGAGTGACGGAAAAATGAATACTACGGCGCGCAATATACTGTGGGTGGTGGGTGGGAACCTATCGGATGTTGGTGATTTCGACGAATGACGCCACGCGCGTCACAATAGTTATTGTTAAACAACAACAACAACTCGATTTGTCGTAGTCCCTTCCGACTTTTGCGGAGTCGCTGCGCATTATTGCGTATCGTCGCGGCGCCTAATAGTGCGATGCAATCGCGTGAGAATAAAATCGCCGGCGTAAATAAAAAAATATATACACTGTACGGTCGCCAAAGGACGTGCCGCCGACTCGACAATCAAAGATCATCGGCGGCGACGGTAACGATATTAGGATGTTTGTTTAAAGTCTATACATAAAAAACGAAAAACCCGATTATCATCACGGACGACGGCGAGACGACGTTGCGTATTCGACGCGTGTATTTCACCGTTCGTAAACAAAAAAAAACAAACACACATTCGGTTGATTTTTATCGAAATAGTCGGGTGTTGTTGGTCTTTCCGTCTCGTTTTAAAAACGCACCTACCTACGACGACACTGTATTAAAGACATTATCTACGCGATATATCTTTGTCTATAACCACGCTATTAGGTACGGGTACGTTTCGTGTGTATATAAAAAAAAAAAAAAAACACGTCCTTGACGAATAATAATAACGATTACGAACTTTCAATGAGCGCGGCGGCCGCGTTGAAATGCTTAAATTAACGCGTTGGTTCCTTATTGGGACTCGTTCGAGACATTGTCGCCGACAGTTAATTGCGTACGTCAAACGCGAAATGAGCGCGCGCGTATCGCAAGCGAAAGAGCCGAGCAGCCGAGACGGGGGCTTCTTGCGCAACGAAAACTGTATTACAACGCATAAAACGGCGTCGGTGTCCAACGGTAATACGACCGCGACGCGTTTATTAATATCCGTTTTCAATCGGCCAACGTTTCGACAAACGCGTTTAAGATTGCGCGCGGTTAAATATTTTTATTGTTTTTACCGTAGATTCCGGGCGGAGCGGTGTCGGTTTTACCATATTGCACGGTACGCGCTTTACGCCTGCCGGCGGTCTTGGTCCGAACGTCAGCTGCGGTGTAGGAGTGGTCTCTCGCGGCGAAATCCCGTCTGGTCGGCGCGCCGCGGAGGCTGTGCGCCGTTTGATTTCCCTCACAGCGTTTTCTTAACGATGTTGAGAAATCGCGCGAGAAAAGCGGGAAAACAACTGTACGCCGCAGCGGTCTGTGGTTTTTATCCGAATCGGGTTTTTTTGTTGCAGTCCGGTTACAGAAGCGAAAACGTACTTTTCCTAAGCGAACTTTTCCCCGAATATCCCCGAATAATATAAATATATTAGTATATTCTGCGTGCGCAGTACAATTTTTAAAACATCCTGGCGGTTTACGAAGTTATTTATAGTCATTCAATTGGGTTTCGTGTAGATTTGTAGATACCGGACCTTGATAGGTTACTTATATAAAACCCAAAAGTATGTTTTTTTTTAGTGGTTGATTTCACTAAAAAAAATAAAAAATAAAAGGGTGATAAAAAAATAGAATCAATATAATATTTTAGAACGGTTTGTCTCTTAAATGTTCTACAAAACAAATTTCGAAAAAATACACTATACTTTCCCTAAATAATGAGGTATTCTAATGTCTCAACTTTCCAACTAGTTTAGTTTTTCGTTCGCGTCCGTAAATGTAATTTGTATACCGAAAAATGTTGCTCCGATCAAAAACTTTATAGAAAGGTTTTCGTAAGAATTTTGATCTTGATGGTGTGTTGAGAAGATAATTTTTTGATTTTCCGTGCGATTTCTTAATAAACGGGAAAATTGGAAATCGTTTCTATAGTTTTTGTCGATTTATGAGTTACCTTGGCAACAGGAATGAAAATACGACTGATAAAACACTATGTCCATAATCGATATTTTAGTAATAGTTTATCATTGAGTACAGATTTGAATCGACCTACTGTAATATAGTAATTCAATATATATTATATTATATGATATCCTCCCATTCAACTTTCCTCCTAAAACAGCGGCACAGCCATCAGCGGCATCAGTTGTTATTTTTTTTTTTCATGTACGGTCGGTCTGAACTAGATTTTTTAATTTACACCAATACTGATACGCGACTCCGTACTACGCGTATGCTATTGTCGTTTCTGTCAGACGTTTCAATGGCACGTCCGACGGCGCGTCGGCGGTGTACAACACTGCACTACATATTATATTATACGCGTGTATATATACATAGACGGATATCCGATTTCACGGGTTATTTTCCATATTTCTGACATATTTTTATTTTTATTTTTTTTCTTCGCCGTCACTGTCCCGGCCACAATAAACGAAACGTGTGTCGCACCATCATGGTGTGAAAACACGTCTTCGTGACGGTCTGGGTGAGCGAGAGTCATTAACATACAGCATAACAATACCGTAAATATTTGTGGAATGCGCTATTTTTAACGCGTTTCAATTGGACGTTTTCACAACTCCAAAACGTACACATATATACGCGACGACGGGCGTTTTGGGTGTGCACGGGTACGCGGTTATGCGGTCGTGTTATTGCCACGTAGCGCAGATGCGTCGGCCGAGTAACAATCAGTGGCCCTGGGCGAATGGAAGCGAAAATCTAAATCGAAATTGCCGAAAGTGTAAGCAGCCTTACATGTACGGAAATTGAAATGCCGTCGGTAGTTGTGTCTATAGATCTGGAAAGCATGAGCGACGCGACAGATAGTCGGAGACTCGCACGTGCGAGAAATACTATCAACAATTCACTTCAAAACGTTTTCAATGGATTATATGTTACCGGTTTGGGGATAAAATCCTATACTAGTCCATTGATTCGTATACATAAACGAATAAACGATGTACTCGTAGGTACACAGTCCGTGTACACACCGTGCGATCGAAGAAAAAAATACGCAACGAGAACGAAATATTGTGGAGATGACATAATGAAGTCTACTCAAATCACGGTATTCCTACGCAATAGGAACTTCGAAATATTTAAACATTGTTGAGCAACATAATAATAATAAAACCAATTCAAATATTGAGTTGTGATTAAATAGGTTAACAAAAAAAAAAAAAGTGACATACTCGCACCACAGGTGGGCCGCAGTAGCCACAAACGAGAATTCGAGAAGGTCGAAGGTAGGATATTTTAATTTGTATAATATATGCGCAAATATGTATCATTACGAACGAATAACGATTCAGAGCGAAATTCGGTCGAACGCGTGTAATTGATAAATTTCAATTTAAAATAGTGTCAATTTGCAACTGCAAATAATATATTACAATTGTTCGTCTTTTTATGATTTAAACGTCAACATTGAACTTAAAACGGATTGCAACAAAATTTGTATCCCCATAAATAATGAAAAAAACAATATCTCAACAATTCCAAATATCTGTATAAATAGCTCAAAAAAACAAAAATCGCACAGCGATCTAGAAAGTGATAAATATGAGTGTCCGGAGAAAGTATCAGATCTCAACAATTATTTCGAATAGAATTTCAAACGAAAAAACAAAATCGATAATAACATAAACTTTTATTGAATAAATATTCCCGTTTTTCCGACCTTTTCCTTCATTATTAAGAAAATTACAAGGACAATAAAAAAAACGATATCCTCAATGCAACGACTAAACTGAGTTTGTAACCAGAAAGTAACCCTATAGTCGATGATCGGAGCAAAAGTTTTGGTAAAAATTGTATTTACACACGGGAAAAAATTATCTTGTTTGAAATAGCTAGATGAGTAAACGTTGTATATTATAGATAATCTCGTGATCCCACAATATAAAAAGGCTGATACTGTCGATGGGTGTTCCACGGTTTTAGATTGGAAGTTGGGAGACAAGAGATATAGAATAATTATATTTTAATCTATGCGCGACTATAAACTGTTGCTAACGAAAACCGATTCTGAGCAGAGATTGGTTGTATTTTTTTTTCTTGTTGCCTAGGTTCAATTGACATAAATTACAAACAAAATTTCTCAGTTTTCCCATTTATTAAGAAAATCGAGAGTTCTGATGGAAAAAGTGTCTTTTAGAAACAAAAAAAAAAAAAATGCATCATAGTTATCAATACATTGTCATTCCGTTCAGAATCTATAGCGCCGTAATGGTCGTGAAAAAGACAGCTGCTCGAACGCTTATAGCGCCTATACTTATACAGATATATACGTATTATACGCGATCAAATACGCCTGCAGAGAAAAAAAAAACTGCGCGTGTCTTCGTGATAATACGTACGGAGAATCGGGATTACGCCAACCGCGCGCTTTATCTATTTGAAAGTACAGACAAGTCTTTATCCACATATAAGCAAGCAGAATCTATCTGAAGCCGTCGTAATTTGTGCGAATTTCGCGAACAACACAAAACACCAAATTTATAAAAAAAAAAAAAAGGAAAAAAGGAAAAATTCGCTCACGAGGATATACGCCATATTTAATACCTACATACAGCGTTTGGTCGTAATTTTTGTCGACCGCTGATCGTAATGTTATTACCGGTGCTCGGGTTTTAAGTCGTGTCGGGTTTAGCGTTCGACGTGATGGACGTGTCATTCGCGCAGTCCGTCGATTTACACATTCCTCGACTATAATACACACACACACACACACACACACACACACACACACACATACACACATGCACATGCACACACATGTATATACGTGCGTAATTACGGTTTTAGATCGCCGAGGTTGTGTGTTCGTAACGTATAATACGTGAACCTATAAGTGTATTTTACAAGGGACGCGCTCGTCTAACAGTAAAATCAACAATAATCGGTTGATAAATTATTTATGTGTACCTCTGCAACGCGTGTTTACATCTTTCGAGGCGCGGTACCTATGTATTATGACTTGTAATTATAATAATAACAATGTTTCGTACCGCGCGATACTTTTGGAATGAATAATAAAAAAAAAAAAATAATAATAATAATAATACTCTATATTATAAACCGGCTAATGTGCGCACGAATATTGCGCTCGCGATGTCGGGTATAAAGGTGCGTTAAAAAAACGTTTTCGAAATTAATCAACAGCCGCGCGGCCGTAAATCAATACGGTCCGTGGCGCACGCGCGTGACAATAATATTATGCTTTCGCGGATATATATATATTAATATTGTTTTTTTTTTTTTTCAATATTTTACTACTCGGGAGATATTGTCATGAATGTATATTATATTAGATATAACAAACAATAAAATTAACGCGCGAGTACAACGCGGTGTTTTCTCGCTTTCGTATAAAATACGATTGTGTTCTCGCGTGCGAAACAAACAACGTCGTACCCGATTTAAAAAGCCGACGTCACGAATGTTGTCTGCTAAAATGTGTACACGCGAACCACATACAGGTGCATTAAAATACGCAGTTGTGTTAGAAACGTATGTTTCATGTGGAATGTATTGTATGTACTGTATAGAGGCGACGTGATGGTGGACATTTCGAAAAAGTGGACGCGCTCCCCGGACACGTATACAACGAACTTAGGACTTAGGGCGCGTGCGAGGGAAATAATAGGGAAAGACGCGCTATAACGAAAACCATAAGGTATAGACGACTAAATCGAGATCTCCGAATACCTGTTGTTAGAGTACCGGCAGTCCGAGTGAAATGACTAACAGTAGAGAAGAATAGACGACGAGGCGATGTGGAGTAGCGATACGGGATATCGATGGCCTTTGGGACTGGAGGCGCTGCGTATATTTTCCAACCAGACTACATTAGCGGTGCAAACTACGAAGAAATTCGCCGTAGATAGCGCGAAGCGTACAGAGCTAATTTGTCGTAGAACTTTTTACGGCATCGTCGGAACCCGCTCCGCGCTCGTTATTTTTCTCAATTCGCTATTCGTCTGGCGCCAACGACGATAGTGTAACTGTCTTACGTTTCACCTATAGCTCCGCTTGTTCGGCAATTACACAGTTCGAAATATAATTCAAAAAGTTTTCTATTAATTCATTGAATGTTTTGTGTCTACGTCCCGCGAAATGACCGCCGCGGAAATACGGTTTGGAAACATCGATTAAAAAGTAATGGTACACGAGATCAGCGTGCTCCGGACGCTCTCGTTGGACTACGTAACACGATGATCGGACCTAACTATAACGTCTCGTCTCATTGTGTAACTTGACTGTTTACTCCGATTCGCGTTCGCCTAATTAGGGTTTAGAACCAACCCAGAATACGGCACCTATATAGGTGCTGTGTGCACACGTCCACACTGAACGCAGAGAGCTCCGATCTTTACGGGTAAAAAAACGTCTAAAGCGTATCGGGTGACTCGAAGTATTTGACCGAAAAAAAATGTTCTGAAAGCGAAAAAAAAAAAAACGTACATAATAATAACGCTCTATTATACGCGCGTTGTTAATGCAATAGTAGGTGAAACGCGTGACTATTGTACTGTTTCAATTTTAAATCGACGATATTTTCGACCGAATAACAATAATAAAATTATTTTTTTAATTTTATAACAAGCGATATTATACTAAAAAAAAAAAAAAAAAAACGATACGAGTGTTCTCATTGTGGTATAACAAATTGAATTATTAAATTGTTACCAATTACATATTATGTACCGATGTATACCTATTATATATTACTTAATATTTACATTAGCTATATATTATTATTTTTCGTTTAACAATAAATTACTCCTCTCTCCGGTGTCACGTATTTTTTTAAATTTTTTTTTACGGTAGCATAATACTGTATACTTATAATGATATGATAATAAATATCCCATCGCGTTACCAAATACGGCGTTCAGGTGAAATTTAACAGAATAAATTGCATTAGATCTGCCTACCTATTTAAAAACAACCGGGTAATAAAAAAAAATATCGCTTATTATTTGTTTGTTTTTAATAGTATTGCATTGTAGTCCTATTAGCATAATAAACATATTTATATTGTTACTTGAATAGTAAAAACTGGTTCCCGAATATTTTTTTTATAATTTCGTTTTGACATATTTATTTTATAATTATTATGTTTTTTTTTTTTTTTTACACGTGTTTTTATTTAAATGTACATACATAGTTTCAGAGAAACCCAGAAAAAACCTTAAAAGTCAGTGTTTCACAACCTTTTTAATGTGGCGTCCCTTAAAATAGGTAAAAATTAACGTCAATCATCTCACAACTCCCTATTAAAAAAACTGATTAAAAAGGTTAAAAAGGTCGTTTTCTACGTCAACGTTTAATTATTTTTGACCGATGAGACCCCTCATTTAGGGGTTCACGACCCCCTGCTCTAAGATAATATTCGTAAAAACTTTTTTGATTCTTATTGAACCTAAAGACAAGTGTGGTTTATGTGACCCAATAACCAAACCTAACTATCCCTGTTGATCAAAATTTTTTTCCTTCATAAGATGAGCTTTTTTAAGGGACAAAGGATACGGCGGTTAAAGGTCACATTTAATGACGAAAGAAAAAACCGAAATATTTAGGACAGTAACTGAATGAAACCCCCAGTGCCCGAGCCTTTTTTGAAAAGACCTCGATGAAGACCAAGATGAAAAAGATGGATCGGGCGTGGTAGAAGGATATTTGAAAAAAGATAGGGATTTGAAAATCGGAGGGAGCTAGTTCAAAATAAATACAGACGGCAAATTGTAGTTACGACTTCAAAAACTCTTAAGAGATAGGTATGTCTAAAGAATAATAAAAAAAATAACATTCATTTTTTTCCCATTCGAATATAAACATTTCAAAAATGAACAAATTGCAGAACAATTACATCGGCGTTCACGCAGTTCATTTTTGACGGGTTTTGTTTTTGCGAGTTTCTAAAAATTTCTATAATAATTAACTAATTTACTCGGGGTTTCTTTTTTTTTTTTTTTCTTTTTTTTTACAATATTCCGTCATGTTTTTCCACAGACGGTAATCATTGATTTCTTTTCAATTGGCTATTTTTTATTAATCAACAGCCGGACGTTATTTCTAGAGTGATATTCCGTTATTACTGTTATACATAAATGTACGGCAGGTACGCAGGTATGTTTTCGTCAACGCGGGGAGATGAAACGAAAAGAAAAAAAAAAAAAAATCGATTTTAGCGGTCATGAAATCGTGATTCGTTCTAGCGCAAAAGGGATTATTAAAATTCCCACACAGAGCGTTTTCCGTGATCGGACGCGCGGTACCAACAACAACAACAACGGCGATAATAATAATGATAATAGTAATTGGTTTCCGCAGCGCGGGGCACCGCAATATTTTATCGTTGTGTCGCCCGATAGCATTGTCCCGACGCGATTTTCATCCGAAACGACTACCGGCCGTTACATATAAAAGTGTCCGATACATACGCGGCAATAGGCACGCGCATAAAATACAATTTACAAAGAAACCGTATGCGCGCCGCAATATCCCCAAACCCGTCACTGTTAATGTTATGCACCTACATAAGCGTTTAGATTCGTTTTCCTGGCCATTGTCTTGTTTTTGATTTTTTTTTGTAAGTTGCGGTCAAACACGACGGAACATAATGCGATATTAGAGTGCGTTATGTGCAGATATTATTATTATTATTATTATTCGCTTGCGCAAGTACACCGGGAGGTCACGACGACGGGTTTCTACGGTCGTGTGCCCGTGTGCAGTGCACACAGTGGTGGTAGCTGCCGACGAGTGTATACGCCGGTAATTATAAACTAACTGTAGTGGAATAAGATAAAAAACCGTGACTCCGATATTCAGATCTCTGTACTCGAGCCGAGCGTATAACGATATTTGGTACAGGGTGAATTTCGTGCGGCGACTGTATTTCAGATTAATATAATAATCGAGACACGCTATGCTATGGAGAGGTCATTTTTCACATTTCCCGGGTCGACGTCCTGGAAACCGTACCGATACGAACCGAAAAGACGTTGTCGAGAAGAACGGTTCGAAACGGAATTGTGGGTGCTTACGTTTAATTTCACCGAAATTATCGTTTTTTATGTGTACGGACGGGGCGAAATCATATTGATATTGTCACAGTACCGCTCAAAAACCGAATTTCGAAAGTACGTTTAACCTATAAAATACGTACTTGGACGAAGTTGTATTTCGTTAAATGTACGTACGCTAGAATAATAATATAAATTCACAAAACATTTTGTATACAATCTGAAGTATGCGAAATGTATTTCGAGTCAAGAATAAAAGCACATTTTATAATTTGATATTATAACCAATTAAATGCTTCTTTCCAATACATTCGCCGAAAAAGAACCACGTTCCTACTTCAATGGCGACCAGTGACCTGACGGTGGCGTCCACAACGGTGATATCCTTCCAGTATCCGCATTTGGCGGTTTGAATTATTTCCGAAATTTCATTTTTGATCACGGGCCATTCCCATGGCGCGGGTGGAGTCAACTCTACTTTGGCGTACTTCATAAATACTTTCAAGTTTGGCTTAGCCGTTTTAATGCAAATTGAGCTAATATGAGCTAATTTATTTGTGATTTTACTCATTTTGTAAATACTGTGATGAAAATTACTGGCAAGTAAGATTGTAGGAAAACCAAACAAATGTATATTACTGTACAACAATACCGTATAACAACAGTGTTTTTTTACGTGCGTAATGTTGTCCTGTTATAATTTATTGCCACGGTAACTTATTATTTACATTAATTAATGCAAAATAACACGTTTTAAATTAATTTTAATTATCATTTTCCCCTTAGTCTTTATCTCGCGCAAAAAGAATCAACTGACTCGTATTGATGCCCTCCATACGTATATATCTCCTTATGTCCACTACGATTCTCTCATCTACTCCACATTCCCTCATATCTCTCATAGTTTTTAAATTACCTGACTATCATCTCTGTACACACGATTCACCTGCCATCTTGTCCGTCGTCTCATATTTTCTTATTTTTCAAAATGCCATCATCTTTCGGATATGTGTTCGTTAAAACCCACTTTTCCGTTAAATTGCACATTATGTATAATATAATAATTAATAATGCACGCAGTAAAAAACCTATTCTGTAAAATGTACAACAATCCGGAAAATGTGCACGTTCTCGTTTAGAGTGAGCTTTTCTAGCTAGTTCTTTTTTTTTTACATTTATACCAGAACTATATATTAAATATTATTATGTATTTTAATGGTAAAACAATATTACTGAACTTCAATTGCCGAGACTGTAGATACATAATACGTTTACCGGGGAGAGAGGGGGGGGGGTATGATAATGAGTTTTCGCGCTCGTGTGTAACCGACTAGTACTCCGCGGTCGTTAATTATAAACTAAACCGTATATAATGGAACGGGTTGCGGATGATAAAAACCGTGACTCCGGTATTAGATTAGGAATTGAGCGCACAGGGTATTTACTGGCTGAGTGATAATGAAATAACAAAAAAAAAAAAAAAAATTATATACAATAAAACCTCATTTTCTTACCTGGCCAGTCGAATCCAAATTGGAATTGTCATCAGGGTAAGGTAAGGTAAGGTAAGGTTACTGTACCGTACATTGTCTCCTGAATCGTCGATTTCCACACCCCGATAGCGTATTAACGGTCTCAATTTGAAACGATGACACAGACAAACATAGAATGCTCCGACAGCATTGACTGGCAGGGCTTTGTGTTTAAACTTAAGACGCTAACTTCCTTATAGGAAAAACAATAGGTTCGGACCAGGCATGTTAGTTTTTCCCATTTTTCTTCAGTTACGCCCGTGATGGTCTTTTTATTGATTAAGCGATGGCAGATTTTAGATTTTCTCTAGGTACAACTCTCTTAGAGCAGTATATAGGTTTAAATTGACAGTGAAAATCATTCGATAAATTAGCTTTTCTATTAATTTTATCGGTGAAAACCAAGTTATTTGCGTTATGAATTTACGATAAACAATCAAAAAAACCGACTGGAGGATTTCATTCGCTTCCGTGCGGCTCGTTTCTAGAAAGGAACGTTAACACGCACTCCGGTACTTCTCGTGTCATTCTTAAACTGTAAACATCCAACCGTCACTTTTTGGTCTTCTTCCCACCGTCCTCTCACGGCCGACAAATACGACCGTAATAATATACGTTCCGGAATGTGTTTTTCGAATAGCAGTGGGAAATGTTATTACGTTCTTCATAGGGTTCCGTTATACAATTAACAATATTATTTCGCGTCTACGGCGGTCGTGTGGCCGACGACGACGACGTGATAAAATACGAAAAACAGGTAATTTTATAATAATAATAATAATAATATGTACACAACGGACTCTTTCGGTCGTATATCGTCGAAAAGCACCCTCCCGCGGAGCGAGTGAGCATCCGGGCGAGCGCGCGGCCGCGTGTAGAAAACTACGTATGGTTTTCGATTCGGACGCGTTGCGCGCTGTCGTCCCGTCGCCGGAATAAACGGATCGGCCGTCCCGGCATAGATTTTCGTGTCCCCCGTTCGGAGCGCACAATTACCATTACCGCCGTTCGACCGCGGCCGGGCGAGCGTCACGACACGGCGGAGTTTCCGATGAGACGGCACATACCGATAGCGACCGTAATATAATAATATTGCACTCCGTCCGCGAGTAATTATAAACCTAACCGCGCATGCCGGCCGGCTGCGGCTGTCGGCGGAAGATATTGAAATGAACCGCGACTCCCGCCGACGTATTCGGATTACTCTGTAACGGCCGCGAAACGGCTGTAACGCGAGACCGCAATGAAAACCCTTGTCGTCCTATCGTCTTATATGTTACGCGTGCGCGTACCGGATTCTGCGTTGCAGAATGCGCCGCGATAAAATCCCGTGTACCGACGCCACACGCGCAGATGCGCGGTTCTACGTAACATTACCCGTTTCGCATTGTTACAATACGCGATAAACGCGTATTATTCCGCCTGCCGTTAAACCGGGAATTTATTTCCGCGGACGTACGCACTGCGCGCATAAAGCCCGGCACAACGCTGCGCAGCGCGTTCGGACGCTTGTACAGAACGATCCACTTACGCGCGAACCAACCGGCGATTTTCTCGTAGGACTTGAAAATAATTCGATTTCTGTTTTCCACGATCGTTACGGAGCCATTTCGGTTTTATTTCAATACTGTTTTCGACTTTTCGCCCGCGCTCCTCGTCGGAGACGTAGCTAGACGTGGTTTTCTAGGTAGGCCACGTAAGACAATACGAATGTTTGAATGGGAAAGATTACTAATACAGATTTTTTTTTTTTTATTTTAAAATTGTGTTAATTTTTGGAGAAAAACGGGGAGGCCCGGGCCTACCAGACCTTACCGCTGGCTACGCTACTACTGCTCGCAGAAGTTGGGTTCACGATATTATTTTGCGATACTGGTATACGACGATTATTCACGGATAGTATTATAATATCCTCCTTATTCCCCCCCACCCACCTTGTTTTCTCAAGCAAAAACGTATTTATCCTCAAACTACTATTCAAAATCACGGTTTTATGCCACGAAGTCAGTGGACTTGGGCGTTTTATGAAATTTACCCGCTTATAATATATAAATATACCGTGTTTACTGAACTGATATTATACGAACGACGGGATTTCGTATCAATTTCTGTATAATATTCGTGTATGTACGCACAGTAAATATTAAAATATTACGAGACGAGACTATGCGGACGTACAACATGTTTCTAAATCCATAAAAAACGCGGAGGCGCATAACGCTTGCGTGTGTACCTACATGTATAATATTTCATAGACGGTTCTTTGAAAAACCAACGTCATCGTAAACACCGTGACTAATATAGGTACCGACGACGTCGTCAAAATAATATTATGTATTATAACCGCGGAGACAACTATAATAATATGTTATTAAGTCGAAGGTAAAAAAAATAAAACAAAAAAAAAAAAATACGGTCGAATAGAAAATTTCGACTTTGAGCGATCGTTAAGCGAACGTCTTGACGTTACAACATAATATTATGAAATTAAAGTGTAATATTTTCACGTGACTGTACACCCGTAACGCAACGGTGCGTAAAAAATATACTCGGGCGTGTAGATTTGAAAAGGTCGATTTCTAAAAGATGATAATATTTGTTTAAACGTTTAAACTTGCGCGGGTGTCCGTACGGATACTTTTACCGGTGTAGTATATTATGATCGGTACGTTGAACATTTTCATAAAATCGTTGTATTTTTGTAGGTTCCGAGTGTTACGCGTAAAATCTATTCGTTTTTCGAAGACGTGTACTTTTCGTTTCTTTTCTCGGAAAAAGGTTTTTTCGCACAGCGGGTAATAGAGGTACACGCTTTAAAAACACGACTAATACTAGTGTCCGCTCAGAGTGGGATTTTTCGTTTGCGAAAATTAATCATTGTATACACAGTATGTAAATTAAATCCTCCTCCTGTACATCCCGCCTTCGCAAGTTCCCGAATACCCGCCCGCAAAAGTGGCCTACTCGCGAACAGTTTTAACGTTTTTATAAATGTTTTCATAAAAAAAAAAAAAAAACCTAGGTAATTAGATGGCTTTGAACGTACATTTTGTTTCTGACGCACGGCTGTTTTCGCGATCGTGCAAAACAAATAATATTCGAAATGCGCTACAAGGACTCGCTCGTAAATGATTGCGATTTTTCGTCTAGAACGTTGTGGATAATATACGTAAAAAAAAAAAAAAATTTCATAATTTTATCGCGGAGAGCACCGTACACGTAATATTATATTATTATGATTTCGGTGAACGTAAAAACGCGCTGGCGTTAATTTAACATAATATTTCGATTCGATGGTTCCGTTAAATGGTTATCAGTGTTTTTTTTTCGGCTTCGAGGTTGCGCTCGCCCGACAAGAAAATAAACTCCCTAACGGACCGGCGATTTCCCAAAGACCGTTGAACACTATTACTTCGTCGTCTCGATTTAAATAACGCGAAAGTATACACGCGATTAACTCGCACCGTGTCTATGACCTGGCCGCCATCGTCTTCCAGTATTAATCTACAAGTGCCGATTTTTCGTTCTTGGCGACAGGTGATAAAAGTGAAACGACGCGAACAACCGAGCCCTGTCGCTAGAGCCGAATTTCCCCCGTTTATATTTTGTATCATACAAATGTAATATGCAAAACAATAAATAACCCGCGTACGTTGTAACGATCCGATATGATTGTATAATATTATAACACTGATATAATTTATCATACTAATTACAAACAAATGGGGAAATGTCATCATAAAACCGGTAGGGTTAGGTGTTCAACGTTGAAACCCCTAAAAGGAACATCTTCGATACTCACATCGCGCACACGCAAAATCACACAACTCTGGTTTAAGCTTTGAGGCCTGTAGGCGTAAAAATTAAAAAATACCATCCCGCAATAATATCGTGAAATTCAACCAAAATGTTATTACTCAGATCCGCTTAGTAGCGTATTTTCAATTTTTTCTAATGAGAGGTGCGTAGTTCATAAAATTACGTATGAGGCTTTTTTCAGGTGGGGGGGGGGTCAATATTAAATGTGTACGTAAATTTCAATCGTAAATCTCCCGACTGTACCGAACTATAAGTATTCATCAATAATCAACATTTCTGATGGATAAAGTCCTCGTCATAAAGACGCCTTGTATTTGTCATTCGCATTTGCAATAGCACACCGAGGCGACTACAATGTATAATTTCAATATTAATTACTTAACTATGCTGCGCGCAGGTAAATTTGTCTGATTTAATTCAAATTAAATTTGTTTAGTTTTGAGAGAGCCTAGTACCTCTGAGTCCAGTAGCCCCCCTCCCGTCTCCCCCGTAAAAACACCACCGAATCTCTCTGTTGAACATCTCTCACTGTCGAATTTTCGCTCGATTGGTCCAGAGAGAGTCGCAAAAATTGTCCAAAAGTAACGGAAAAAAAAAAATATACACGTATATTATTGTACGCATACAGTTTCTAATTTTACAGGTGGGGGGAGGAGGAGGAAATTCGGCAAAAAGACACAGTTTGATGTTCGAAAATAACGTTTTATTTATTATTATTTTTCGTATTTTTACCGAAATCGAGCGCATTAAAGTCGTTTAAAGAAAACGATTTCGATTCGCATTAACGCGTCGATTCGTCCGCGACCTATTATAATACATGTATAGGTACCGAAAATCGTACATATCCACTTAACTGTACGGTGTTCCGGAGAAAAAAAAAAAAAAAAGTTACTCGCGGAACATAATACAATATAATTATTATTACGACTTACGCGTCCCTATTGAGATTTACAGTTAACATTTTTTCGAAAGGTACGAACTAAAGTAATTGTTACATCATAACCCCCGGTCGCGCAGTGTGTTGTTATAATATTATTCGGCGTCGAATATTATAATATAGCGATCTGACGTTTTTTTTTTCTACCAAAGTGGAAATAATAATTATAATATATTATTATTTTTATTATGTGGTTTCCGGTCAGTAGGACGCACAAAACTCGTCCGATTACAATATTATTATTATTATTACTATCGACACACGCCCGTCGATGTACGGATATTATAATATCGTGCGTAGACACGTCTGCGCGGCTGTCCGTTCGCACGGTATTTGTATTTTTTTATTTTTTTTTTCTCGTAACACACTATAGATCGACGGACATTTCAATACGCGTACGCGTACGTGCGAAAAAGCGGCCGCGGCGTTTGATTTATTCGGGCGGCGGCGGTGTTAAACGGCCGACTTGTCAAAACACCGACCGCCAGCCGCTGCCGTTGCCGTTGCTGCAGAGCTCGCACGGCGTTCGAAAAACGGCAAAAGCGAAAACGAAAACAGGTTTTATCACAGGTAATACCTACCTAAATAGTAGCGATACGGATCAACGATCGGGTTAAACGTTTCTTCGGGTTTTTTTTTTTTTTTCACTTTAAGTGTTATAACATTTCCCCCCCCCGGTACGATTTGTTCGCGCGGTTCGCGAGCCCGCCGACAGTCGTCGTGCGTAAGTCGCGGTCGATCGATATTATAATATTTCATCATGCGGACGGATCGCCTAGCGCCTACGGTATCTACTCGTAATAACATTGTGATCGATTTTTCAAGAGGCCGCGTTACCGTCGCGCTTGCTGAACGTCCCGTCTTTCCGACGGACAATAACCTGTCGGAAAAGCCCTTGAAATCCGAAATGAATCCGAACGAGAGATGGTTTATTGGGGGGGGTGACTGCGGCAAACGAAACTACGGATCGGGATACGGTTAACGCATCCTGTTATTGTCCAATGTTACTGACCGATATTACTATCCGATGTCGCCACAGCCATTTCTACGGCGAAGCTAACGAAACTATATGATTAATAATGTTAACTTCGGCGGTACCGTTGAAGAGTTCAACCGCTCGGTAGTGTTTCAACGTGAAATTGTCTGTAAACAATTTTGTATTTGAAATTTAATAACCCACAGTTAAAATACGAGTTCTTAACCTGATAATATTTTTAACATGCGCGTTAATTCGGCGTTACTAGTAGAACACTATTCTGTGATGGACGGTATTGATATATTTTAGCACGGCCTAAGGAAAATGTCCAGTTTCGTTTGTGGCTGCGGATACGGTAAGACTATAGAAGGCCATAGGAGTTATTACGGCAGATTTGTTCGGACGTACGACGGTAGAGTAGATGAAGAAATGGCGATGGGTATTTGGAGATGCGGAATAAAAATATAGTGAATCTTATTGCGCGATGGGACAACGGCGAAGTGGGCAGATGACTTTCGGATATGAGAATTTTATCGAAAATCGCACAAATTTCGTGGGTGGGTGGTACGAGAGAATTCGACGATACCTTCCTACATAGTGATTCGAATATTAATCGTTACCCGCCGGTCCGTTTTCTAGTCACTTTCTGTTTTCGTCCTACGACAACGAAGACTGCGTCCTTCGGGCAATTTCGCCAATAAATCCTGAACGTCCGCGAAATTGTTTTCACGCTGTGACGTTGCCCCGGCTGTTGGCAATATCGATATCGTCGACTTGGAAAATGACACGGTACCCGTTTGTCGTTTTGAAGGCCCTTCGCTACACATTCCGCTTAGGGTTCGCCTCGCACGATCGATCGCGTCGTCCAGTTTTGTCCACCGCCGGTTTCGAGTCTTCTCGCTATAGTTTCCGCAGCCTTTCTGCGTCCTGTTAGCCGAATACAATTTTTCCTCCGGTGGCCGAAGACGGCGAGTTTTTGGTTCGGGGATAATCAATACACCCGATTTGTCGATGTCAAGTTCGACTGCATGATGCACGCGTTCGTCCATAGTTTTTCGTCATCAGCACCACCGAAACGCGATAAAAATTGAAAACCGCAACGGGCGTCATTGAGAAAATTCGATACAATAGAATATCGAAAGCGATTGCGGTATACATTTGCGTGTCGAGTACGCGCAACACAACCGTCGGACGTCGCAGTACGGTATAATTTATATAGGACGTCGGTACGGATGGTACGTACGTATTTTCAAATGTCTAAAAAGCAACAATGGCATAAGAATAGCAGCGTGTTCGCCGACGAGCCGCAATAAATTACCATCGTCGAACGTCGAACCGTCGTCGGTTTTATCTTGAAACACCGGACGGATTTTTTTTCGTTGTTATTAGTATTTTATTTTTATTTTTTTTTTTCTCAATATATTCGTGTACGCAGCCGGTGTACCGACGTCGGGACCGCGTCGGACGTCTCACCGCCCGGGAATCTCGTTGCAATCATATTAACGACGACGGTGCCGTATTGTAAAACAGTGGTAGTGGTACATTGCGTACCCGGTGATCGTCGCACGGTACGATACGTCTCGGGCCCGCCTAAAATCGACCTTGAATGATTTTTTATTTATTTCTCCCTCCCCCTCCCCTCCCTTTCGCCGCGTGGTCAATGTACAATATACATTAGCGTCGTGCGGACGTCCGCGACTCCGTATACGCGCGGTTGCGGGCGAACTACGTACGGTCGGGTCGGAAAAAAGGACGGCGATTTTTGTACGCGGCCGCGTAGGTAGGCGCGGACAGCGGCGGGTTTCGAAAATCCGTCGAACGCGTTCGGTTTTTTTTTTCTCTCCGGTTTTTTACGCGCGTTGTTTTTCGCGTAGTCGAATGATTAGAGAGAAAAAAAAACCACTTCGCGAATATTCTACTGCGAACTGGTATTGATGATTCGGCGTGTACGCAGTGCAGTCCACATTATCAATTCGACGGTATTCCAAGAACGTTTCCGCCGACGTCGCGTGCGTAGCGTACGGCATCGGAACGTGCGCGATTAAAATCGCACGAATTTGCCCGCGCTCATTTGAAAAAAAAATTATCCGTATAATTTGAATTGAATGCGCGGCTTCGGCGTACGAATATGACCGGACATAATATTCGTTATTTTTTTTTTTTTCAAACAGCAGACCGTCCGTCGACGATCGCGATTTTACAGCAACCGAAGCCGGGTGACAATCGATCGCCGCCGCCGCGAACAATACGTATATTACTATGCCGGGGGCCCTATTCACGCAAGGACGTCGTGGGTGTTTGTCCGGGGCCCGTGCGGATCCAGGGGCTCGCCTACTGGATTCGATTATTCGTTTGGTTTTAGTTAATCCTCAAAACCGAAAAATACCAAAAAGAGTTTACACAGTCAAAAATACTTGTAAAAACATAAATAATTTTTGTCAGTTTCGTACGAAATATACGGGTATGCGACGAGAAATATTCGTATCAAATAGATGATAAACGGGACGGCTTTTTCTTTTTGTCCCGGGCCCTGGACAAAACCCTAGACCGGGCTCGGTAAATATCACCGTGAAACGTCACGATTGTAATGTCGCATTGTCCATTGTCGTTACAATCGCGCGCCGCGTACACGCCACCGGGACTACCGGCGCGGAACCGCGCGGACCGATCGGCCGCCGCGAGTGGCCCTGCGATAACAAACGCGCGGGGACACGCGAGGTTTTTCGGCCGTCCTCCCCGCGACGAACGCGTTTTTAATTGTTTTCGTCGCGACGCGGGCCGCGTCCGCGCGCCGGGTTCCTGGGCCGTCGGGCCGTACGATGCCGCGCGTTATCGTCGGGTCGTCCGGGGATATGAACGGCGACGGACGGGGACGAAAACAACGCGTCCGGTTACTATACCCCGTCGTCCGTCGGTTCGTACTGTTGACGACCGTGTGCGCGGCCGACGATGTCCGGGCGCGTATTGTTTTTTTTTCCCGTTTTCTTTTTGGTGATCTAACGACGCAAGTCTTAAAAAAGTAAAAAAAAACACCGCTGCTTACGCGCGGTTTCGGTGTCACTATACAGTGCGGCCCGTGCGACCTCTCGCCCTCCACGCCTTCCCGCGTCCACCGGTATTTCTTCTCCGTCTACTCCCCACGTCCGCTCTCATTCCCCTCTCGCGCTTCCCGCCACACGCCCACCGCGATCCACGTTCTCGCACGGTTTTTCCCCGCTCCTGTGCGGTCTGTAATCATAGGCGCAACTGGACCGCCAACTCCGGGGCCGCTAAAACTACCGACTTTTCAAAGACCCACTGGGTCTACGCCCACACAATCCGCTTTACACGATTCGTGCAAGAGTTGACTACATGCACAATTGCGTAAACGCCAAAGGCCCTAGTTGCGCCTATGACTGTAGTGCAGTATAATCTCGTCTACCGACGTGTAATTCGCCCGTACGGATTGCAGGCCGACTGACGGTCCGTCGAATCGTACGGCGCCACCACGCCAGTGCGACTAGGAAGGTCGAAAAACAAAAAAATCTCAAGAAATCCGCGCGGCAACAACCGAAAAGGCCGACGGGCGGTCTCCTCCCGGGCTGTCCCCGAGTGCCCGGGTGCACTCGGTTGTTACATTGTTGTGTAGCGTGGCCGCGGACTCTGCGGCGTCGGCGTCGTGAAACGTTCCGCGCCTTTCCGATTCTTCGGGGACTTGTGCGGCGAATGATAATAAAAAAAAAAAAAAAAATTAAAAATAATAATAACAATAAAAAATATTATTATTTATGTTGCGCGAGCGGGCGCTTTCGTTTAAGCGTACACACGACCGCGTTACGTAATACACCGACGACGGCGTCTCCTCGACCTTGTAGCGCCCGCGAGAACCGAGACCTTGTCGCCGTCCGAGGGGGGGAAGGGAAACGGGGTGGGGTTGGAGGAGGAGATGAAGGGAGGGTGACCGTTTGTCGTTATTATTATTGTCGTTGTTGTTATTATTATTCGGGGACGGCGTTTCCCTGCACCGAGGAAACGATACAGCCGTGTTCTACGGGCATATCAATAACAAACGATACATGATTTACGCCGCCGTCGCCGGGTTCCGGTGATAGGAAAAGAAAAAAAATCACGTACATCACAATACCTTACAACGAGCGCGCGCGCGCCCATACGGTATACGTACGTACCGGGGCGTCTCTCGTAGGAAAAAAAAAAAAAAATTATGACGTTTCCGAGTGATTTATGAGAACGCACGACCGTCAGACGCGGCCGCGCATCGGAAAAACGTAACACTGTGTGTGTACGCACAATAATGTATACGTATAGCGCGTATACGTACCGCGGGCACACGTAAACGTACTGTTGCGTACCCCGGGATGATCGATGGTCGAAAATGTGAAACGCGACGAACGCGGACCGGACTCGCGTGTGGCGGGAGGGGAGATTATCGAAAAAAAAAAAAGCCGCGAGACGACCTGCGCGAGTACCGTACCCCCACAGAGCCGTACCGATATTAATAATACGTGTATTTTTTTTTTATTTGTCGGTTTTTTTTTCTTCCTTTCTGAACCGCTCCAATTGATCGCAATCGTCCCGCCGGATCCGCGAGACGGGGTCCCGGGTTCGGCCCGCGGACGGATCCGGCCGGGAGACCGCACGGGCCGCGACCTGATCGCGGCGTTTCGACCGGTAAACCGTCGGCCGGTCGACGAATATTTTTCCTTTATTTTTTTATTATTATTTCTTTTAAATTTTTATCCGGCCGACGCGCCGAACCATGAATAATTGCGTCTCCCGGTCGCCGCGCGTACGGGGCTATCGCCGCGGCGATATCCGCGCGTGCACACAAAGACGGTTTCGCGGATCACGAACCGGCGGCGGTCCGGGCGGCCGTTTCGTTTCAAGGCGAACGAATAATATAATGTGTGCGTACGTACGTTTATTACGTTTGCCGCGAATTAAAAAGTATGATTTGGCAAGTATGCGCGTAGGTACGTGCGACCACGTTGCGATTCGGCGGGTATGGAAAATATTTAAAAAAAAAAAAAAAACCGCGCGACTTCGACGTCTACAAAAACGATGTTACTTGCGGCGCGGCCCGCGCAACACGGTCGCCGCCGGAGCCGGCGACGGGACGAAAACGAAAAGAACATGTGCGAAAACGGCCGGCTGAAACGCGGGCCGAAAACGTCGGCGTCATCCTCGCAGACGCGAAGATCACCTGCCGACGTAGTGGTCCCCCGTCGCACGGACGACGCGCGGTCCAACCGATAGATAATTCGACAGCGACGACCGTACGCGTTTTAACGTCACCGCATATTATACGCTTCATCGTCGTACCGTGCGTTCGCCAAACCCGAGGTCGAAACGTCTGGAAATGTCGAAAATCGCGTAGCGAAAAAATAGCCGGTGCACGCTGACGGGGCGGATCGCTGTTGTAGGCGGCAACGTTGGTGCGACTCGCGACGGGAACCCGGCGTAAAACCGTCGATCGTTTCCGTTCGTTCCGAAACGATTTCGTCCGCGTACGAGTACAACCGAATGAACAGCAATGTGGGTGAGCAGTCGGGAAGTCACGGGACGCGGAGGAAAATTTAATTTATATCTGTACAGCGACGATGAACCGTTGTTGACGAGAAAACGATTCGGACCGAGGTTTCGTTTATACGCGGCTGCTGCCGTCCGACCTGCGAAGCGACAGACTCAAAAACGGAATATCGTCACGCGTCGACGGGTCGACGGGATTTCAACGCCGACGTTTATTCGCTGCGTCTATTTTTCCGGAATATTTTCTAATACGTCGGGCCGCTATTTGAAAATCGAAAGTAATTGTAGCAGTCTCGTCGCCCGAAAAATGTGACCGTTTTTCCATATCAAAAAGTAACGGTCCCCGGGATAACGGCCGTCTTACGTTACGCCGATCGCCCTGCACGACGTCCCCGCGTCCGGCGGGCGGTAAATCCGAGTGCGGACCTGATAACAGCCGTACCCGTGGTGCCGCGGCGCGCAATTTGGCCGTTCGCCAAGACGTACGCGGAGTAGGCGGGCCGCGATAATTCGCGGGGTGAGAAAAATTGCTCGCGTGCGTGTTACCGCTCGCGGTCGGTATCGTGTGCGACGACGACGGCGGCCACAGTGATTGCCGGAATGTCGGCAATTTATTGACGCTCGGCTGGTATCGCGGGTCGATTATTATTTTAACGGACATTGTTTTTTTTTTTTTTTTCTTTTCCACTTTTGCACTTACAGACACGAACGACGCGATATACGCGATCGGGTCCGGATATAGGTATTGCGATAATAATACAGAGAGAAAAGTGCATTGCGATTCGAACGCGTGCAAATCGGTAACATTTCGCGTTTTCACCGACACGTAGAACTGTTAACGAAAAAATAAACGTATAAACTTCATTTAGCTCTTTTATACCTTTAATTTATTTTGTACTGCGAAGGTATGGGTATCACCAAATGCTTATCGATTTACACCGTCTCTGAAATGTAATGTTTAACGCCTACAGGGAAATGATGTGCACAGTAGATATACGACGTTCATAATAATGGTATGGAAGAAAAGTGAATGTTTTAAAATTTATCATTTTCTCGGAATCTGAAAACTCTGAGATTTTGAACATCACGAAGCCGGAATTTTAAATTCGGATTTCTTCACGTGCGATGGTTTGTGTTTTAATTTTTAAAATGTTGGTTTTTTTTTTTTTTTCGTTTGTTTTGGTTTTGTCGGATTTCCTTGGCTATATATACAGTAGAAAAATCGACGTTTAAAACATCCGGTCCAGTCGTGGTAGGCGGCGGTTAGATAAACTACCGAAAGAGCGGTGTCGCGAACACACATAAAGATCCCGAAACCGTCGGCGGCGGATTCGTATCTCTTGTAGTTTATTAATGTTGTTGTTGTTGTTAGGCGAGTAAGTTTATAGTATACAAGATACCTAATATGCTGGAATCGCATGCCGCGCGTGAAAGTGGGCGACAGCGAAAACTACACACACCTCTTGACAGCCTTTAAACGATATTTATACGAGCCACCTTATGTAATTTGCCGACACAACACTACCCGAGCATTAAAAAAAAAACCTATACTTATTGATGGAAACTGCGCCCTCCTGCGTGTAAAAGTTGTAAATTTACAATTTACAAACGCTCGCCGCATAATACCAATAATATAGTTCTTAAAACATTATACTGCCCGGGCCGCGCATTACCAGTCCCTACTCGAAACGAGCCGCAGAAACCGATACGCAATTCTCCTCAGCTCTTCGATCGCTTATCGCAAATGTATACCATTGAAAATATCGAAATTGAAATAAACCAATTTATACGCTTTGGTGTTATCAAATCAAAAGTAAATTAATGGGTAGCGTACGGGTACAACTCTATGTTTATCACATGACTTTATGGCCAAGTGTTATCGTTAGTTATTTTTTTGTTTACATTTTAATCTATGCGAAATCGAACGTTCATTTAACTATACCAACTACACGTATAAACTAATTTCCGTTTTAGATTTCACAAATTTCCAGTTTTATTTTTTCGTCTTGGTTTCAAATATGCGTGGGTAAATTGAAAACAAGCGCCTCTCCCGATGCTAAACAACTACGGGCGGAGTACACGTGCTATATATTCGGTATATGTTTTAATCGCGGATAACGCGACACTGCAGGTAAGTGTTTTTCACTGTCCGTTCAAACAGCCGATATTGCTCCGAAAGCGCCGTAGCGCGCACAGTGTGAAACCGAAAACTCAACTCGATGAAAAACCACGAAAGATTTAATTATAAAAATGGGAAAAACGTAAACGTGGTTCGTCTGATTCGGATCCGACTACGCAATGGTCATCGCACGGGCGCTGCGTTAATCCATTGTGAAACGGATGTTCAGCCGTATGACGCTATGAGGTGTAGGATACCTATACTTAAAACGAATAACGTCATATGTCCGGATAATCGGAGGATTTCATACGAGTCTGCGGCCCGTTTACGAGTAGTCAACGTTAATACGCTCCCGGGCCGACCCCGCGCCGTATTTATCGAATGGGTTTTATTTTTTTTTTTGAATTTTTGATTACTTATGCGCGCGCACACACACACACACACACACGCCTAGTCAATCGGATCCGATCTAAATAATTGCATCACCGTGACGCGATTTCAGATTACAAAACGTAAATATTACTGTACGTATACCTTACCTATATAATAATAATATACGTCATTTATGGAATTTACATACAAAATTATGACATTGCGTCTGTGTTCGTTATTATTTAAATAATCGAATGCAGTAAATTTTTTTATTTTTTTTTTTTTATTTTAGTCTGAAGAGAAAAAATTAATTATTTATATGGTAAAAAAAAATTATGATATACATAAACTATTAGAATATTATTACATCTTAATGAAAAATCGCGTGGTAAAAACGCGGTTCGCGGACGCGTTAGTCGAATCGAAGGTTATAAACATCAAAATATTATATCGTCTGCGGTTCGGTACACGTCCTGTAGAATTTTAAACGGAATTCTACGCGTATTACGCGTATATATCGAAATAAAACCGTGTATTATATATATAAAAAAAAAATAATAATAAAATAAAAAAAAAAAAATCATTGTAACGTCTCGTTTAATTTACATTTTAAACTATAATACGAATATATTATTATTATTAGACAGTATATCGTTCCGACGGTGAAATGTGCATTGTATTTTTTTACGATATATTATATTCTTTTTTCGCCCCACACACACACACACACACACACACGGTGCATCGTCCTTGAATTAACAAAAAAATTTATATATATATATATAATATTATACTCGGTCGCACGCGGTATTATAAATAATTATCTCCGTTAAATGCGTATAATATATTATAATATACGGTACTTTCTCTACAATAATAATAATTCGGAGACAACAATGCCCGTAATGAAAACGTACACACGTTAATACAAAAGATTCGTCGCGATGCGTCCTTGCCCGCGGCCACGTTATTTTCGATTCACTCACAAGCCCCAGATCCTGCAGTATTGTGCCCGCGTACTGCGAGATATACGAGAAAACCGATCGCTACGCCTATGGGTATTAATATTGTAATATATTAGCCGTGCCCCGAGAGCGTACGTTCGATCGTTTTTTTTTTAAACGGCGTAGATCATGCGTTTACACGGCCGATCGCCGTATTACCGCCGACTGGGGTCAGCCGGGGCCGGAATACGGGAGCCTGGGGACCAATAAGCAAAAAGAAAAAAGAAGAAAAAAAAGTGTGAGCAATTGATTCGCACTTATGATGTGCTAACATTCGTATGGAAGCGAAAAGGAAAGCCGTGAACAAAAACGCATATTGTGCGGCTCCTTTCAACTTGCGGCCTCGGACTACAGCCCCCCCCCCAAACCTCCCCACGGTTCAGCCCTGGGGTCGGCTATATGAAAACACGAAGATTTTCGTTCGAGTTGAGTTCGCGATAAAAGATTCGTGCGCCCGACGAATAGAGTTTCGCGGGCGGATAATAATTCAAGATAACCGACTCCGCGAGTAAACGAAAAGCTAATCGGCAGTGATCGTACGCGGGCAAATTCGAATTCGTTCACCCGCGTGAAATATTTTTGAAATCAATCACAAACAATATTTGATTGCATTGATCCGTCACCCGAAAACGAAAAGGTTCTGGGTCACTGTTTTGAAACTGTTCGGGAGAAGCGGTTTAACTATTAAAAATTCATATTTTGACGCCGAATACCGGCTATGTTGTTCGATTCGTTGTCGAACAGGGCGGATCGAAATAGTCGCGCTCTTCAATTCCAATCGTTTCCCATGATCATACACGAGTATGCATCAAACCAATAATTTCGTACTGACAGGTCGAATAAAATTGTCGGAGTGACCACTGCTGTTACAGACCTTTTCGAAATGACTGCCGCGAGACGGAACCTTTCGATTTATTCGGAATACGTAAATATTGATTACACTAGCACTCATTAACGTCTCTCTCGAATTCGCTTCGCTTTGAAAAGGTTCTATTAATGTCCGTACAATTGAAAGTGCGGTTGTTTCCGCGCTATTCGGAACCGTTGCCGCGCTACCGGTATCCCGGTGGCCGATTAAGACCGAAACACCCGAGGTAAGCTTAAAAACGAAAACAAAAAAGACGATTTCTTTCCCCCCGTTCAACAGTCTATTAGTGGTTTTTTTCTCGAGGAACCGGACGGTTCTCGGACGAGGCAATCGTTATCGTCGCGTACGGTATAACTCTCGCGGCGCGCGAACGGTAAAAAAACAACACCGCGGCCGGTCAACCGGCACGGTTCGCCCGCTCGGCGCGCGGGGGGAGACGCCGCGGCCGGTTCGTCCGACGCCGTCCCGTCGGAACGGCCCGCGGGAGCCGGTGTCCGAACCGGCGCGGTCGGCGGTCCGCGCGGCCGTTTCGTTACGTCCGCGGTGTTGCTGGACGGCAGACCGGGGCCCGCGGACCGCGCCCGGGCCGGACGCGGAATCGCCGCGACGGTTACGATACGCGCGCGCGTCGCCGTTATGCGCGCCGCACGCTCGCGTCCGCACGACCGCTATTCGTTTCCAACAATCGAATTCCGCGCACGACGTTTTTGTGCCAGCGCGCTACACGCACGACGCGGCGGCGTGCACGCGTGTAGGCAGTGCGCGGCTAGGTACCGAGCGCACCGTGCGCTTAATCTCACGTTCGCGATAATCCGATTCTCGTAATACGCCCCGCACGCAATACGTCATTGTTTCCCGTCTCCGTCCACCGCGGTGAGGGGCGGCGTGGCGGCCGTACGCGCGCGAAACCGTACGCGCCGCAGATCCGTATCGTCACCCCGCGGGATCGGTCCGCCGACCCGTTCTCCGCGAAACGGTTGGGCCGCCGTCGCGCGACGGTAACGCGTAATCGCCGCGCGCCGTCCGCCCGTCGAACGGTTTCCGGTCCGTCCGGCGAATCCGTCCGGACGCCGACCGGACCCGCGGGTTTTTTTTTTTCTTTTAACGCCGACGTCGGCGTCTGCGGGACTGTTTCGTTTCGCCGCCGCGAGTGTCCGCCGACCCCGTTCCCCGCGAAACGATTCGCCGCCGTCGCCGTCGCCGCGTTACTTAATCGTATGTATATTTTATGCGCAGACCGCCCGTCCGTATGTTATTACGCGCAGTGTGCGCCGCGCACGCATGATATATATAATGTGTGTGCGCGTATAAAAAAAAAAAAGAAAAAAAGAGCGGCGGCTAGCCGACGAAAACGTAAAAAAACAAAAATTACATATTACATTTGTACGCCCGTACATTATTATACTTTTAAATTTCCGACCGCGCACCCTTGAAACGCAGGCATACACGGCACGCGGCGTATACAATACGCATGCGATACCGCGGTACGCGTCCGCCGCCGATGCTCGATTTACGTTCTCGTGCGATCGTTAATGGCGCGCGTGCGTACGCTCCGCGGCGGTTTGTACCCGCGCGCACAAAAGTCATTGTTCTCGCGCGAACTGAACAACGAAAGATTCGCCGCGATACGCTCGTTTGCGCAAAACGACATTACAATATCGGCATTATTGCGGTGCGGCCTGCGAAAAACTCGCGGAGTCGTCGTCGTTGGTTTTTTTTTTTCTAATTGTTCGACCGAACAACAATAACATGTTATCTGTCGTAACGTCAGCCACTATACCTAATAAATTTGTCGTAATTAGCGTGTATTGCATTTCTGGGAGAGTGTAGCAATACTGTGCGTGGCAGTCGCTTGCGTCTCACGGTCACGACAAAATTGGTTATGGATATCATACCCGATACCGGAAAATCTTCCCAAAAGTAACCGAATGCGTTGAGCCGCGTTAAGACGAAGACGAGAAACAAGAAAATTTTCATCGGAAGAGACTCCGACGCTCGGGCACAAAGTACATCAATAAAACTATAAACGTACGAGAGAATAAAATTGAATAGCTTTTTACAATAAAAAAAAAAAAAAATAAATAAATAAAAAACGTTTATAAATGCATGTTTGCCGTCGTATTTTTATCGTCAATATTCACAACCGGAAACGATTGCACATTTCGTTTTGAATCGTTTTAAAAAAATACTGCGAGCAATACGATTACGTCATTGGTGTACCTACAGGTATTATGTTTACGTGCCTACTTATATCGCAGTTTATTATTATTTCGGTGTTACGCTTACGGAATGTAAAACACCGCGTTGAAAACTGCATATTTTAATCGACGAAAATGCACAGTGTATACGACCGCATCGTCCGAAATCCATATAAATTATTACTGTCACGTACCGACCTATACGGAATAAATATATATATATATTTTTTTTTTCCGTACATATAATATACTTTTTTTTTTTGTCGAAAGAAACAAAATCAAACGTCTATACATTATTGTATCGCATGGTGTACATTACGTCGCGCGCGGCGTTGCCCGGACGAAACGCATAAGCACTGACAACGGCCATTAACGACCGCGGGCACGTTACACCTATTCGGACGTTACACGAACGAACGTACGCACGTCAAGGTCTGAAACATCCTGTCGGCTCGCGAGTCAAAAAACAATACCCTATAGACACCCCTTGATCACACAGAGCCGCCGCCGCCGCCGCCGCCAGAGAGGTCGCGGCCGGTCGGATTCCTGTGATACTCGCGGCCCCGGCGTAAGAAGACGACGCACGTCCCGGTCGCCGTGTTATTATTATTATTATTATTATTATTGTTGTTGTTGTTGTTGTGTATAACGCGTACCCGGCCCGGTTGCCTGCTACGCGTCACCGCTGTATAATATAGTGGCCATTGTTTTCCGTGCGCGCGCCATCGCGTCGTTATTATTTTTACTAACGGACGCTCCGTGCGACCCGTTTACGTAAAACGTCATGCGGTTATTCGGACAAGACCGCCGCCGCCAAGCAAGGGCGCGTATCGATCGGCGCGCCGCGACGTCGTAATAACGCATTCGTGTGTGTGTGTGTGTGTGTGTGTGTGTGTGTATACATATATTGTCCGGAACGCTGCACTCCGACCACGTACGGGCATACTTCGAAGCGCGTCCGCGATTAAAAGGCGCCGTTGAGAGTACAGAAGAGGAAAAAAAAAAAGTCTCGGAAAGCATGTAGCTGTCTACGGCGGTAGACAGAAGAGCGTACGTTCGCGTACGAGTGCGTAACACCATGGACCCGCGCTGCTATACTGTGATGCGTGCACGAGCGCAATAGAGAGAGCCGACGTAGACGAAGTTTGAAGATAATGATATTTTAGACGCGTAATCAAAAGAAAGCAAAACCGCGGCGGGCTGAAAATACGGCTAGCACAATACTCTGCTCGGTTTCGATACGTAATTTTTATTGCCCAAGTACTTTTCGGCGCAATTTCGTAACATTTTCCACACATATTGCTATTATATGGCCGTACACACAAGTCGATAGACTCCCTATAGTGATGCACGCCGCAGTTTAATTTACCGATCACGTCGTACTGCTGCTGCTGCTGCTGCTGCTGCTGCAGTATCGCCCGCGGTGTCCTATAATATTTGAACAGAAGAGGGCAAACCGTTTAAGGTCATCGCGCGGGAGATTTAATCGAAAACCGTTTAAAAGCCTTTTATTCTGTTCGTTTCTTTTCAAAACCGTTGATCACGCGAGTATCGTAACGACGCGCCCAATATAATATTATTATCTAATATATTATATACTGCGCCGATTGGATCGATTAATCACATCGACGAAATACATTGTGATATTGTGTTGGTTTAACGCGATGAGTCAGTACAGAAACGATCGGGGATCGAAAATATCATAAAAAACGACCGATTGTTGTATGAAGCGATTAAGACGCCATACATAAATAGTTGATTATATGGATATTAATGGCCAGATTAAGAGTGGACATGGAAAAAATTTAAAAGAAATTTATTTTCTCCGCTATACTGCAAAAAAAAAAAAAAATTGATATGTTTTGTGTGTAAGAGTGCGTGATATTTGTGCGTGCGTTATGACACAGACAATTTGCGTTCGGCTGAGACATAACATTGTGCTGTTAATTTTAATATTACGGTGAACCGATCTGTTGTCAATTTTAAAGATAAAAACGTTATTTTTAATGCAACGGTGGGGCACTATTTTTTCGATATTTTAATTTTCAAGAGAAATTTGAATACTTTTATGAAAATATCACAATTTTGTAATGTCTGTTATCTCGCTCGACAATTTAAATCACGTCGTATATTAATTTTAGAACGTGAGCAGAGCGAGGAATGTATAAGTTTTACAATGTTTATTTATTTTTTTTCTGTGAACAACTTTTCTACCAGAAATTTTGCTTCGATTTTCAGGTGTAGCACTTTTTCTGAAAGAAAATTCGTATGGGGTGGTACTTTAAGGAGGTCGTTTTTTTTTTTTTTGTTTTCTCCAAAGTTTTCATAATAAATGGGAAAAGCCGGAAAAAAACGTAGGGAAAACAGGTAAATGTACAAAATGTATTATTTTCAAATCGTTAAATTTCCCCTCTTCCTTATCGAACGGCTCGCCTCAAACAGTGGCTCACCCATCGTGCCGGGCATTTTCATTTGTTTTTACTGTTGTCATTACTGCGGAGACGATTCAACGGCGTCGCGTCTATCGCGTTACAGCGTCTCGCAAATCTCGGCCCGAAAACCGCAATACCCGATTTTACATCACAATTGAAATCGAATTTTTTCCATCCGGCCGTTTTAGATTCGGCCGTCATATTGCAGACTGTCGTAAAATGTACGCTGCGGTGTCGTATTGACGACCGGCGTCGTTATAATAATATAACGACGTGCGCATAACATTATAATAGTGGAATTTAAAATACCGTTAAACGCGAGAGACGCGGCGGGGTAATAGTGGCACGCAGTATACGATATTAAGTGCGCGATTTAGTACGGAGTTGAACAGATCGCGGGAGTTCGACCGGAGATAATTCGGCGGACGGACGGACGACGGTGTTTACACACGGGATCGACCCCGTTTCGGCCATCATTGTTCTGGACCGCCGGGCATTATAATGTTATTATACGATATGATAATAATAATGTGTGATATATCGCGAGTTATACGTGTTATCGACGTGTTTGGACCGTATTGTTTTGTTTCGCTTTGTTTTTTTTTCATAACGCCCGTACACAACAACAATAAGGTTATAATATCATTTTATCGTATCGCATATACCTGCGATAAATTATATGTGTGCCACGGGAACGCGTGACGTACCGGACCGCCGAAATTTTACACGGTTCTCCGCCGCCGCCGTCTCGATAAAATGATACGGCGGTGTTATCGAATTAACACACTATAATAAGTAGTGTATGGTTCGGGTTTGGCAGCGAGAAGAAAAAATAAATAAATAGAGGTCACCGCGCGGTGTAAGGCTCGAAAGTAAACATTATAAATCGAGTCGTACCGTTCGAGTGTGTATTTAGTACGGGTGCACACTACGGCGGAGTTGTAGATGCGGATGGCAGATACGCGTAATATAACCAAAGGTGCGGCCGGTTAGAATACCGCAGGGAAGTGACGTCCTAGAGGTTGTTTAGGGGAGATACGAGCGCGCATATAATAAGGTGTGGAGTATAGGTGGAAAATCGCGGCGATGTGGAGGGCGAGAGTATACAGCTGACCCGGTTTGGATGCGAGATAAAAGCGAAGACCGAGAATACACCGCACGTTTCGAAACCGCGATTGTGTTTTGTGTAGTTGACGTATGGGCACACGATTGAGGAGGTAGCACGGCAGTTAACACGCACGCGGAATGGCCGAGGAGTATAAAATATAAATGTACAGACGTCTTTGATCCGAATCGTGCAAGTGTACAACGGAAATACAATACGAGCGTATCGTACAATTCGGCTCGAATGAGACGATATAATACAACGAGAATAAGCCGATCGTGAGTTTTCAAAAGAAAATCTCTGCCGGGTCCTGGTTTCAGGTTCGAGTTATACACGGTCGGAACGCGTACGACCGAGTCTAAAACTTTGTAAAACCATACGAACAACCGGATATTATTACTGTTAATGCGAAATTAAACTTCACCGCCAACTGTCGTGTTTCAATATATGAAATGCAACGTTGAGATTGAACCGTACAAATAGCATAGGGACGAGGGCGGAAAGTTATAACCCCCCCCCCCGCCTCGCCCCCGAAGTCTCATCCTGTTATCTCAATCGGCACTTTATGCGCGTACACAATTCCGTTCGACTGCATTCGGAGGGGAGGGGGGCCCGCAGACGCGTCCGAAGCCCAGAGAGAACATTGACTCCCGCGGGAAAATGTCGAAATCGATTCCAACAGCAATCGCTCGCGGTCGGCGTATTGAACAGACGCGTTAACAACGTAATTGCGTTGTTTATAAGTAGTCTGGGTTCTCCGGCGAGTACAGAAATTAACGGTTTATTCGCCAGCTCCGCGTCCCGTTCGGCCGGCAGACAACGTCGCCCCGGCATCGCGTTACGCAAGTCGGCGCCGGAGGTTTTCGAGTTCGTGCGGACGAGCAAAGATGACGGGCACTCGGTGAGAAAAATAAAAACTACGCGCGGCCGCGTTTGCGAAACGAACCATTATGATACACGCGCATGTCGCGTAGACGCGAATCCGCCTGCCGTTTTTTTTTTTTTTTTTAAATTTTAATTCGTCTCCCCGGCCGTCTTTCCCGTTATTATCGTTATTGTTATTTCCGTCCCGCGGCGCCCGCCCGTTCGAATAAATAACAATTAATGTAAACACACGCGGACACCGGCCGTTCGACGGATACGTCAGGGGCGTGAGGTTCACACCGCTCGTAACGTGAGATAACACGCGGGTACGCAGTGTCGACGGATATCCTGTACAACATACACACGCACACGCATCTATATATTAATTAACGGTTATAGGTACGTTTTATTAAGAAAAACGTTCGGAAATCGTTCGAGTCGAACGCGCACGGAAAACTAAAAACAAAAAAACGACTTCCGGCAACGCGCGTGTTATTATTGTAGGTTATTTTTTTTTCCCGTCTAGCGTCCGCGGTTGACCCGACCTTTTCGTATTGTGTTCCATTGTCCGCGCGGGTGTTGCGCTCGCCGCCGCGCGTACCCGGTAACCGCGTTCAACAATCGGTTTTGTTTACGGGATAGCGGGGGGGGAGGAGGAAGAGGAGGAGGAGGAACGCAGTCGAAATGCGTGTTGTTTGCGACTGCGCTGCGGGGCCGGGTCGGGCGTAGGGGGTGCCGTGCCGGGGCGAACGCGAACGCGCGCGTATTATCGAGTCGGGCGAAACGACGTGGGAAACTCCCGCGCCCCGGGAGTAAACGTTTAAAGCGTACACGGCGTGGTCGGTGTGCCGCAGAAACCGTGCCGCCCGAAAAAATCGCGGAAAATGACGGAAACAAACAAGCGCACGTGTACCGTCCTACTAAATACGTTTTTTTTTTTTTCAACCGATAACCACAACGCGATGTCCGCATTTACCGGCCGGAATTTTACCGATTTCAAATTCCCCGTGAGTCCGCTGTCCGGCCGGAGTTTACATTTTTTCACACCCCGGGTCGCCGGCCAAATCGATAGGTCCGTGTTTCGCGTACCCGTCTGAGCGAAACACGGCGGCTGTGTGCACGTATACGTTTTTGTTCGGTAAAACGCCGGCAACCGCGGCGCATTACAGCCCGAATTGACCGAGAATGTTGACGAAGACATCGTATAGTAAAAGAAAAAAAAAAAAAAAATGACGTAAACAATGGCAATGGTAACGCCTGTATGTAATGACGCGTGATCGCGCGTGTGCAAAACGCATTATAAAAGCCGACGGGCCGCCGCGGCGGCCACTGCGAGACGGCTGAAAAAAACGTAAAAAAAAAAAAAACCCGGCGCGACTCTGCAATACAACCGCGCGTTGTTTCGTCGCATTTCGTACAACACGCTCGCGCGTATTATTATTGTTATCGTTCCGCGCGCAACACGCCCGCCCGGACCAAAAAACCGTACGACCCGGAAGAACCGGCGGGCGCTTGTCGTTCATTAGCGCGCACCGGCGACGCGTCCTCGAGTGTAACGTTCGCGATACGAGGAGCGCGGCGCCCCTTTCCCCCCCCCACCCGCCGTGCGAAACGCAACGCACAGCGCGTAACGAGAGGGCGTCAAACGACGCGCGTATTGATGTCGCGTCCCGATATTCGCGGAGTGCATTATCCCCGCGGTCGCCGTGTGCCGCGTCCGCAGATTGCGGAGATTGCCGGTTATTATATTGGGTTCGATAACATTATGGTGGTTTTTTTTATTTTCGTTCGCACGCGGATATTACGCACGAACAATAATACGTAAATAATTGCACGGCGCGGACCGAACGGGAAAAAAAAAACGAAAACTATCGCTAATGGTTTTTTTTTTCTCGTCCCCTCCCCTCCCCCACCCCCGAGACGGTATAGAATAAACGGTCCGAGTATGCCGGCCCGTACGCGCGGGGCGCGTGTTTTGCACGCCCTGATCCGTGAGTCCGGACCGCGCCGAAACGCGCGACTCCCGCTCCGGTCCGGAGGGATACGGTACTCGTCTGCCCGGGGACGCGATCCCGGAGTCCGAGTGGCGCGTCCGAGGGCGACACTCCGTGTAAACGTGCACAAATAAGAAAAGTGAAACCGGAAAACATTTTACTGCGCGCCCGTTTTCAGAGAAGCCGCGGGAAACGTCGAGGGGTTTGGAGGAGATTTCGGCGGGGCCACGGCCCCGTCAGTCCCTCCGCGCGATACGGTCGCGCCCGCCGCCTGCGGCCGACGGCCCGAGCCGGCGCGCGTCGCGGGCGCAGCCGAAGCGGGCGGACACCGTCGCGCGTATTTTCAAACATCGTACACGCGGCGCGGTGCGCCTTTCGCGAAATACCATACTCGAACCCCTCCTCCCGATGTTATAATTTAACAATCAATTAGGCGAACGGTTTTGTTTTTTTTTTTTTATGTTTCGTTTTTCACGAGCACGCGCGATGCGTATACCATACACACGTATACGCGCACAGTAATATTCGGTCTTTGTGCAATCGTCCCGGGGACGATTAAACGAGGATTAAACGCGATAAATCATCGAGGCCCCCCCCCCTCCCTCCCCCGTTCATTTACATAAATCGTGTGCCGCGGCGGCGGCGTACTTTTTTTCTCTCGTTTCGTTTTCACGAACCACGTGAAACGATCGATAAAATTATAATATCGTGCGCCGCGCGGCGTGTGTGTAACCGCGAACGGTGCCGGCGCACATTTTCCGCGCGCCGGGTCCCGTCGCGCGCGTTTATTAGCGTACACGAACGTACACCGTAAAACGCGAAACGAACGAAAAGACAATAAAAAAAAAAAAAAACAAAAAAATCTGGGCTAAAGCAATTAAAACGCGCGTTCTCACGTGCGATTATCATTTATTTTTTTTTTCGCGCGAAATAGCGGTTGTTTCCCCCAAGTACACGTTAAACGTCCGGTGTTTATCGCTGTTACACCGCGTCAGCGGCGGCGGCCCCGGTAACGCGCAGTGTAATTATTCGCGAAATAACGTATATCATACGGGTATTTACGACGGACACACAATAAATTGTACATGTATTTATGTGTAATATTAATCGATTAAAAAAAAAAAAAAAAACGTTTTTTTTTTATGATTTTTTTTTTTTTTTTTTTTTTTTTTACGATCCGCGTACGGCCGCGTCAAACGGGCCCGCGGTTATTGTAAATAACGCGGTGAAAACGAGAGACGCCCGGCAAAAAAAAAAATTACAAAAATATTGTGACTTATCCGAAACCCGTCCGCGTAAAATATTATCCCCGCGCTCTTACGACGCCAACACGTGATGTTCAAATATTACGGCTCCGCGCGGGTTTCTCGTGCACGATTTTTTTTTCTAAACGATTCGAACGTTTCGCGTCACTGCTAAACATTTTTTGTTCGCGAAAACTGTATAACCGCGATGCGGTTGTTTCGCGTTGTTTTACCGCCGTGCACCCGAAGCGACGTTACGACGGTGTTTCGAACTTTCCGGCCGCGCGACGTTCGATCGGTCAACGCGTACGGTACCGATAACATTTAAAACGCGCGAAAACGTCGGCGAGCGCAACATCAGACCGGACGGTAGAAGGACGCAAGGACGTCGCCTGCCTAACGAATCTGAAGAAATTCTATCGGACGTTGACCGTTTTTCGCTTTGTGAAATATTTTTCGTGTGCTTTTTCCAAGAGCTTTGTTCGACGTTTTTTTTTTTTTTAAACATCCCCGCGACTCGTGACTCGAAAACGGTACGGCGCGCCGGTTCACGGGCAAAACGATCGCTCTGTATGCGTCCGTACGACGCGTTGCAATACGCATTTCATGTAGACTGTTATAGCACGCGAATTTATGCGTATCGACTCTGCATTTCAACAACTGTCGGGTTTTCGCGGACAATCGCAACAACGCGATAAGTCCCTGTTTTTTTATGTTTTTTTTTTTTTTTTTTTTTTTTTTTATATATATATAGAATAATATTACGTTCCGAGAAAGAGTAAACATAATAGTATGTATCTGTACGTGCCACATTACCGGCGGGAATTTTTCAACCGATACATTATTACAAATGAGCCGCAGAAAGCGTGTGCATATATATACGCGCGCGTGTTATGCAGCTTTGGAATATTATTAACGGCGTTGGCCCGAGTCCAACGCTCGTAACTATTATTGTGTACGCGGCGAGGGCGATCAACAAGCGATTCCGCGGCGCGCCGTACACGTTAACAAACGGCAAAACACCCTCGCGCAACAGATCCGTCGACATCCCGCGTGTTATCGTTGTGCACGCGGTCGGGATAACGCACGGTGTCGCGTGTATCGAAATGAATGATCGTTACGGCGGGTCGATATTAAATTACAACGGCGTTGTGACTCTGCAGTGGATCAGCCGGTGTGCGCTCCCTTTTTTTTGCAGTTTTCCGCTCGGCTACGCTCAATTTCAACAGCCAGTCGTCTTGACGAAAATTAGAAAACGGTTATAATTGACATACATTATCGCGACCGTTAATATTCGGCAGTGGGTCGTAAAAAAATCGTGTTAAATTTCGTCAGAACGCCTGAAAGCTGCGCGTTATGTTTTTTCGGCGGACACGCGGAAATGATACGCTTTACGCGGATTTCGTAGGAGACTTTAACGGTCACGCGCTTCAAACGCGTGTACGCCACCGACAGAACGGCCTTCTTGTCCGCGCGCCGGAATTCGTTGTTATCGATTTCCCAAAACCCCGTGCTCCCGCAGTCTCATACGTCCTTCGTGGGTCATCGTCGTCGCTAGGCTTTTCCGTTTCCCCCCCCGACTGCTTTCACAGCTATAACGCGACGTCCAAAACGAACATCACGCCGTCTGCGACTGATCACGTGACCCCTTGTTAAGACGGCCGGACCTGGTTTCTAGCAGTTAACGGTTACTTCAAGGCGATATCAAAGTCCAACGATTATTTATGTCTTGTACTTCTAAATGCCGTGTTTGCAAACGTTTCGAATTTCCCATTCGTTTCTCGGGACATTATCAAAACCGGAGTAAACATATTTTGTCGATATCGTACCTAGGTGTTTATATTGTGGGAGGGAGAACAGTGGACGACTATTCGAACGCAGGCGCCGCCACACAAACGATGGTCCACTACAACTCACCCTTGGGCAAATTTAAAAGTGGAATGTCTCGTCAGCGGGTTAATGGAAGTCGAAAATTGCGTTACCGAAACACGTTCAAACTGAAACGTCGTCCATTTGCGGAGTTTATAATAAAGTTTACGACTTAATTGATTACAACCGAAAATCAAATGGTTCGCCCCGGAAAATAAGGGTGACGAAAAATAACGGTAATGTACAAATTTTAGAGCTGATTTTTTTTCAAATTTTCATAAAACAAATTCCGAATAAATATCGACTTTCTGAGTTATCGCGAACGGGCATATTTTCGAGAGACACGCAGTAAAGACTTTCGATTATCGTACAGGAATAATTATATAGGCGTGAAACCTACAAGTAATTATCATTTTTTTTTTTTTTTCAGTTTTTTTATTAATATATTCCTTTTCGGGAAAAAAAAAAAATTAATTTTCAATCATAAGTTTTGTACATAATATTATTAAGTATTATAACGTAGGTACCTATATTGGGCGCGGACGAAATAATTAAAATATACAGAAAACGAACGTATTCGATACGCACGCGTAAACATTTTACATTTTACACAATATAATAATAATAATATTATCATCATTTTTTTTTTTTCATTTCTGCAAAGCGAAGCGTAGTAATAATTAGTTTTAAAACGATGTTTTTTTTAAATTATTAATGTTTCGGAAAGAAAAAAAAACAACGATGTGCAGCAAACGCGCATAGATAATTAATAATTAAACGCACAATGGTGAAAAAAAAAAATTGAAAAACCTATTAGAAATGCAACAACATAATATAATAATATTCAGAAAACATTACAATTTCAAATCCGAGAGACCGAGAATTGTTTTTTAATTATCGCATTAAAATTATACGTGCGACTCCGATTTAGTAATTTAGTAGTATACCGCAGTACTGGCAGCAACTCGAAACGTAATACGTTTAGTATTCACGTACTTGCGTATTAATTATACGTATTATTTATTAAGTAAGATCGGTGTTTTTCTTCGCGTCTGTTAATAACTTTTCAGCCCGCAGAAATCTTGTCCCGACCAAAAAACCACAAGAGACTTTTTCGGTTGCATTTCGAATATAGTTTTTCAGATCTTTTTTTGATTTTCCAAGCGATTTTCATAACAACAGGACTAACCCGGGGGTGAAAACGTATAGAAAAAACGAACAAATATTTGGCATTTCATTATTATTACGGTTTTACGGTGTTTTGTACCAGAAGTGTCTTGAACCACAAATTCAAATGTAACATTTTTTCTGAAAAAAATTATTAATGTTGTCTAGTTGGTGTGCGTGTAAGAAAGTTTTCTTAATAATTGGGCGAAACGTAGGAGATACAGAAAAATGAACCTAATAAGGGTTTTATTATTTACGATTTTGTTTTTGGAATCCGTTAGAAAATAACGCGACACATTCACATAATACTAATAACGACGTGGTAAAATGTTCAAAACATCGCAGTGATTTTTTTCGAATTAATACGGTTTTTGAATACTTACTGCGGATTAACCACTATAACCACTGTAACCACAGTATTAAATTCGCTTCAAAGGAGTTGAAAGCGGTTTTCCACATTTTCTCATATTTTTGTAAAGTTTGAATATTATTGTCCAATGACCTTAACGAATATTTACTAATCAACTGCCCGATACACATTTAAAAGGAGGGAGTACGCCCATGTTTACATGCGGATAATTATACATACTTTCCCCATTAACCGGATTTATTGAAAAATTGTACGTAACTACGTAGAGTGATCAAGTCAAACTTTCGATTTTAAATTCTTCGTGTCCATAACCTATACAAATTCAACGCGGTTATTTTTCACGGAATTTTCAAAAAAAAAAATACTGTTACTTCGGACGTCTACGAAAATTAACTTACTAAATAACCCAAAAAATTTGTCAACAAATTCGTAAAACACTTTAAAAATTAATCGTGTCATTTCTTGTCGCTTATCGGTCTGAAACGTATGAAAAATGGTCGCGTTCCAACGCCTCAAGTAAAAAGTATTAAAGGCCGTTGCGTTTTATTTCCGTGGTCGGTCGTATGAATCATACAGTACTGATTTTCCCTGACTATTACGAAAAGCTCAAAGTTTTGATGTGCGCGAGATTTCTAACCAAAAACACCGTTCGTCGATTTACCCACATCGAATTGTATCGAATCGTAAAATATTATTGTTTTACCGCGACCCAAAAAGGCGCTAACCGCGAAAGAGACGATTTTTCAAAAACGACTGTTTTCGCGTGTGCGCGTCGGCCAATCTGTGCGGGTTTTCGAGATTCTGCTGTCCGTTTACGAACAAGGCGTATGAGTACTGCGGTAAAGTCCACTTACCATGGTCGCGACAACGTCTTTGGGTTTCCTGGCCATTGACGTGTCGGTCGGAGACACGGCGGCGGGGCTGCAAAGGCTGAGCGCGAACGGCGCTATTGGTGTCGTCGGTTATCGGTTACTGTTCGCGGCACTCGTACCGTAAACGAAACGCAAAAGACGGACATTCACATCACGCGTCGTCGGACGACGGCCCGCGGCCGGGTGTAATGGGGGGGAGGGTGGGGGTGGTTTCGCGTCGCCTCGACCGCTGTCGATAAAAACCGCGGGATTTAACGTGAAAAACGGCGCGAAAATTCGAAAGGAAAAACGAAAAAACGACAGTCGATAATGTTGACCACGCAGCCAATAATCGTCGCGCGTAAAATACGACGGCGGATCGGGAACGTCTGTGTCGGCGCGGTCGCGATACTGCAGGCGTTCGTTGTCGGAACGGACGGCCGCCGGACGGGAGTGTCGGTGTGCGTGTGCGGCCCGACGAACGCGTGTGATGTGCTCGGCGGCGGCGGCGGCGGCGGCGTTGCTCTTGAACGCCGCCGCCGCCCGGGCAAACCAGTTTCGTAACCGACTGTTGTTGTTGTTGTTGTTACGGCCGCGCGGGTACCCGAGCGACGGCCGGCGGGGAAAAAAAACAAAAAAAAAAAAAAAAGAAGCGACGGCGGCGATCCTGCGCCGCGAGACTTGTCGAATTTTCGGGAACGAGAAAAAAAAAAAAAAAAAAAAAACCCGACAGACCGAGGACGGTTAGAGAAAAAAAAAAACATTTTAAAAAATTCCCCGACTACGGTTTCGACGTCTCGTCCGAAATAACAAAACGCGCGCGCGCTCGGCCGTCGTCCGCGTAAATTATGCCGTTTTGCCCATACATGGTCGCCGCGAGTTTGAATCGTTAAAATCCCCAGACTTTTCCGTACGATTTTAACGTGTTCGGTCTCGGAATCCAAACGACGGTTGTCGCGGTGTTGACAATTAACCCGCGCACCGTGTTTCGCCTTTTTTAACCCAATATACGTCCGGAGAGCGGCTGTACACGCGAACAATTTTTTATCCCCGATAATGAATATTCGATTTTAAATGCGCCGTACAAAAGGGCACGCTCGAATCGCCACCCGTCGATCCCTTGAGCTGACTCCCGTACATTTTCTAAAATAAGGGTTACTCGAATCGCTGTTAACTCGAATTTCCCGCCACATCGGATAGTCTACTCGAATCGCCTCCGATACAAGACCAGATTAATCGATGTAAACAGTTAATAATTACTACTTTTGTATGGTTTTATTATCGAATAGAGTCACCGCAATTTTCAACATCGATGATTTGTTGCGTCGATGTTCGATTGAATCGGCGCAGTAGACGATAGTAATGCTATGGGAGGCAATTTCAGTATGTGCATATAGATTACAGGGCTACTCGAATTGCCTCCGAATCACCCGGAGGCGATTTCAGTAAAAATAAGATGTACTGCCAGGATTTGGGAGACGATTCGCGTGCAGTGTTGAATTCGGATATACGACAGGGAGGGTGATAGCCCTTGTCACTCCTCGTTAAATGCGGGCGAGTTAAGAATCAAACAAATCTGACTGGTTTTAGTAAGATTAAGTAAACAAAAAAACCATCGTTTGTTTTTCTTCTTAAATTCTGTTTCCGGTCTATCAATATACGATGGCATAATATTCAAATTATAACCATTCCGGTGAAAACCGCGAAATCACTGATCGCTTTTTAATTCCTTAGACGTGGCAACTATACCTATGTGCGTAACTGCCCACCGCTGGACGTTTTATTCTACGTTTTTCGGGAGTTCGTAATTTACAACGAATCGAAGAAATACGTGCACCGTGGCGTGTAGTCGGGAATATTGTGTTTATAATTCGCGCCCACATTACCGTCTGTACACTGTGCGCGTCGATTATCGAGTGTTCGATTGTTTCGGCGGTGCGCAGTTGTAATATGTATTTTCTGTCGTTTCGTTGAAGAGTGTGACGTCGAACCGATAGTAGCGGTTTAACGACAAGACTTGGCGTTTCGTTAATTGATTCGTCTTCATCTTGGGTTTGTTAAACTGTTACATTGTTCCGGTTTCACACAGTTACGGCTTGTCTGCGTCTGAGTTCACGGGATTTTCGCTAACACACAAACGGACGGCGGGGCAGTGGTCGAAATTTAACGAAGGCACGTCCTTGACAACAATACAGTTTATAGGTACGTGTACGAATTTTAACCCCGTTATTTACTTCGACGAGTCTGTAAGCGTATCGAAGCGTTCTCGATTTTGAAACCCGGTATTTCCTGTGAAAATGTGAAATTTGTGCATTTTGTGCGATTCGTGGCAGGGGTATAAAGTCACCTCTCTCCCCCCCCCCCCAAAAGCACATACTTGATATTTACACCGTAAATATACACAGCGATTCTATACACACTATACCGGTGTACAATGCGAACAAAATACTCTCCTCCTACAACAACACGGTGGAGTTCATATTGGAATTTAGTCAAAATTACATATCACTATAAAAAAAAAAAAAAACAACAACTCTAATTCTTTGAATTTGAATCTCAGTCTAGAGTGAGTCAGCTAAAATTGTCCAAATTTACAGGAAAAATTATGTGCACATTAGTATTTTACAGCGCTTGCAAAGTCGCAAAGTTTTTTAAACGTTCACGTTCGTCTTATTAAAATAAAAATAACTCTAAGCTCGTTTTAGAGTTTTAAAAAGGAATTTCTACCTTTCTTGATTCCCGACGAATGGAGCAAGTAAAAAGTTTAGGTGTAAACGGCAAATTTGTTTTAAACGTCTGAAAAATGATACCAGGAGTCCATGGACTATGTGAATACGCAGCTCGGTAGTTGTCCGGTATTCAACAAGCGATTTGTTTTCCGTTTTTAACCGTTATTTAGAAAAATAGCGGGGAATTTTGTAAAAATTACTTCATTAAAATTTGAAGGGGATTGAAAATTCTACAGAAGGCTATTGATCGGAGCAAGTTTTATAAAATAAATTGGCAAATTTATTTTAAAAATCTGAAAAACGGTACCAAGAGTTCATGAGCAACGATGCGGCTTGGCACCCGTCCAGTATTTAGCAAACGCGAGTCCGTTTCCCCAGCACCCTAACCAATAGGTTTTGAGACGGTGTAAACCGACCGTTTCGAGTAATCATCGTCCGACGCGAACGATCGATCGCGCGAAAACTTGATAACCGCAAAGCCCCGCCCCGTGTAAAATGTAATACAACACGTGCCCGTATAAAAACAAAAAAAAAAAAAACGATCGCGCCTACCCGTACGCTAATTGCCGTTGGGCACAGTCGTCGCGCGCACCCGGACTCGGCGCATACGTTCCCCGACGTTTGCATACCGGCCGGCACGTTATGCGCGTCGTTCGCCGCGCATCGAGGCGATGGTACACGGCGCTCCGAACGTCGGCTCCAACGTCGTCCAAAACGGAACGATATCGCGTGCAGACGAATCGCGCGAAATGCTAAGGTGTCGCGAGGACGCACTCGGACGACGCCGGCCGGAAATGCGGCCTTCGTAATATTGTTATGGTGGTTTACGGGCGCGACAACCGCGCGTACTCGCGGGCCGCACGTGACGCGCGACCCATTAGCGTAACGTTGAACGCGAAAAAGCGAAAAGACAAAAAAAAAAAAAAACATTTAATAATTGCTCAAACAACGCTTTCCGAGGACAACTCTCGTCACTCCGCAGTTCGACTCGGCTTCGATCGTTTGCGATTTTGTGTCGGAAAAAAAAAAATCTTCCTGCAGCCCACGAGGCACGTCGGACATTGATTTTGGGTTTCGAGTGGAGCGAAGGACATTGCGGTTTTACGAAGATTTTTTTATTTTTTATCTGCGCTCAATTTTTCTACCAGAAACCTTGCCCTGGGTTTTCAAATGTGATAACATTTCTATAAGGGAATCAGACCGCGGAGATACTTTAGGAAGATAATTTTTCGATTTCGCCGGGAAATTACTCAACAAATGTGAAAAACAGAAGAAAAAAAACGGCAAAATTAGATCAATATTAAACTCAATTTTCCTTTTTTATCACAAAGTACGACACATAATGAACCTTCTGTTAAATTTTCAAGCATTTCTATTGTATCCACAAGAATTCACCTTCAGAACAAAAGTTACGTAAACAACTCGCAAAATAAAAACGTGTATAAATAGCTCAAAAGCGGCTCAAATATATTGAACATTTTTTCACGTCTAGAGAAAATAAATATAAGTTTTCTGTCCGGATTTCAAGTCTCCGCGAATATTTCGAATCACAGTCAAAAAATACCAAATTGAAAATATCTTAATCGTTAATTTCGTACATTTTCCCGTCTTTCCGTTTTTATCATAATCACGTTATCGCGTACAACGTGATATAATATACTATTTTAATTTTAGTCGGTTTTGTTTACAAATCAAAATAACTCTGTGAATAATTATACTCGTTTAAACAATTCAATTCCAATCCCCATAAAGACTATAATATAATATTGTGTATGTGAACATTTCAATTTGAATACAGTTTATAATAACGAAATGTTTGTCGAAATATGAACAATTTGTTCAAAAAAAAAAATCGAAAACCCTGATTTTAGTATACGATTTTTTTTTTTTTATTTTTTCGTGGATATATATTGTTTTGAGGAAGAATTTTCTTGCTGAAAACGAAAGTTTAGTGCGTGTATAAGAAAACATAATAAACGTTCACATTTGTATACCGATACTCTATTAATACGGGTTTGGCGGAAATATAATAAACTCTTAAAAAACAGCCAGACATCCTATTGTTGACGCGGATATGGATGATTTTTCACGCCTGTATCCGTGTTATATTTGTTATGGTCGTTGGACTTATTTTTTCATTATTTATTTATTTATTATTATTTTTTTTTTGTTATTCTTGAAAATTACATTATAGCGAATATTTTTAAATTCTCCACGAAGCGATATTATACATAATACATGCCTTATACATAATTTGGCCCCATTTAACTTTCTCGGATATTTTCACTAACTAGACGAAAATTATTTTCAACAATAGATAAGCAGATAAATAACTTCGGAAAACAGATTATCCTTGTAAATTCCGAAACGTCAAATATAAAATTATAGTATAAATACGGTATAGGCACCAGCTGCAGCTATAAATTTATTTCGTTGTACATATATCTCTCTCAGCCGGATGATTGATTAAATGCGGTACGCACATTTTTTTTTCTTTCAGCCAATCTATACGCGTTATATTTGTGTAGTTATATACAGGGTGCTCAATTATTCGTAAGACACTCGTTATCTCGAAGAGCATTAACTTTTTTCGGACTGTTCTCTTTAGAACGTTGGAAATTCACGCCGTTTTGAATATGCCCTTATTTTTGCACTCTCGTGTTATATAGGTTATGAAACAGTGGCCAATTAGCTCAAAAACTCTGTAGGGGCTTGAGCCTTACCATAACACTAAATAAA